AAGAATAAGAAACAACAGCAGAATGCGACTGTAATGCCGGAACTTGGAGAGAAGCTTCGCCTGATGAATGGCTCGTCTCATCACAGCACGGAAAGCACCAGCAGCAGCAGTCGTCAGCATCGCTCCTTTTCCTCCTCATCCGCTAGACGGCACCGAAGATCCTCGAGTCGAAGCAGCTCCAAAGCCTCTCACTTAACGGAAATGGAAGATAAGATGGAGCGAATGCAGCCTCCTTCTGATTCGCCATCGCCATCACAGGAATCGTCACCCATCACCCGAAGGTCTTCTAGCAGACGAAGCGGTTCATCCAACAGACGTAGCGGCTCATCCAACAGACGAAGCGGTTCATCCTCGCGTACTCAAAGCGGCTCATCTCGAAAGCGCTCGGGTCGAAGTTCTACTAGACAAAGGGATGGCAGCAAGAAATCAGATGATGCTCTGAGTCTTCCGGCGGGTGTGGATCCGAATCTATCCGATGAGGATTGTACTCCTGGCGCCCATCGCGTGGGTAGCTTTGGTCATGTCAGCACGTTATCGCCCGCCTCATTTGAACACAATGAAAGCACGGATGATCAAAGCTTTTCCACGGCTAGCAGAAGTTCTGGAACGAGCAGTGTTGGTGCCGGAGCTACCATTAGATCCTCTACTACTAGTGGTACTACCCTTGCTCCAAGTACCTTGGATTCCGTATCGGAACACAAAACAATGGTCCAAGCAGTTGTGGCTAAAGACTACGAAGAGGAACTGGAAGCCGCACGAGCGCAAGGACGACAGGAGGCGCTCCAGGACCTTACCAGCAGCCACACCAGGCAAACAGTAACCACAGGTGACCTTGCGGTGGCGGTGGCGGCTCCTGATGATGACGAGAAGAGCATTGATCCAGCCGAAGTGCAACGGAAAAAGAAGAAAAAGCGCCGGAATATGATACTCTTGTTCTTGGTCATCCTAGCTCTTGTGGTGACGGCCACCATGTTACTTGTTGGGGGGGGATCAGATGCACCGGATCAACTGGAGACTGCGGAAAATTCCAACGCCAAGGTGGTGGTGGTTTACAATCCTCCTACCCAGGAAGAATGCCAAGCCATTGCCAACGGTACTTTTTTGGGCGATCAGCAATCCTTGATCCAAAGGTCCTTTGACATTCGCATCGACATGACCTTGGCCAATGAATATGACTTTGGTGCCCTTTATAGCGCCATGATGAACCATATCCAAGAGAAATTGATACCCATCATGGCAGGGTGTGGAGCAATTGACTTTTTCGATACCACCATGGCCATTTCGGACGAACTCAAGAATACCACAAACTCGATTGTCAATGGACAGGTTTCGAAACAATCCGAGGAGGAATGTGTACAAGGCAGCGAAAACTGCAAAAGCTACATACTCGTACTGGATCTGTACCTGAAGGAAGAACAGTCCAGTGCCAGTCTGATGGAGGTGATTTCAAGTACCGTGACTGGTGACGAACTTGCCAATACACTTGGGTCGATCGTTCCAGTACAATCGGCGTCTGTTCCTTGGATCGTTCCATCGGGCATGGAGGGTGCCACGGTAACTCCAACAGCGTCGGATCTCATCATGATTGTACCTACTACTACACCCACCCTCGCCCCGACCAAATCTCTGGCTCCTGGAACTACAGCAAATCCAACTGTTCCAGTTATCATCACAGCTGTACCAACGCAATCTCCGGATGATTCAGATGTGGCCCCCATTTCAACCATGGCACCCACTCTGGCCCCGACAATTACCAGACCTCTGGCTACTCCAGGAACTACACCAGCCCCTACTACGAGCAAGCCAACTACATCATTTCCCAATCTGTTCCAGCCAACAACGGACCCAGGACTAAGCAGCCCAACGAATGCTCCCATTCAAGCTCCCACACAAGGTCCTGATTCAAATCCAGCTCTTTCCCCCAGTCCTACAAGAAGGCTAACTCCAGCTCCTACTGTAAGGAATCCAGGAGGTCCAACGGTGGTCCCACGGAATCCAACCAAAGCCCCGACCATAAACCCCACAAATAATCCAACCAAGGCACCTACCAAGGGCCCATCCAAGGCGCCAACCAAGACACCAACCAAGACACCTACAGATGCACCTAGTTCCAGTCCAAGCATCTCGACACCAGTCCCAACAGTGGCGCCCACTTTGGCACCTGTTCCAGCTCCCACCGAGGTCCCTAGTGTCGCTCCAAGCAAAGCTCCTACACCGCCCCCGACTCTCCCACCTACGCCTCCTCCTTCTCCATTACCGTCCATGGCACCATCTACAGCACCATCCTTGGCGCCTCAAAACTGCTGCTCGACTGGTTCTCAAGTTTGTGACGTGACGAATCCACTTTGCCAACTTGCATTGACCTGCATAACAACTTGCTTTGCCAATTGGATCTAAATCTGCTTCATTCTTGGCATGACTTTGCTATGATATACATGATGTGATAATTTTAATTTTAACAAAAGTGAACTAGACTATTATAGTTCCTATGACTATTCTGATTTGAAGATACGCTAATTTCAAATTGTGTAACAAGTACTGGAATAGGTCATACCAAACCAGAGAACATCGTCACTTTTAGATACCATATACGTGTACCGGTATATATATTATAGTAATGACTCTTCTATGCTAATTTTGCGATACCTATTGGTAAATTAGCACCACCGGGGAATTAAAATAAAATTCCTCGCTTGTACTTTTAAAATGAAATAGCTTCCGATCGGTGAATTTACAGCTCTCAATGAAGAAATTCAAAATAACATTCAAATCTATACTTCCGCTACTGTAAGTTTTCAATAGTTGATGATTGGGAGAGACTATTGTCATTGAAAACGCATCCGCCCACATCCGACAAAGATTTCGGTTTCCACTATAATAACTCCATAGCATCTCCTTCGAGTCCAATGAGCGAAGTTAGTAAAACCAAGGATCCAAATAAGGATTCTCAGTCAAAAAGCAAGAGCAGGCGACAAAAAAAGTCGAAAGGGGGTGCATCCTCCAATGTTAGCGATGAAAAGATGGAACGGCAAATTGTTGTTATGCCTGAACTTGGAAAGAAGCTTCGTCTTATGAACGTTGATCAAAATGACAATGGTCCAACGAGCACACGTCATGATTTACCATCGAGACGGCGGAGTCAACAAAGATCATCTAGCCGGCATTCTGCAGAGGTCCCTCCTTCTGTCAGCATGACTAAATTGGAGAGCAAAATGGAACGGAGTCAGAGGCAATCGGGATTCAGCTCACCATCGGCTGATTCAGAAGGGAGAAGAAGAAGGCATTCTCACCGCAATTCATCACCAAACCATGGCGGTGGTACTAGTAGACGAGGACATCGTAGTAGAAGGAGCTACAAAAGAAGATCTTCTCATGATTCATCAGCTTTGAAATCCACAATGGGGTCCGACTCAGGCGATGACACGACTGCAGAATTGACATTATCCTTCAATAGCAGATCCATTCATGATCTGGCTTCGATTGCCCCCGATAGCGCATCCCAGGAATCATCCCAAGACATAACCGTTGACCCATTGCCTGGTGCCTTTCGTGTGAGCAGCGAGGGAGAGGTCAGCGTTCCATGCTCTTCCGCAGACGGACTCTTTGACGGAGATGACGAGGACATCGATATTCAGACAAACTCGATATCTGCAGGTACTTTCTGGTCTACCAGTGACACAATCACCATGTCTACCAGTTACGGCGAAAGATCACGATCTGGAACCATCACCGCGCACAGCAGATCGAATAATCCTAGAACTGGTAGTAGGTCTATTCTCAGGTCCGTATCTGAGGAACATGGAATCATGCTCGAAGCCATGGTTGCCCGAGATTACGGAGACGAGCTAAAAGAGGCAAGACAACGAGGGCGGGAAGAAGCACTCGAAGAAGTGATTGGTAGTAGACATCGCACTGCTGAGATTGCTGTTGCCATGCCATCAGACAATGGTAATCATGATGAGGACGAAGATGGCGGCAAGGGCAACAAACGAAATACATTTTGCTTAGCTCTTATTTGTCTTGGGATATTGATAACAGCAGTTTGTGTGAGCATAGCCATGCTACTACTTGGGTCGAAACCAGAGGTTTCTTCACAACTTGATGAAAATGAAGAGTCAAACGCTAAAGTCGTTGTTGTCTACACACCGCCGACGCAAGAGGAATGCGAAGCGATCGCCACAGGTATCATTTTGGATGATCAATTATCATTGGTTCATAAGTCTTTTTACATCCATTACGATATCACACTTGCATCCGACGAAGATCTTGCTCCTCTATTCAATGCCATGATGCGGCATATCCAAGAAAATCTTATACCGATCATGGCAGGTTGTGGAGCAACTGATTTTCTCGGCACACCCATCGCCTTGGACGATGGTCTCAAGAATGCAACGAACGCCATTGTAAACGGGAAGGTAGCAAAAGAATCGGAAGCGTCCTGCAGCAGTGATGGCTCAAGTGACAATTGTCGCAGCTACGTCCTCCTCTTGGATCTGTACTTGAACGAAGAAAAAACCAGTTCGAGTCTGATTGAGGTGATACGAGATTCTGTCAATGGCGAAGAACTAGCGGAAGCACTTGGATTTCAATTTCCCGGTGTGGATATGGAGGTAAATGTTCCTCTGATCGTGTCAACAATAGACGCAACCGTAGTGCCGAGTACTTCTTATGATCTTATGACAGCTGTCCCAACAGAAGCACCTACACCCCATCCACATAAGTTCGAGCCATCGCGATTTGTATCGAGAACTGTCTCACCAACAATGGGACTGCCAGTCACGAGCCCAGGAACCACATCTAGCCCAAGCATGATGCCAATATCTCCATCATTGCTATCTTTTGAGCCAACCAAAGGCAATGGCTCTACGCAAATTGTAACTCCAAGCCCAACGGACAATTTGAGCAACACGGTCACCACAAGATCTACAAGAAGCCCAACACCATTTCCAACACCTTTACCAACACCGTTACCAACATCACTACCAACACCTTCAACTACATTAGTTGGTTCTAACCCAACGAAAGCACCGACAAGGCATCCTACAAGAAGTCCAACACGAAGCCCGACTCTATCGCCTAGTATGATGTTTAGAACTCCAACACCTGAAATTAGCAAGTCACCAACAGAGTCCCCAAGCTCTAGCCCAAGCTTGATTAGTACTCCTGCTCCAACAAAGACACCGAGTCTGGCACCCACAAACGTCCCAAGTTCGATTCCAAGCAAGCTTCCTATATCTGCGCCATCGGTTTTCCCATCCTCTTTGCCATCGGTGTTCCCATCCAAGGCGCCCACCAAGTCGCCCACTCTGGCGCCCACAACAACCGCTGGTGGCGGTACCTGGTGTTGCTCCAACAGCTTAACAACTTGTGACGTTGCAGCTGGCTCCTGTAATGTCAATCAATTTGCATGCGAAGACAGTTGTCTCGGCACTTGGATACAAGAGAATTCCTGCACTGGACTGGCACGGTGGTCCGAGTGCACCAATGATGTGACTGGATGCTGTGCCCCGGCCGTGTGTACCAATCAAGGACCATCCTACAAACAATGCATATAGTCTATTGATAGTAGGAAGACTATATTATACTTTTTTTCCAGCTTGTGTGGAGGATCTCCACGATGCTTTTTATATATCACTCCGTAGTACTGTGCTGTAGTTTACTGCACAGTTCCAATTATCAAGCAAATATCATAGCACTTGCTCGACGTGCATTCATAGCCATATATATCCACTATGCATTTTAAAAATAAAATTCCGTAGTAATCCTGTACCGTAGTTTACTTGGTTGTTGCGATTACCTCATGGGCCGTTTGTGTTCCAAACTGTCTTGCATTCTCTTTTCATGTTCGACCAAATATCATCGTACCAGATTCTTAGAGAATCGGACGGACCAAAGCTCGTTATCACATGAATGGCAATGGACACCAACCCTACTCCTAAGCCCAACCCATGACACTATCCACAGCCCCATCCGCAACATCATATTTGGCTCCACAAATAAACTGCAGCTCGACTGGTTTTCAAGTTTGTGACCGTGACAAACCCACTATATGCCAACTTGAATGATTGACCTTCTTAGAAGAACTTTGCTTTGCCAATTGGGTCTAAATTTGCTTGCTTCTTGGCACTTGATACTCCACTACAGATGATATTATAATAATTTAAAAGAATAAGACTAGCTAGAATACAATATGACTATACACACACAGTGTGTACCGGTACGGGTAGGACTATCCCATTGCAATTTGAAGATGCTCTACCGTATTTTGTGGCGGTTTAAAAAAAAATCATACTGCGCACCAACCCAGCTTTTGATTGCGCCTCACATACAGTATAAGTAATTTGCGGGATTTGTTTTTGGACGGTGTGAGAAAACCCACCAGGACTTCTAATCTTGTGGTTTGCAAGTGAAGAAGCTTCCGATCGGCGATTTTGTCCCACAAAGAATACTCGCGAGATGCCTTTCAATGTACCGGTATTGTGAATCAAAACTATAATAACGTATTGGTAAAAAGTTTGTTCTGGACCGTTCCAAATAAGTCTGTTATCGTCATATATAAATACTGTAGGTACATATATAAAATATGAGATCGAAAATTATTGAATTTCAAATTGGTTGCAAACATCCCTGTCATTAATATTCCCACTACCGTATAATTTCTCAAGCACCTCCTTCGAATCTTACCACAATGAGCAAAAGTGGTAAAAGGAGCGATGCAAAGGCTTCGCAGTCAAAAAGCAAGAGTAGACGAGGAAATAAGTCGAACAGCAGGACATCCACAATAAGCGATGAAACCAATGGACGACAGCAGAGTGCTGTTATGCCTGAACTTGGAGAGAAACTTCGTCGCATTAACGCTGATCAAAACGGCAACAATGTAATGAGCATATCTCATTCGCTACCGAGACGGAGTCATCGAGGGTCATCCAGTCGCAAATCCTACGAAAACCCTTCTTCGTCTGTCATGAATAAGGAATTGGAAAACAAAATGGAACGAATGCAGCGTGGTGGTTCAGGATCGACATCAGGAAGAAGACAAGAAGCCAGCCGACAGCAATCGAGACGGAGCTCATCGTCGACGAAATCCGATGGAAGAAGTAGAAGGCATTCTCGTCCAACCGATGCTGCAGATACTCCTCATAGAAGAGGACATAATGGCCGTAGAACGAGGCCAAGACAACAGTCTTCATCGTCAGATTTATATTTGAAACCGAGGGTGGGTTCCGACTCAAACTTAGGCGATGACGAGACTGCAGCTTCTTCATCATCCTTCAATGAAGGGTCCCTTCCGGATCTGGCTATCATTCCTTCTGAAGGTCCTTCTACCCAGCACAGTACCTCCCAAGAATCAACATCCCAAGGCATAGCATCCGTTGGCACTTTCCCTGGTGCTTTTCGAGTGAGTAACGTGGGGGAGGTCGGTGTTCCGTCTTCTTCCTTGGACGAAACCATTCACGGAGACGAGGACGAGGACAGCGATATTCAGACGAACTCGATCTCTACAGGCACTACTACTACGACCACTGGTACAACAATTAGACCTGGCGATGGCGCATCACCCCGGTCCGGTACCATCAACACACACAGCAGATCCCATACTACTTCAAGAATGAACCGATCTGCCTTACGATCAGTATCGGAAGAACAAGGAACTATGGTCGAAGCAGTTGCAGCTCGGGATCATGAAGACGAGTTAGAAGAGGCAAGACAACGAGGGCGGGAAGAAGCACTCGAAGAAGTGACTAGTAGTCGTACCCATCACACTGCTGAGATTGCCGTTGCTATGCCAACAGATGATGACGACGACGATGCTGAAGGGGAGAGCAAAGACGATGGAAAAAGGAAAAGCCGAAATGCATTTTGCCGCGCTCTTATTTGTCTTGGAATGTTGTTGATCCTATCGATTGTTGTCACTACAGTCGTGTTGCCGATACTTCATAGGTCGAAACCAGAGGTTTCTTCACAACTTGATGAAAATGAAGAGTCAAACGCTAAAGTCGTTGTTGTCTACACACCGCCGACGCAAGAGGAATGCGAAGCGATCGCCACAGGTATCATTTTGGATGATCAATTATCATTGGTTCATAAGTCTTTTTACATCCATTACGATATCACACTTGCATCCGACGAAGATCTTGCTCCTCTATTCAATGCCATGATGCGGCATATCCAAGAAAATCTTATACCGATCATGGCAGGTTGTGGAGCAACTGATTTTCTCGGCACACCCATCGCCTTGGACGATGGTCTCAAGAATGCAACGAACGCCATTGTAAACGGGAAGGTAGCAAAAGAATCGGAAGCGTCCTGCAGCAGTGATGGCTCAAGTGACAATTGTCGCAGCTACGTCCTCCTCTTGGATCTGTACTTGAACGAAGAAAAAACCAGTTCGAGTCTGATTGAGGTGATACGAGATTCTGTCAATGGCGAAGAACTAGCGGAAGCACTTGGATTTCAATTTCCCGGTGTGGATATGGAGGTAAATGTTCCTCTGATCGTGCCAACAATAGACGCAACCGTAGTGCCTAGTACTTCTTATGATCTTGTGACAGCTGTCCCAACACAAGCACCTACACGCCATCCACATCATTTCGAGCCATCGCGATTTGTATCGAGAACTGTCTCACCAACAATGGGACTGCCAGTCACGAGCCCAGGAACCACTTCTAGCCCAAGCATGATGCCAATATCTCCATCATTGCTATCTTTTGAGCCAACCAAAGGCAATGGCCAAAGCAGTAGCTCAACGAATGAGCCAAGTCGAGCTACCACAACCCCTCCAATGCAAATGGTCACTCCAAGCCCATCAGATGATTTGAGCAACACGCTTACTGCAAGTCCAACGAGAAGACCGACATCCCCATCAACATCACTACCAACACCGCCACCTACATTAGTGGGTTCGAAACCAACGAAAGCACCGACAAGGCATCCTACAAGAAGTCCAACACGAAGCCCGACTCTATCGCCTAGTATGATAGTCACAACCATTGCTCCCACGCCTGAAATTAGCAAGTCACCAACAGAGTCCCCAAGCTCTAGCCCAAGCTTGAGTACTACTCCTGCTCCAACCAAAAAACCAACTCTGGCACCCACAAACGTCCCAAGTTCGATTCCAAGCAAGCTTTCTACATCTGCGCCATCGGTGCTCCCATCCAAGGCGCCCACTCTGGCGCCCACAACAACCGCTGGTAGTGGTGGTGGGGCCTGGTGTTGCTCCCAAAGCTACAAGACTTGCGACATTACACATGGAGCGTGCAATGTCAATCAATTTGCATGCGAAGACAGTTGTCTCGGCACTTGGATACAAGAGAATTCCTGCACTGGACTGGCACGGTGGTCCGAGTGCACCAATGATGTGACTGGATGTTGTGCCCCGGCCGTGTGTACCAATCAAGGACCAACCTACAAACAATGCCTATAGTCTTTTAATAGTAGGAAGACTATATTATACTTTTTTCCAACTTGTGTGGAGGATCTCCACGATGATTTTTATATATCACTCCATTATTTGTGCTGTGCAGTAAACTGTTTACTTCTTAGTACCGCCATATTGGGAACAGTTAGTACTGTTTCAGTTTCGCATCTACCCAAAGCGGCCAATATTATCATGGAATGTTACACTATTGATACCCATACCATAACCTCTCCAATGCTGTTTCTATTCTTTCGCATCTAAAGCGGCTGAAAGCTGATTGATATCACTATGAAACGTTGATTGATTGGTGCCCGGCCGGTACATTAGTATCCATAGTCCCCTCAACTGTGATTCCCGGTACTCCCAAACGTAGCCCACTGGCCTGCACTTTTGTTCCAATCAAGGACATGCTTCTCAGGCTTAATTGCAACTTGTTCGGAGCACACGTGACTTTTTGTATTACTCCAAGACCATATTCGAAGATTTTTACATGGTAGTTGCTATGATACGCGCGACGTTCACAACGATGTTTCGGTTTCGCATTTACCTAGAGCGGCCAAAAACATGTTTCTGGGACATCGCGACCTTTACGTTTTCGCCGGCCCGATTGGCATAAATGTATGAAAAGGGCATGCTTCGCAAGACATCATAAACAAATCATTTAGGTACAATTTAGTTGCCTCACAAAACCCAAATAATGAACGACAAAACTGATATAGCTTTTGGCCCTCAAGACGATCCGCTTATATTATTCTTGTGCGTCCAAATCGACATCTTCAAAACCGTATGTATCGTGTGAAAAAAGCACAACTAAGACTATTTGTGTTTGCAACCATAACATTGTTGCTTTAATCTGTGCTCAAGTAACAACCTTCTCCTCTACGACAAGCATGAGTGCAGCAAAGGTGTCATCATCAGTGTGCACTGGCGGCAGAACTCGCGATGAAATTGTTCCAAGAACAAGAAAACTAGCAACAACAAACGATGAGAAAGAACAATTCATGCTCATCCTTCCCGAGCTTGCTGAAAAGGTACGAAGGGAACGCCACCATGAGAGCAATCATGGTTGGCAGTATTCCTCTAGACGAAGGTCTCGAAGAGATCGCTTGAGATCTCGTAGTTCTTGTAGTAGTAACAAGGCAAAATCCAGTGGGAGTAGCTCTACGGAAAGCACAAGCCGTAGTATCACATCATCGGAACAATCATCATCTGATCCCGTGATGGATGAGCTGCAGGAGAAGATGGCTCGGATGCAATCTCCAACCAAAAGTTCTTCTTCCAGACGCCACAGTTCTTCTTCGCGAAGACGAAGTACTACCAGCCATCGAAGAACTAGTAACTCACGAGTAGGCAACAGTCTATCACCGAGGAGACGGGGATCATCATCTGCGAGTAGTACCAGATCATTCTCGAACCACCAATCCGAGGCTATCGAAATGTCTTCTCCGCGTCCTCGACACAGTGGAGAGCGCAGTCGCCGTTCTCGTTCCTCAACATCTCACTCTCCTGATAATAATAACAGCAGCAGGCGAAGAAGACATCATGGTGGTCAGAGAAGCTCTACTAGAAGATCATCCTCGCAAAATTCTTCTTCCGAATCGGTGGGTTCTTTGGACCTCGAAGACCTGGTGGTTCCAGTAGGTGCCCTCCGAGTGGACAGCATCGGACAGATCAGTGTACTGTCAACATCCTTCCATGGTAGTGGTAGTATACCCTCGGAAGTCAGCATGGGAAGTGACGATCATATTGATGACGGTAACAATGATTCCACTACCGTAGTACTAGAGAATGAGGACGATGGCAGTCAATCCTCGGGCACTACTCGCTCTATGTCAAGGTCCAATTCTTGTTCGCTTCGGTCCAATTTACGATCCATCTGCGAGGACCAAGAAGAACCAATGGTCGAAGCCGTCTTTGCCCAGAACTACGAGGACGAGCTAGAACAGGCCCGAGAGCAGGGCCGACGAGAAGCCTTACGGCGCGCTGGTGGTACTAATGAGATTGCAGTGGCAGTGGCAGCCAATGATCGTCCATCATTATCATCACGTGTGGACGGTGATGACGAGGAAGAGGACGACCAAACAGTTGATGGAAAACGCAAGAGAACATTGCTTTGCTATTTGGCATTGCTTTGTTGTATCATTATTGCGATTGGATCCATAGGGACATTACTTTTCTTGAATGGGTCAGACACTAGCGATGTCTCTTTCGTCTCTGATTTGGAGGACGAGGACGACCAATCCAACTTGAAAGCTGTCATCATCTACGACCCTCCTACTGTGGAAGAATGCCAAGCGATTGCGAACGGGACCATGTTGGATGGACAATTGTCATCCTTGATTCAGAGGACGTTTGATGTTCAGATTGAGCTGACGCTCGCTTCCCAAGCTGATTTCAGTGCCCTTTTGAACGACCTGATTGGTCACATTCAGCAAAAGCTGATTCCGATCATGGCTGGTTGTCAAGGCATTAACTTGTTCGACGCAACCATGGCTATTTCGGACAAGCTGGGCAATAGTACAACTACTACCCCCGGCAACGCCATCACAAATGGAAAGGTACAGGAAGGCAGTCAGCAGACCTGTGAAGGTACTGACTCGATTGAAAATTGTCGCGTCTATGTGCTTGTCCTTGATCTATATTTGGAGGAAGAAGAATCGAATGCCATTCTTCTCGAAATTATCGGCGAGAACTTTGTGGGCGAAGAGCTTACCCGTACCCTTTCCGCATTGCATCCTACTGTACAGACAGCATCCGTTCCTCTGATTGCCCCATCATCCGATATCATTCATGGCGGCGGTGATGATGTCACCTCGGTGCCTTCAGATGTCCCGCTGCTCCCCGAGATACCATCGCCTACACAGTCTCCGGTACAAGATGATTCTACTCCAACTCCAACTGCACCCATGGGTGCTGCTGCTACAGGTGTGCCGCTTACTCCGCCTACTCACGTTCCAAGTATGGTGATAGTAGTTCCTACCGATGAAGACTCTATTGCACTCGGCCCAACAAGGGCACCCACAAGCGAAACAATCACCTCTTCTCCGTCCAACGCGACACCAGTGACTGTACCAACTGCAACTCCAACCAGGATACCGACGGCTGCACCGAGCAGTACTCCAACCACCGTGAGCCCCACAACGAGTCCAGTGCCTCCTATTTCCAAGGCAACCTCCTCACCAGTCTCAAATCCAACAACGAGACCAGTGCCAGCCGCAACTCCTCCACCAACGGATGAGCCAAGCCTTGGTCCAAGTATTATGGTTACTACTTCAATGCCATCCAAGTCCCCTACACTTTCTCCTGTAGTTGGCCCTACGGAAGACCCTAGTGGATCTCCTACAAAAGCACCGAGTAGATATCCTTCGGCAAGACCTAGCAAGTCGCCAACAACAGCTCCGAGCAAATCACCGACTGCAAGTCCCAGCAAGTCACCAACTACAGCTCCGAGCAAATCACCAACAACAAGTCCAAGCAAATCTCCAACAAAAAGCCCAAGCGAGTCACCGACTGATGCCCCAAGCCAAAGTCCAACAAAACAGGCCAGCCCTGGTCTAACTCCGGCAGTTGGTACCTTTTGTTGTTCTAAAAACTTTATCACTTGTGGTGGAGTCAATCCTTCATGTCAAGCAAGTCAATCAGCTTGCAGTTCCTGCAATAATGCTGCTTGGATTGAAGAAGGTACCTGCACCACGGGTCTTGGATGGAACGATGAATGCACCAACAATCCATCTGGGTGCTGCGGCGGTTCCTGCGTCACGGTAGGCAATAAGAAACGATGCCGCGCATAGTATGATATAGTGTATTATTTCGTAACGATGATGGATTTGAAGTATACGCAGTCAGAACAAATGTGGATGTTGTAAATTGTAACATATTCAGGAGTGCAAGTCTTCTTCATAGTGTCGGCTCCTTCAAGATCAACGTTTCTCTACGGCGAGAACTAGGTGGTTGCTGTGGGTTTCTTGTAATTGCAAGATTTGTACCACTGCCCTTTACTATACAAAACGCAGACCGACCGTTCTTACCCTTACCGTACTATAAACCCGCAGCAGTGTCATTTCCAATACCTGGTACCGGTACACACTGAATATCGGTAGGAAGTGAAAGGTGGATGTGCAACTCTCTCCCAACGGACCCAATGGAAAATCCAAGATCAAACGCCACCACACATAGGTCGGGATCGCTATTTGTCATCTGTCTTGGTTCTCAAATCTGCCGGCAAAAGAATTAGGAACAACACCCCAAATGACCATTTATTTAACGTTTTAAAACAGCCTCCAGTCTTCCACGATAAACAACATCCTTATTCCTGCATAGACGCTAATTCATTGGTTGTACGTGTTTGTGGTACTGTGTTCTTCAATCGTTTCGCAGGGATCGTAATAAGTTCAGGCAACGCAGCATCGCAGCATTCGCAGGCGCAGATTGCTTTGGTTTTGTGCGTATAGTACTCTCTTTGATCCGTTGCTTTGCTACTTTTACCGTAATACTGGTAAAATGGGCAAACACAGTGATAATCAGGCCCCAAAAGTGACCTCCAGTGCTGACGAGATTCGGAAACAAAAGCCCAGCGCAGAGATGAACAACAACGAAAACAACGAAAATGAAAGTCACATACAATTGCTTCCTGAATTGGGTGACAAGGTTCGATCGCATCACGATTCTTCCATACGAAGTAACCGGACAACGCATTCTTCACGTTCTCGTAGTCTCAGCACCTCTTCTGAGAGGTCATCGGAACAACGTTCCAGGCGGTCCAGTCTGAACTCTTCTCAGAACACTGATCCTGTGGTGCATTCCTCAAACGGTTCTCAGCGCCCCAATGGAAGTTCGGGTAGACGAAATCGAACCACTGGGGGTGACTCCAGATCGCACAGCCTTGGAAAATCAGAGAGGTCAGCTTCTTCCAGAGGAGGACGGCAGTCTCGAAGGAGCAGCAGCCACAGCAGGAGTAGCGCTGGAGCCGCAAGTGGTTCGTTCCATGTAAGCCAAAGACGACAAAGTTCTTTGTCGTCCTCCTCTAGAGGACAAAGAAGGTCATCCTCTGGGGCTGGTGCAGCAAGTGGTTCTTTTCATGTTAGTCAGCGGCGGAACATTTCCTTATCCTCAACATCATCCCCGTCTAGGGGACAAGTTTCATCCACCACGAGAAGAAGGACATCCTCAGGTGCTGGTGCACCAAGTGGGCCGTTTCACGTGAGTCAGCGACGAAACATTTCTTTGTCCTCAGCATCATCGCCTCCTAGAGGACAAGTTTCATCCACAAGAGGAAGGGCTTCGTCTAGTGCTGGTGCAGCGTGTGGTTCTTTTCATGTTAGTCAGCGACGAAACATTTCATTGTCCTCTCACTCTCCAACTAGAAGGAGCAACAGTGGCCATAGAAGAAGACAAACAACAGGACGCTCGAGATCATCGTCTCAGGGCTCGGAACCCAATATCGCTGTTACCAGAGACGATTCCATGCCGGATCTTGCCACGATTAGTTCTGGTGCTTCTCCAGCAAATCTTCAAGATCTCATTATTCCTGGAGCCTTTCATACTGATAGTCACGATGATGGAATTAGTGTACTATCCGGATCTACTCATCATCGACATGATGGTGACAGCACTACTGGTGGTTCTTCTGCCAACAACAACGAAAATGAAGCATCATCAAGATCCGCATTACGTTCCGTGTCTGAGAATCATAGAGAGCAACCTGTTGTGGAAGCAACAACTGTTGCACAAGACTACGAAGACGAATTGGAACAGGCCCGAGAACAAGGTAGACGTGAAGCCCTAAATCGATTCACAAGTCGACCTGAAACCGATGACATTGCGGTTGCTGTAGCAACAGGCAGTGCTGATGGTGACGATGATGATTTCAGCAAAGACGATGACGAAGCCACAGACGAAAAGCGAAAGAAAACTATTTTATGTTATGTCGCACTTCTTTGCTGCATCATCATTGCAATTGGAACGGTAGGAACTCTACTTTTGTTTGGTGGAGGAAACAGCGACCCGATTCCACTCGTCTTTGATGACGAAGATCTCGAGTCTAATCTTAAGGGTGTTATTGTCTACACCCCTCCGACTCAAGAAGAATGTGAAGACATTGCCAATGGTATGGTTAGAGAAGACCAACAAAAGCTAATTCAAAAGTCTTTTGATATCCAGATTGATATCACATTGGAAGCTGAAGCTGACTTTGGTCCTTTGCTAAGTGATCTCATTCGGCACATTCAAGAGAAGCTATTACCATTAATGGCAGGTTGCGGGGCCATCAACTTTTTCGATGCCACAATGGCAATTGCGGGTGACCTTACTAATACTACAGAAGCCATTACCAATGGACAAGTGAAGCCCAGCAAAGAAAAATCTTGTGCCAATCGTCCTATTGAGAACTGCAAAAGCTATGTACTTATCTTGGACTTGTATTTGGAGGAAGATAGGTCAAATGCAGTCCTTCTTGAGGCAATCGGATCCACGGTCACTTCTGAAGAAATTACCAAAACAATGGGAAGCATCTATCCCGTGCAGACGGCATCCGTTCCAATGATCGAACCCGCCATGGATGATGACACTCCAGCTACAACTACTCCCACTGAAGATCCGTCAAAAGAAGCTGAAACGAGCCCCCCGCTTCCCACACCCACTGCGGTACCTGCCACCGATGCACCGGTGATCGATGTGGAAACTACTACTGCGCCAGCTCCGGAGCCAACGTTTCCCGATGATTTTAACACGACAAGTCCACCAACAAAGGCACCAACAACATCTCCTACCACTGAAGCTACCCCAAGTCCGGTTCCAATCCCAGGAAACAATCCTACAGTCGCCGCTACCATGAGCCCAACGAAGGAGCCGACACGAAGCCCAACAACGAGTCCTACGAAGAATCCTTCCAAACTTCCAACTGTGCCCCCTACGCCACCTCCAACCACGGCCCCCACTCCACCTCCAACCATGGCCCCCACTCCACCTCCAACCGTGGCCCCCACTCCACCTCCGACCGAAGCTCCCACCCCGCCTCCTACAAAAGCACCAACCAAGGCTCCCACAGAGGCACCCACTGAACCCACAACTGGTACCTTTTGTTGTTCCAGGAACTTTCTCAACTGCGGCGGAGTCGATGATGAATGCCAGGAGAGTCAAGCCTCCTGTGAAGCCTGCGCCTCTGTTTGGATTGAAGAAGGCTCCTGCACTGAGCTTGGCCGAAACGATGATTGCACGGATAATGAATCTGGTTGCTGTGCCGGCATATGCACACCTCAGGGAAATGGGAGATCGCAATGCCGTCTGTAAAACTGCACTGTATTCTCGATTGGTTGTAATGAAAGAGCAAACTTGCACGGTATAAGGTTATTCTACTGCACATTATTTAGTTTTGGGAATGAGCTAGGTCCTAATGTAATGCAACTGTTAAAATAAAATGAAGTAAACGGATAACATTATTATAATAAATATATCTTTAAAAATAGTAAATACAGTACAGTAGGATCTTTTTTATGTTGTTGCCTGAACTGCCTTGCTACATGACGGACCGTCCAAATTTCACCTTTCAATAGTGCACAGATGTCGTAAAGTTCTCGGTGAACTGTGGCAGTTTGGTATATTAGCTCTCGATGACTGAACGCAATACCACCCCAGTGGTTGCGCATTACAGAAATGTTCAAGGCGCAGGCAAAAGTCCCTTCTACAACGAACTCTGTCAAGTCATTTTTGCGAAACTTGAGTATTCCAATGCCACCAGCTTGGAGCCCTTTTTTCCAAATATAACTGGTCAGACTTTCTCGCCCCTATTCCTTCGAAGCACTGAAATAAGTACACGTCCCATCTGCTTAAGTGTTTAGGAAATTCACGGACGTTGAGAAGAATACTTTCGATCTTGCGCAAAAACAAGTTTGTCCTACCGGTATTATATATTCATTTCTGAGATCGTGAACTTGAGAAGAAACTCATTGAAAGGATTGAAAGCGAGGCGTGATCACTTTCGCAGGACCGCTAATAACCCTCAACCAAAGTCTAAGATCACCCATTTAGCTTGCATTCCATGAGTAACACCAGCAATCACCTGCTAATTTTGCCTGAACTGGAAGAGAAGGCTCGAAGAGAAGGGCGCAACAAAAGCAGAAACAGTATGCAATATTCCTCACGAAGGAGGTCTCGACGGGATTCCATCAGATCCTCTAAAAGTGCTGGATCTCGTGATAACTCTACCGCTGCGACTAGTCGATCCTCCGGCATGTCTGAGAGATCTCTGGAATCTATGAGTTCGTCTTCTAGCTCTGGGATATCCTCTAGATCGTTGACTAGGACTTCTAGCTACCAGATGAAATCAAACCATCTAAATCTTATGGACGAGTTGGAAGAGAAGGTGGCTCGAATGAACGCCCTGTCTTCTGGAACCCAAAAGCGTAGAAGTAAAAGTGGCGACAAGTGGCGTCGGTCCTCGAGACGAAGCCATGCCGGAAGCTCCAATAGAAGATCATCCAGCTTGAGCTCATCTGAAAGATCATGTAGCTCAGGAAATTCCGGATCCACAACAAGTGAAGCAAGACATGGAGCCAGAGACGAGCACATAAGACGAAGGTCATCCTCGGGTGGATCAAGGCGTGGAGCCAGGGAAGAGAACAAACGACGAAGGTCATACTCCAGTGGATGGAGGGCTCAGGGCAGTTCTTCTCGGGATGTTCCTCCCAGCATGCCACCCCGTGATGATCCTCCACGCATTCCATCTCGTGCTTATAACACCTCTAACCTACCAGAAAAAGAGAACCTGAGATGGACTTCTCATTCGAATCAATCGAGACGACGATCGCCATCCAGTGGTGCAGGGGCCGCGAGTGGTTCTTTCCAAGTCGCCAACAGGAACATTGCTTTGTCTTTCTCATCTTCTCGCTCTGGCAGAAGGAAAGGGCGAAGCAACAGTTCTACATCTTCGCGAAGCTCATCAGGTTCTGCTGCGCGCGCTAGCTCAGATCAAGATCTCACCAACAGCCGTCCTCCCAGCGTTCCTGGCGCCATTCGCGTGAACAGCATTGGCGACGTCAGCGTTCTTTCATCTGCATCGTCCCACGTTTCAATCGATGGCAGTGTACGCAGTTCGGTTTCATCACTTTCATCAGGCTCACTCGATGACAGCACTCGAAGCACGGGCTCCTCCTCTTCGCGCCGCAGCACTCGAAGCTCGCGGTCATCTTCGCGTCGTAACCGATCACTAGACATTAGTCTTCACAGCTGGCCGGAAGAAAACGAAGAACAGGAAGAAGATGAATACTCTTTCGCTTGTAATAGCACAGATCACAGCCGATCGGTTCTGATGTCAGTGGACGAGGAACCTGTTATTGTAGCATCTATGGCCGAAGACAACGAAAACGAACTCCAAGCTGCTCGCGAACAGGGCAGACGAGAAGCTCTGACACAAGTGACTAGACACAACAGTGATCATGTTATCATTGCCGTGGCACGCGATCATGACGACGAGAGCCAAGCTGAGTCTCTGGTAGATGAAAAGAAGAAAAGGAAAGTTTTATGCTGGGCATTCTTGCTTTGCTGTCTGCTGGTCACTGTTGGCGCCGCAGTAACATCGCTTCTCTTTGTTGGAAAGGGCACCGGAAGAATGGGGCCTCCCATTAAAGAGGATCTCGATTCTAACTTGAAGGGAGTCATTGTGTTCACCCCTCCAACAAAAGAGGAGTGTGACGCGATCGTCAGTGGCAACATTTTGGAGGATCAGATGTCTTTGATTCAAAAATCCTTTGATATCCAGATCGACATCACCCTTGCATCAGAAGCTGACTTTGGTCCTCTTCTCGGCGACCTCATCAAGCACGTTCAACAAATGTTGATTCCGGTAATGGCAGGATGCCAAGCTATTGACTTTTTTGACGCTACCATTGCAATTACAGATGGCATTTCAGCTACCAATGCTAGTGGCGCCATTGCTAACGGACAAGTTCATGAGAGCAGAGAAGAGTCTTGTGCTGATGACCCTATCGGCAATTGCAAGAGTTATGTGCTTATCTTGGATTTATACTTGGAAGAAGACAAGTCCAATGCCATGCTTTTGGAGGCAATTGGACAAACGGTAACGAGCGACGACATTGCCAACACGCTTGGCCTCTTGTATTCTGTACAGTCGGTGTCCGTCCCCGTGATTGTACCCCTAATCGATGATGGCACATCAACTCCAGAGCCCACCCAAGACTCTAGGACTAGTACACCAGTTGCCTCTTCTACATTTGCGCCATCCAGCAGGGTACCAAATGCCGCTGCACCAACTGGAGCCCCAGTCAGCGCAACAGCTGCACCAAGCAAAGCGACAACCTCGAGTCCAGTCAATGAACCAACCGACTCGCCAACACGACGACCAACGTCGAGCCCAACCATGGTTCCAACCAAGCCGCCATCTCAAAGCCCGACCAAGTCAACGACTGATAAGCCTACCAAAATTCCAACCGAGTCGCCGGTCGACAGCCAAACTAGGACTCCAACAGCTATACCCACGCCTGTTCCGACTCCGCCTCCAACTGGCTCACCAACCAAGTCTCCAACTCCGCCTCCAACTGGATCTCCAACCAAGTCTCCAGCTCCGCCTCCAACTGGCTCACCAACAAAGGCTCCAACTCCACCTCCAACTGGATCTCCAACAAAGGCTCCAACTTCACCTCCAACTGGATCTCCAACAAAGGCTCCTACTCCACCTCCTACAGAGGAACCCATTGAAGTAGGGCAGGTAGCACCCACAACTGGTAACTTTTGTTGTTCGAAGAACTTTCTCACCTGCGGTGGAGTCGGAGCTGCATGCCAAGAGAGTGAAGCATCCTGCGGTGCCTGTGGCGGCGCAGCCTGGATTGAAGAAGGTGCCTGCACTGGACTTGGCCGAAACGATGACTGTACAGACAACGAATCTGGTTGTTGCGCCGGCACATGCACACCTCTGGGAAATGGGGATAAATCGCAATGCCGTCTATAAGATAGATTCATTCACTAATAGATATGAGCTTACGATAAAACTCTAAAGAGTGAAAATAACGAACTCCTATCGCAATATCTAGCCATACATGATAAATGCAGCGTAGCTGTAAAATAATGTTAGGTATATTCTAGGTCTATACGGTGCCACATACAGCTAGCTTCGAATTGAAGGTGAATGGAATCGTCAATGCTGGTGGATTGATCGCTCGTCTTCACTCGTATCCTAGCCTACCAGTTCGAATCCACAGTCGAGCGCTTAATATCACTATAGCCCCACCACTGCTGATGATATAGGTCTTTTGGTTGATTGGTGTCTTCCAAACAATGCCGCATCGAGGAGATATCTTCGTTTCATCTGTCGTTGAGGATATAGTCGTCGATGTAAATAAATTTCAGCGAAATCCAAAATTATTTCCCTTCGGATCGATCGCATCATTGGAGTTCGTTTTATAACCAGCCGCCAATAATGGGTGGGGTGTGGAGTTTCGGCCAGATTATATCTCAGCCATTTGAATAGTCATGGCGGGTTGGAGGCCGATGTTGTGTGTTGTTCCCATAGTACTACAGTAGACATCGTGTGGTAGCGTTCCCTTTAGAAGAAACCATTTGAATAAACTCGTTGCCAGGTATGGAAGCAGCGTCATAATCCGGTTTCCCGAAACTATAGTTCACGATGCCGACTTTGCTCTTTTCTAAAATCTATCACAGCCGACAGAGTCAAATTGTGCCATCATTCTTCTTACGAGGAGGCAAGGGACCATTTCATCTATCTCACTGAGGAGCACGAATGTGTCAATGGTAGTGGCGTCGGTGGAGATGCTCTTGTCCAAGAATACCGATACATCTGCATCGTGACTTTTTCTTGAACTCTGAGGCCAAACTCTCCAGTGATGCAAAACTGACCTCCTGTATTGTTTCCACCAAAGGACAAAAAACTATTTGCTCTGATACTCTCTATACGAGCATAACATATCATCATCATCTATCTTGTTGCCATGATAGTCGTCCTTCAATAATGGCATGAACAAGTATTTTGTTGCTCCCAAACGAAGCCGCCTCTGTTCGAGTTGGCATGCTCCTCTAGCCTAGTGCGAAAGTCCCCAAAGCCCATATATACCACCAATAGGACACTTTCGAGCTAGCCACAGGCTTGTAGCTCTCCAATTGTCATTGTCGTCCTCTAAGAAGACCAAACGAAATGGCACAAAAGTCACTTTTTAGCATCTAAGTGCTACAATCAGCCTATTCTTGTGCCACTGATCGAACCTAGGTACATACCAAGCAATTGGCCATTTACAGTGGGCCCAAAGGGTCATAGGAAGACGTCTGATGGGTTGTTTTGATGAAAATGGTCATACGGTATGTGGGCTAAGGTCGAAAGTTGGTTTTTCACCATTTCTCCACCTTCCATTTCGCCGTGACTGGCGGATGTTCTGTTTTTAAAAAAGGAATACTATATGTACCTGTACTTTGACTCGAGCGAATCGATTGCACAGAGAGTTGTATAATATATAGCGATGAGTCAGTCTAGAGATGCAACAGCCACAATAACAGGACCATGCTACCTTCGACAGTTCTACAATATCCAATATTGAATACTTGGAGCACAATGTTGCCTTTTTGTTGTCTCTGATCAAGAACCCGTTGAATGAACTTGTTTAGACTCGCGCAAAAATTTGATCAGAAAAAAGCTAACGGTACTAACGTTAAATGGAATTATGCCGGTCTCACTAATGCTGGAATATAGTTCCTCCGACGCACAAATTCTCACTGAATGATCTGAAATTGTGAATTTTGTAATTACCGAATCGGGACTGTCGTCACACTAATTTTATCAGAAATTTTATGCATTGGTGAATATTGGAAGGAATGTCTGACACAGTTCATTTTTTCGTAGCTGTCGAATCGGGACTGTCTGCACCGCCTGAGTGGTACCCACACTTGATCAGATATCATGCACGTGTACCGGTACCTGGTCAATACGACCATTATGTGCGTTCCAAATGGTGCTTCGAGCGAAGCTCTGAACGAATTATGTAATGTCTTATCAGCCAAAGATCGAAGGAATCTCCGGAATTAACTACAATTGTGTATCCTTCGATTGTCCTCACAATTTTTCAATTCTTCCAATTTGCTGTGGAAAATGATTTCAAGCCGCAGTACCAACAACGACAAACTCCGAAAGGATAGTTACAGCTGCTCCAAAATCGCCAATGGCAATCTAATGTCCCTTTTGGCACATCCTCTCATGTCATCATCCTTGGATCACTTTCAAAGCTTTTCTTTTGAGAATCCCTTTGACGACCCAAGCATGGAGCCTTTGCCTCTGAGATCGCAAAGCCAACTGCCACAAGTCGTTCATTCGAGTTCTGGTTCCAACCATCTACGAGACCTGATGGGCAGTCTGGATTCCATCGCCACCAATGTTGGATCCAAAAGAGGCTCCGAAGAGGCCTTCTTCACCGATGACCAAATATGTCTCAGCAAGAAGCGACAACGTACGAGCCCTGTGCAAGCTACTTCTGCTAATGAAGAAGAAGTCATGGCCCGATTCAGACCTTACCAAGAGACGCAATGGCGATCCCAGTTCAAAAAGCTCGTTGAATACAAGTTTGAACATGGCCATTGCTGTGTTCCTCATTCGTATCCAGAAGACCCCATCCTAGCACGATGGGTCAAGCGACAAAGGTACCAATTCAAAAAGCTCAACGACAACGACCCAACATCCACCATGACAAGCCGTCGCATCCAAGACCTCGATTCCATAGGCTTTGTGTGGCATTCTCATGCCTCAGCATGGCAGGAAAAGGTTAACGAGCTAATGGCCTTCAAACAAGCCAACGGTCATTGCAACGTCCCGTCGCACTATCCAAAGAATGCAGCCTTGTCCACTTGGGTGAAGTGTCAACGTCGGCAATGGAAGCGCTTCATCAGAGGAATCTCTCCTTCACCCATGACGATGGATCGAATCCAACTGTTGGAATCCTTGGGTTTTGTGTTCGACATCCTAAAATCAAAACAGTCGAGCTAACAAATTGAGTTTGAACGATTTTGGTGCTGATTTTGCACATACCATAAATAAAACAGTTTTCTACACACAAGCCTCGTGTCCTCAAGCTTACTTCAACATGTTTGCTCTAAATACTTCAGCCATAATCGTATTGTTATTGCACTGCAATGATGACAGAATGTGTAATTCCCGATGGTTCTTGAACAGGTTTGAAATAGAAGACCTGCTATCGAGGTGCTGTGGACAGAAACTAACTTTGGGACAGTGATGACAAAGGCCAATTAAGTCCTCGGCCATTTTTGGAGTTGTGAGCCTCCAGTTTTTCTTTTTTAATATCAAAGTCTATCTTCCATGCCGGCGGGATGCTCAGAACAGGAGGAGAATATACATCTACATTTCACTATCAGGCTAAACAATCGTTGAAATGATCCTAGCGAAGTGACTATGGTACTGTGACAGTAATCTGTCCGTCTTGTCTGGTCTGAACAAAGAAACAAGAGCCCCATATGCACGATGAATTGGTCCTGCTCCCAGAGCCACGAGCCGCACCGTCACATTCAGTGACAAACGACCTTGTCACTACCGGCATACCGAGACCCGGTTCAAACACCAGACTGAAAACAATTCTTCTTAAGAGTTTGCTTAGGACTACTCGTAGTTCGGATTCGCACCCAGACCGATCAGAAACCAAGTTCCAGTTCAGATGCCACATAACATTCCTTCAAAAATGGAGCACGAACAAGGAACCACTTTGATTCGAATACTGCAGTGAGCTCGAACAGAGAATCACTTATTATGGCCCGAAATCGCGATTCCTCCAACACCGAAGATATATGTTCATATAATTCTGAAACGGGAACTACCCCACTAACTTGATCCGACATCATGTCTTATATAAAATGATACGACAGGTATACATATTGTACCTTTGTAGGCACCACTGCAGATCACCGCAGGGAGAACTCAAGGGAGCTACCGCGTACCATATGCGAACCTGTTGACGGATTCCAAACCGTACAAATAATTAATTTTGTTGCGAGCAAATAGAAACAAGAGCAGGATGAGTGTTTTTTTTTCCGGATTCTCTACTAGAGTTGTGGAAACTAGAACAGAAACAGTATACCTACAGTACCGGTACCTACAGTAGCGGATCTATGATAACAAATCTTTTTTCTTTCCTGGGACGGCCTGGAAATCAATATTTACTCCCAAGAATTGTATGCTAAATTTCTATTTCCCGGCCGTTCCTGGGACTGTTCAGCAGTGTGCGGATTGCGCCTCTTTGGGTACTCGATCAGACACCTTATGTGTTACAGAAGTACGAGTACCTGATGGTACCTCGTGCTGTATCTTTTCCGTTATGTTCGTACCTGGTAATGGTACACGTACGAGTACCATGCAGTGTCTCTTCATCATCCTGTATTTCATTTAAACGTGCGAGGGCAGTGTCTTATCAGCATGTATTACGAGTACTCGTACCTGGTACCACGCAGTTCCCCAACAGTTCGTATAAACGCTAAAACATTATTCTGGGACACTGACACACAAATTTCGTTCACACTGTATTTAGTATTTTCCAATGATCTTCAACCACAGAGCCAACAGCGACAGGCTTCGAAATGATAGCTGCATCTACTCAAATCTCGCGGAAGGCAGTCTAATGTCCCTTTTGGCACGTCCTCTCCTCCTGCCATCTTTGGATCAGTTTGATTTGCCTTTTGATGATCCAAACATGGAGCCTTTGCCTCTCAGACCACAAGGCCAAGTGCCACAACTCGTTCACTCAGCTTTCCCTGTGTGTTCCATGATTGAGCTACTGAGCCATACCAAGCCCACACGTAGTACCAACCATCCACAAGGCCTGATACACTCCAGTGACACTGCTGGTGGCACTGCGGGAGTCGAAAGACGCTCCGACGAGGCCTTCTTCACCACTGACCAAATGAGTCTCAACAAGAAGCGACAACGGATGAGCCCAGTGAAAGAGAGTCCTGATGGAGACGAAGTCATGGCCCGATTCAGACCTTACCAGGAGTCCAAATGGAGAACCCAGTTCAAAAGGCTCGTCCAATTTAAGTTTGAGCATGGTCATTGCTGCGTTCCTCATTCTTCTCCAGAAGATCCTATCCTCGCACGGTGGGTCAAGCGACAAAGGTACCAATTTAAAAAGCTCAACGACGGTGACACTACATCCACCATGACAACTCATCGTATCCAAGACCTCGAGTCCATCGGCTTTGTCTGGCATTCTCACAACTCAGCATGGCAGGAGAAGGTGAACGAGCTGATTGCCTTCAAACAAATCAAAGGTCATTGCAACGTACCGTCGCACTATCCAAGGAATGCAGCCTTGTCTACTTGGGTGAAGTGTCAACGTCGGCAATACAAACGTTTCATCAATGGGTCTCTATCTTCGAACATGACGATGGGTCGACTGCAGATGCTGGAATCCTTGGGTTTTGTGTTTGACATCCAAAAATCAAAACGGCAATCCAGAGAAACAAATTGAGATTTCGACGGAGAGCAATAAGAACGATTATGGTGGTGCTACTAGTATTGAACATAATAAATCATACTAGAAGATTTATCTAACATCGGCCACTTTTTGTCTGTAGATGATGGATACCAGTGTCGAGGTATTCTGGATAGCAGCAAGCCTCAGGATGTTGGTATGATGAAAGGCCATGATAGCAACCATTCAAATTTTCAATTTGTGGCACTATATATGAGCCTCCAGATTTAGCTTCTTTATGTACTCGAATGAGTCCAATCCGTCGAGGCAATGCTCAATTTTTGAAAATGACAATAATTAGACGATGAGACGATAGGCGCATCTTGAGGACAATAACCTTATACTAAAACCTTATACTAAAGGCTTGACACAATAAACGAAACCAGTCACTGTTTCCATAATACCCTGTTATGCTTTTGGACAAGCACTGATCTCCCCAATTGAATAAAAATAATGAAGCGAGAATACCTTTCAATCATTGCATCCCTAAGCATAATAATCTTGCTCAACCACAGTGCCATAGCTTCTGAAGTGCATCGGCCAAAACATCAATATGACGAACATGAGGAAGAATACTATGAGGAATACGAAGAGGAGGTAGAAATCGAGTATGATGAGGAAATCTTCGAGTTTGAATTCGATGAGGACGACGAAGAAGATTATTTTGAGGATTATCAACCTCAGGATAAAGAATGTTATGACGAAAATGAACATTGCGACTTGTGGGCTTCACTTGGTACGTCAATTTTTTTCTTGGTTAATAAGTTTTAATCTGATCGACGCTGGTGGTCTCACTGCACTTCGTCACCACCACAGGGGAATGTCACGCTAATCCATCGTACATGAGACGTGTCTGTCGGCGGAGTTGTGACACATGCGCTCATGTAGCAACAGGCAGTAGATTCCGAAGGGGGCTAGATGTTATGTCATATGAAGAACTCATTGAATTAGATACTGCTGAGGATTCCTATGATATCGCACCCTGTGCCGATAAGACTCGAAACTGTCCCCGTTTGGCAAAGGAAGGTGAATGCGAGTCGGACCCGGAATACATGGAAGAGGCCTGTCCAGAGAGCTGTAACATATGCGACAAATCAGTATACATTCTCCGAGGAGCTGATCTTGGAGTCCCCCAGTCACTGGTCGTGGACAGTGGCACGAAGCGTCAAGACATTACGTGGATGCTTGGAAAAGCTCGAAATTACATCGCTCACTACGCTGAATACGAAGAAGACCCCGAAGTTCTTTCTTGGTGTCAAAACGATCATCGATTGTGTGCCTTCTGGGCGGTGCACGGAGAATGTGAAGCGAATGAGCCGTGTAAGTGAATTGAAATGTAACCTCCTTCTTTTGTGTTCATGTATATAGTACACTCCTAACGACTTGATCCCGAAAACAAATACGATAGACATGAAAGAGCATTGCGCTCCAATCTGTAACTCGTGTACTTGGAATGACTATCATTTGCGGTGCCCAATTGATCCTGATGCAAAACCGGCTTGGAAATCTGGCGATCTCAATCGAATGTTTCAGGCAATTGCATCCAACGCTGGAAACGAATTCACGGTCGAAGTTCTTTCATCTCCAGAAACGGATGGACCATGGGTAGTGACTGTCGACAATCTTCTTTCAGAAGATGAAGCAAAACGACTAGTCGAACTTGGGCAATTGTCTGGATATGAAAGGAGTCAGCAAGTTGGTGATGTCGATTCTGATGGCACCATGGAATCAGAAATATCAAACGACCGAACATCGACGAATGCGTGGTGCATGGAAGAAGCGGATTGCTCACAAGATGAGGTCACACTTCGAGTTTTAGAGCGTATTGAAAACTTGACTGGGGTTCCATCCGAGAATGGAGAATATATGCAGCTGCTCAAGTATGAACCCGGACAGTATTATAAACCGCATCACGATTACATCTATGAACATGAAGAGAAGCAGATTGGAGTACGAATTCTCACGGTATTTCTGTACCTTAATGATGTGGAAGAAGGTGGCTCGACTTACTTTGACAAGCTTGACCTGAAAGTGGAGCCAAAGCTTGGAAAAGCATTAATCTGGCCCAGCACTCTGGACGAATCTCCAAATGAAATTGAACTGCGAACTCAACATGAAGCCCAACCAGTGACGAAAGGGGTCAAGTATGCAGCCAATGTGTGGTACCACCAATATAGCTACAAGGCAGCAGACAGGACTGGGTGCGTTGATTGATCCGATTAAGAGGTGATAGATCACAAAAACATAGGAACAAGTCTTTCCTGCGATATTGCTCGTAGTCCTAGTATCATTTTATTAGGTTCCAAAATTTAACTTCAGAATCGTGATTCGTTTTTTTTCAGCACGTCAGTGTTGACGAACATGTACGAATCGAAACACCTATTTAGCTCGATTTGAATTATGCTGCTGAATGCATGACATCCAAAGACGATTGCTGATAGGATTGCTTGGCTTATTCAGCTTTTAGCTGGAAAGATGCACTGGTTTGCTACCTAACCAAGATACTGGTTGAACCATTGGCGGATGTGAATCCAATGATCGGCTTCTGTCGCCACTCGATTCAAAGCATGATTATCTTCTGGATACACCAGCAGCTTTGTATCGACTCCTGCTGACTGGAGCGCATGAAAAAGCTCCATCCCTTGGGATGGTGGAACTCGCAAATCCTTCATTCCCAGTGCCATGAGTGTTGGCGTTTTCACTTTGGACACGTGAACGATTGGCGATCTTTCATACATTGTTTGTAGCTCACCCTTGTCTGGACCTCGAAACTTGGTGAAATCGTATGTGCCCAGCGCCTCTGCATGACACCAGTCAGGAATGTCCGTTGCTGTCGCCATAGAGGCAAGATTTGTAACGGGATTTCGCATAACGGCGGCTTTGAAAAAGTCTGGGTACTGACCAATACAATGAGAGGTCAAGAAACCACCATGTGATCCACCACAAATACCAATTTTGGTTTCATCGATACGATCTTTCCATTCTTCAATCACATGCTTCGTTGTCCTCATGACATCCTTGACGTCGGTATCTCCAATGTTGGCCAGTAGCGACTCAAGGGCTGCTTGCCCGAACCCAGTTGACCCGTGATAGTTTGGAAAGACAATCGCATATTTGCTGGCCAGCAACGCAAATCCCGGTACATATCCAGAAATGGTGGCCGAGTGTGGCCCACCATGTGGAATGACAATAAGACCAACCTTTCCTGATTCTTTCTGCTGCTTGGGTAGCGTCAAAATTGCTTGGACTGGCGGCAACGAGTCGTCTGTTGTTGGCACACTGATGACCTCCATGTCAAAGGGAATATCATGAAATGCTTGTATTGATGAAACGGAGGACGCAGCAATGGCCGGAAATTTCGTCAGCAGCTTTGCATTCTCGCAAACGATCGTTTCGTCTTTGGTTTCTTGTACAGTGTCTGCATGAGGAAGAAGCCACAGACTCGCTGGACAATTGGTAGCTGTCTCGGATACAATCCAGTCCCCGGAGGGTGTTTGGCACTGCAAAAAGTGACTCGATGCTGATCTACTGTCTCCTTTTGAAAGTGGAAAGTCGAGTAGTTGGACCTGTTTGGTGTCGAGGTCAACGCGTATGAGCCTAGAAAGACTTCCCCAAACAGTTGAAAGGACCAAATGGTTGGATCCACAGCTGGCGTTGGGTGGCAATTGATGTACGAAGAGACCTGGGAATCCCATGTCCGAGACTTTGGGACCATTTGTGGCCGGAAGATCCATGACTGGAACGATGCAATCCGCAACAGAATTTGTTCCAATCTTCTTGTAAAGTCCCATGCAACTATCATGTGAAACAAAGGCTTTTGGATTGGCCAAAAAAATCATCTCACCAGTTTTCAAAAATTGTGGTGACCTTGCATATGGAAAAGCATCCGTCACACTTTCATAGTCCGAATCTTTGTCTTCCACCAAGTCGGTCTCGTCTGTTGTAATAGTACCTTGTAATCGTTGCAGTAGCTTGGTCACATCCGACGTATAAATGCCGCTGGCACGATTTCGGCAGTAGACCATACCCAATCGTTTGGGCATTTTTCCTAAGCCTCCAGCATCCCAACCCGTGTAGGCAATTTTGGGCAAGGTGGGATGCCAGACTGGTTGTCCCAAGGTGACTCCACCATTGGTAGTAGTACTTGCATCTCCTGTATTAGTATTCTCTCCCGGAACATTTGTAATCCGACCAATCTTTCCCGAATCCAAATGAAGTATATAAAGATCCAACAAGGGAGACTGACCCACATATTGTTCGCCCCACTCCTCCATGTACCCTTGCCCAAGCACATGTTGTCCACCAGCAATGCTGCTACTAGCCCCGCCATTATCTTTATGATTGTCATTCTTGTATGGTTCCCAAAAGGCATGCGTTGTGGGTGGTAACCGTTCGGCAACATATGTAATGTAAGATTCATCAGGACTCCAAGACGCAGTCCCAAATCCAGTAGGATCGTGAATGATGGAACCATGATGACGCTCCTGTTTTTTTTGTTGTTGTTGTATTGTTGGTATTTTCCGAACCAATGCCCCATTCTCCCACAATTCCAATTCAGGCTTGTTTTTGTCACCAGACATTCCTTTTGTGACGATGAGTATCTTCTTTCCCGATGGAGACGGCAATCGAATTTGAATCGACGGATCCATGGACATGGGAGGTTGTTGCTGCAGCACCTCCTCTGGTGGTAATATCATTGGATCTTGCATTATTGGAAATTGATAGAGCAAATTTTTACGCTTGTCATTCTCCCAATCACGAATGGAACGTTGGACTAAAAATAGATAGAGTTTGCGGGAGATATCAAACGTTTTTAGTCAAAGGAGTATATTGTGATTGTTTCGTCAAACAATAAGAAGCGTTGATGGGTCCAACCAACATCCATTCAACTTACTCGACAGTATTCCAGCTTCAGAAACGTGAGCATTTGATAAGTCTACCGCTGCGGAAGCCAGTTGATGGAATTCTTTTGCGATATCAGTACTGTCTTCAGGAGGCTTGCCAGAAAGTCCCAATGTCATTCTGATGATGGATCTATTGGAGCTATTATTGGAGCTATTATTATTATTATTATTCTGAGGACTGGCAGCAGTGCAAAAGGCAGAATTGAATGGGAATAGGCTTGTGATGATAATCACAATTATCAAAAGAACTCTATGAAAGCAACTGAAACACCTGCCTATGGTGTTATTGCTCATAATAGGTAGGGTAACGTGCGACAATAAGATCCAAAAAATCTGATTTCATGGATGTGCGAGAGATATGTACGGTATGTGATATGATTATGTCAAATTGATTCCTCCGACCACAAATCAAATTCACATGCAACATTCGCACCGGCCTTCCACTCAACGGATGTAAAGATACGCACGAAAAATTGGTCCACATGTTTCACTTCTAAACATCCGAAGATGCGTGACATCTTTCCCGCCTTTCAATAAAGCGGGATCTTTTTTTCCCGGTGATGGCAAATGACTGACTGTGTGGGATTTGCGGTGCATGGCGTTTCTATATATTAGATGCGGTGTACAGGTAATCTAACTGGGGGGGATTGGAGAATGACTAGAAGAAGAAATTAGCATATACCAGTAAAGAGTGAAATGGATATGAAGTTACATTAGTACAGTAGATAGTATGTAGGGCTGATGCTGTCATCATGATGATAATGATGGCAGCATCATCAGCCATGAAATAGAAGGAAAAAAAAGGAAAAGAATCCAGCAGGATTTATTCCCCATCGGTATGTATCGAGCCTGCAAAATCAACCGACCTCGAGGGTACTGCTTTTGAAAACCGATTGAAAGACGATTCTTCTGTCTCGTCATCAGCAGATGCAGGAATAATTTCTTCTTGATGGCTCGGTGCTGGAGGCAATACCACCACTTCCACAGAATCTTGTTCGCCAGCTTCCAAGTCATGATGCTCGACCAATGGTGGCGAATCTTCACTCACTTGAGGTCCTTCTGACAGTGCAATACTTGTAGATGGAAGGTCGGTAGTATTGGATTCTTCATCTTGTCCAGCATTGTCGTCACCTTCACTTTCTGTATCATTGCCTTCTGTTTCAGTGGTGGTAGGGGCCTCTCCAAGTTCCAAGTCATCGTCATTCGATTCTGCCTCGTGAAGTTCCAGTTCCGTAGCATCAAGAAGAACCTCATCGGCGTCCACTTCTTCGTAGGTCACAGTCTTGGCATTGATGATATCCACGCGACATAGGGGACAGTTGTCGTCCCGTTTGAGCCATTCCAGGGCACAAGTCTTGTGAAAGACATGTTGACATTGATCCGTCTTGGCCCAACAAATCTCATGGCCTTCTTGGTATTCTTCGAAACATATTATGCATTCGTCTTGTCTCTGTTGAGCTGCTGCTACCGAAGCGGCAGACCAAGTTCGGGATAATACCGATCGTTGACTTGCGTGTGGATCAAATGATGAGGCAGAAGTCTCGTTTGGCTTTTGCGGGTCATTCTTGTTCTTGCAATCCTTGTTCTTCTTATTACTAGAAGAAGCACCAGCTGCACAATTGCAACAGTTGGCTTCGTACATGGAACGTGCCGCAGTTACCAAATTGCAGACGGATCCAAAAGTGCCGCCGATCTTGACGGTCACCAATTGTTTCTCAATCAAGGCCAGACGATCTTCTTCGGACATGAAGGGTTTGGGCGTCAAAATGGGGACGCGTCTCAATCCTTGGATGCCTCTTCGACGGCGACAGCAATAACATGCCCACAAGGCAATGGCAAGGCCAAGAAACAAAAAGTCCAACATGATAATATGATGATGATGATGATGATGATGATGGTACTGGTTAGAGCAGAAGAGCAGAAGAAAATAGAATGTGTGAAACTGATGTCGTTTCTAATATTATAATAGAGACTTGCTTCCTTTTGGCTGTCAAAAAGGTTGGGCCTGTTTTATTACGGGAAATCTAAAACTCCCAAACTTCCTACCGCAGATTCTGGATCTCCGCACGTCAGCATTTTAGTGTTCCTTCAGAACTTCCATGTTCGCACTTCCGAGATTTCCGGCCAACAAATTGGGAAATTTGGGAAACCGAACACTCGTGTCACCTGTGACACGAATCTGTTTTCGTTCCTAACAAGGTTGTGTGCCTGGCACGAGCCCTACACGAGACGCAAAATAGAGTGTCGTCATCAATAGTCAGTCATCAGTTGAAGGTGCATATATGACGACAAAGAAATCAAATCAACGCATTGTTCATACAGTACATACGAGTATAAAAGAAACGAATAGTGAGAAAGATAGAATGACAAAGACGAGCATATGCCAATAGCTTGCTTCATCAAACAAAAAGTTTCGAATCCGACATAAAACTAGCGGCATCATCCTACAGTATCATCATCATCAAAATCATCATTACGCATCAATTGAAGAATCATCATCGTCATGACGACCACCAATAACACGCCACCTGAAAGTGTCAGCCATCCTGCCTATCTGACACACATGTCCATGGAACAAGAGGGGAGTGAATCGCAGTCCTTGATGGCAAACACGTATGCTCGAACATATAGTTCGATGGAAGATGATGATGATGACGATATTAATTATGATGATTCCTCATCATCTTCTCATGCTACTGATGTTAACCGTGCACCACATCAAAATCAGAAATCATCATCATCATCATCATCATCGTCCCCATCAGCGCTTGGCAATACAAGACTTTTAGAATCGATCCACGAACAAATGCATCGAGAAATGAATCGTCATTCGGCGACGACCAACAATAGCCATAACTACTTTGGTTGGCTGTTTCCCAAGAAAAAGAAACGAAAGACACGGCAGCGTCGGGCCAATCATCGAAACTACAGCGATCAGGAACAGGAACAATTTCTGGCAGAAATGTCAAGGTCCAACGACGGCAGCCATCACCACCACAACAGTCCATCAATGTATCGCAAAACTAACATTGTTGGATGGCTCTGGGGATTCTTTTTGTTGTTGACCTTAGGTTGGGTCTGTGTCTTTACGCTATCAGAAGGCCACATTGACTGGGCCGAAGTCATCAATTACGAACCCCAACATCAAACACCGGCCTTGCAACAAAAGGAAGGTATACGACTCGTGTCCTTTTTTGGAATTGGGTACTTGTTGCCAGGGATCGTTTCGTTATTGTGCCTCTTTGTCGGACTCCGGCTTCCGTTTATTCAAAAACCAGCCCTTTCGAAATTGATTCAATTACCACGGTACGGCACCACGTATTGGTCCATGATGGATTTGCAATTGCTTCTTCTTTTTGTAATTGTCTTGGTGGGATCCTTCATTGTACGATTCTGGCACAAGTACGTGTGGACGGATGGTCCTCATTGGACATTGAGTACAAGCTGGAGGTACATTACCAAGATTTCCGGCATGTCGCTCGTGACGATTCTTCTCGTAATTCTCTTTCCCATTTGCAAGACTTGCTTTTGGTGGGATGTCTTTGGATTGGGCTTTGATCGGATCATCAAGTTTCATCGACTGCTAGGAGCCCTCTTTGGAATTATACTACTCTTGCATGGATTGGCGTCCTTGGTGTATTTGGACATGGTGGATCAGCTCTACAGCTGTTGGACTCCATGGTCGAATGATTGCGAAAAATCCATGGTCATGTACGGTTGGTATTCGGGCATTCTCTTCATTCCCGTCTTTTTGACCAGCTTTCCTTGGATTCGACGGAATCGATACGAAGTTTTCTATTATTGCCATTTGATGGTCATTCCAGCCTTGCTCATGGCTCATTTGCATCACATCAATCTCATTTACTACACTGCCCCCAGTTTGGTGGCGTATACCTTGGATAAGATTGTGGGTTACTTTGCTGCGCGGCGACCCGTCCAATTGGTCGACTTGTCGGTTCCGGTCGAAGGATACACCCGGATGACGTTACTGGTGGATCCCAACCATGCCGATTTTTCTCCCGGACAATGGATCAAGGTCAAGGTTCCAGCCATTTCCAATTGGGAGTGGCATCCCTTTAGCATCACTTCGGCTCCGAATCAGTCCACGATTACATTAGATATCAAGGCAATGGGCGGTGTTGGATCCTGGGGTGACAAACTCCAGCATTTGGCCAAGTCCGTTTCGGCTGGTTCTGTCTATGATGCCCACCAGTCGAGGAGGTGTCCTACCAAGCCAGATGATCCCCAAAAGAATAAGCTCCTCCCTACTGTCTACTTGGACCGATATCAAGGATGTGATCACAATCAAGGCTTTTTAAATCACCGAGCCGTCATGTTGGTGGGAGGTGGGATTGGTATCACACCCATGATGTCCGTGTTGCGGAGTTGTTTGGCGGCAACCGCAACAGAAGATGGTGGTGGACCACCATTGCCTAGCAGTATGAATCATTTGGAACACTTGGTCTTTGTATGGGTGGTCCGCCAGGAATCCGTGGTGGATTTGTACCGAGACGAACTTCAACGGTATCAAGCGTTGGGTGGATTCTACCGGAATGGTAAAAATTGCAAATTGGACATTTTGGTATATGTGACGGGCAAGTTAGCAGGCTGTGGTACAAATGAACCCATTGTCGATCCTCCTCCTCCTCTAATGGTTTCGACGAATGGTGGTAGTGACAAAGAAATGATGTTGACCAAAGAAGTAGTAGTGGGCAGCAAATCTGCTCCTGCCCCTGGACCATTCTCCAAGACTATATTGGGTCACATGCATCATGCCTTGCTCATGATTGCAGTTGGATTTGGTTTCTTGCGTGGCTTTGTCAGTGGATCTTCCTTTGCCGACCGTCATGAATGGCGACAAGAGCTTGCCGTCTTGTTGCAAGTGGCATTGGGACTCTTGTTTTCCTCCATTTTGGGTACCATTGTCATTTTGGGTGGGACTCTCGTTTGGAAGCCGAGAACGAAAAAGAGCCGTCGAGGGAATCATGTTGGTGGAACTACGGTAATGGATCCCGAGAATCAACAAGCTCGTGATGAGTACCCTCCCCTTGAAATTCACCGGGGAGAGCGACCCAATGTACCCCAAATTGTGGCCGAACTAAAGCAGCAGTGTCTTCAAAGCGGCATTCCATCCGTCGGAGTATCGGTATGTGGTCCCGAGAAGTTGACCAAGTCTGTTTTGACAAGTGTGTACGAAGCTTCCTCGCCCTTGTTGGAATTTGTCATGGGCGAAGAAAGTTTTGAGTGGTGACGATGAGGACAATAGAAGTCAGGAATATATGTAGGATATATAACTGATATGAACATTAGATTATAGAATTTTATATAATCTATGGATTACAATAGCATGGAACATTGGCTCTCTATATTTTATATATTGTCTTGCACGTTTCTTATTGGCTACCAGTTCAGCGGCACCCGTCGGTGTACATGGTACAATAAAAGACCTCTTCGACTACCACGGTTGACTGACTCACGGTAGGTATACTCGTAAAATATATGTGCGCTTCGCACTCGTGTCAAATCCCGAAGACAAAGAATAATCATCGATGTTCTAGCAAAAATAATTTCAGCAGCTTGCGAACCATCATATCATTGACATCATTGACATTGCGCAAGACTCACAAACTTGCGTTTGTGTGTAGGTGTGATCACCTACTACAGTACTAACTCCTTATTGAATCTCTATATACACATATACATACAGCATATCATTGACATCATCGACAACATGAAGAATGCAGTTGATCTGATACAGCGATGCACAATTCTGATGATGAGAAGTATAATACGTCGAAGTGGTTGGACAATATTCCTTATGTTTGCTATTTCAGCGCAAGTGGCAATGGCACAAGAAAATAATGCGACGAATATAACGGAAAGCAATGTCACTAGTGATTCACCGACGATTTACTCGAATTCCACTGCTGTTGATTCACCATCCATGACACCATCCACGATACTCCCAACAAGTTCCATTGCACCAACCATCAACTATGATGAGATATGCCCAAATAGCGTGGACTGGAAGAGGCTTGGGCGCCCATGGGAAAGCATTACCGAATGGCAAAAGCAGTTCACCTGTGATGACGACAAAGTCAGTTGTTCGGATTTTGGATCCTTGGGGCGTGCGTCCCTGCACTGTTGCAAGTGTCGCCCCATTTGCTGCGGACGATGCAATGTCCCATGCAATAATGATGATGGCACAGCTGACACGAATCCACCCAACATTGCACAGCCATCATCACAAATATCACCATCGACCGCTCCAGTAGGCTACAAGTACAACTTCAAGGATACCAAAAGTTCCAGCTCTTCCTGGAAACTTCGACCAGGACCGCGGCATTTTGCTTTGCTTATCGTTGTATTTTTTATCTCTGTCATTTTTTGTTGCAATCGAGAACAACGTACCCTGAGACGGACGCGGCGTACCATGAGTCAGCGACGGCGGCAGCAGCAACAACAACTGAATGAAGATGGTGGCGCAGACGATGCCATTTCCGAGGAACGATATCAACTCTTTCTTTCCAAGTTTCATTTCGAGACAGTCCCTCCTCCTGATGGCACCAACAAGAGCAATAAAGTGGAGTCATTGTACAATCCTGACAGGATGGTGCGTGAAAATTCCACGACTTCGTCCAAGGTTAGTTCCATTGCTGACAAAAGTAGTAACGACGGCAATGATGAAGAAATTGATGAAAATTATAGGCCAAAACTACAGGATGTCGAAATAGGGGCTCCTCCTCCTGACAGTAGGGAAAATACACTCAAGAGTGTCAATTCCTCGGTTAGTAGTGCCTGCTGCTCCACCTCCTACCAACCATTTGCTTCCCTCAAACGGATACCAGCCAGAGGAGAATGTTCCATTTGCTTGGATGGATACCATCCGGGTGATACCGTGTGCATTGCAGTCAATGAAGCCTGCAATCATGTCTATCATCAAGAATGCGTAGTGGAATGGCTCAAGACCAATGGGCGGTGTCCACTCTGCAGGGTGGATCTGATGAAGTAAGATACGATAACTTCTGGCCATTGGATTCGCATACTGGATTCTCTAAAACAACAAAGTCAAAAGCTCAAAGGAAAGAAGTCGATTCTATTGGAAGAAAGCTTACTATAGCTACATCAAAAAAGCTTACTGTACATCACCATAATATATATAGAGTCACTTGTCTTTATACTCTTAGTCTTCTCATTCCCCCTCCCCTGTCTTCTATTTTTACTGCGTATTTGAGTATTGTTGAATGCAACTGGAATCGTGCCGAGAATTAGATCATCAACACATTGAATACTTGAATACTGCAACGTTAAACAATTCCGTACCATGCCAAAGCAACATAACAGGTCTGGTATGTAATACACACTAACGTTTATATATGGCGATTAAAATAACTAAAATCGTTCATTTCCCCTCGTTTGGATTCCCACCACTGGATAGATCGTCCTCATTCGGCGGCGTATCATCATCTGCAGTGGGGCCATCCTCATTTTCATCCTCAATGATGGACAATCGTGAATTCAGCTTCTTGGTTTCGTCTGGATTGTCCATTCCATCCTCTCCTTGCAACTTGCGCATCTGTACTGCTTCCACCTGCATCTGTACTGTATTTATTGTGGCTTGCATCGTTTGAATGTAGCGCAAAAGACCATCGGGTGGAATTTGGAAGGACTCGTCCAGTCGAATGGAGTCGTGAATCTTGTCTGTCGCCGTTAGCGCGTAACTATCGTCCTTGTCAGAGTACACTTGATAGAAATTGGACATTTCCGCACCAACCAAGTTCTTCATGGATCTCATCTTGGAAAGACTTTCCATGGAAGGCCGCACCTTCTCCTCGTACACTACATCATCCTCAGCAGCACGAGCAGCCTTCTTGCGATGGCGCTTTCGGCGCCACGGCGATTCGATAAGTGTGACCACGATGGAAATAAAAATCAAGATTCCATGGAATACAAAGACCCCACCCACATCCGTGACTTGGAGAGAGTAATCTCCATCCAAACCCTGAACATCGTCCAGTGTACTAGCTGCACAAATTTGGTAGTTATCCAGACTTCTCAAGTGGTCCTTCCACAAGAAGTCAAGCCTTCCTTCGGAGATCATTTCGTGCATGTGGACGTCCAGGACATGCCTGACGACGGAAGTACAATAGATGGATGTGTCGACCAAAGTTCCTGGTCCACCCTTATTGACAAATTGGGCACGGCCAACCCATTCCAAACTACAGTCGGGATTCTTGCTGTTGTCGTTCTTGAAAGCATCAAAGTCGGCTGAAATAAAGGAATGGCAGAAAGAGAACAGTTTTTGTCAGATACGCATGGAACAATTCTTCAGAGGAGGAGACAATAGGATTCCGCACCTGCTCTTGACGCCATCAAATCGCAACGCCCTGCTCTCAAACTAGAGTACACTGCTTCAAAGTCATTTTCCGGCCGGAAGTCAACCTTGTCAAAGGCGCGACTGACTTGACCGTACACAGCTGCTCCAGCCCGGACACACAGGGGCAATTGTTTTTGCTGTACCTCTTCCAAAGTTTCTGCCAAAAGGACAGGTCTCTGCTGGGCCACCAGAAATGAGGCAAGATTGGCTGTGTACCCAGATGCCAAAATCAGCGCCCAAAATGCAGCCGAATATCCAAAAATACGCTTCCCATGAGTCGAAGGATCCCAATACTGGTGATGCTGCGTAAAAGTCAGTGTGGTCAAAAAGGTATCATAGACCACAGTGTTGATCTTGTCGTCGGGATATTCAACCTTGTCAATCATCCAGTACATGATACCACTGAAGAAAATGACTGCACAGATTAAGTACCAGACTTCTGTACTGAAGGGACGCAAAAAGGCAGTGTACTCAAACTCGGCAACCTTTTCCACTGAATTCTGAACTAGAATAGTCGAGGCATCAAACCAACCAACAGGAAAGGAAATACCCAAACGCCTTCGTTCTTGATTGTGCACCCATTCCGCAAATGAAAAGTCGTACCGCGTCACAGCGTCAAGCAAGACATCTGTCCAAGTAAAGTTCGATCCAGTGGCAGGGTTGATGTCCAGTGTACGGGGAGGTTGCACAAAAGCAAACGAATTGCGCCATGTAAATTTCCCTCTAAACGCCAGCTCATCAAGGATTTTGACAAAAATTCCAGGATCGTCCTCGTTGATGAACCAATTGTTTGGGTCTGGGTCGCTACGATTCAGCCGAAAGAAAATGTCGTTTCCTTGATCCACAATGCCAACACTCAGCTCTAAACCTTCCAATAAATCCCGAATATCGGTTGTGCCATTGGCATATGACGCGAATCGGTCGCAAACAAAGGTTCGATGCGTAATGTTCGAAAACTGAGCCGTTGTGAAGGTAGGCTTATCCTGTGCAGCCGCAAATAGTATTGAGCCAGCTGAAGGTTTCCTTAAACATTCATAATTTGATGCTGTGAATAGGAATAAAAAGGCAAATAGCCACCTGTTATAGGTATCCATAACGATATTGATGCTGTGCTGCCAATCGCCAGAGAATCAGATGTATGTTGGCCCCTAAACTGAAAATGAAGTCTCACTGAAGGTTCTATGGGATGCCACAGAAGTTTGTCTTTTGAAAATTGCATGCAGCGAGGTCGCTCGAGGTGCGGACATGCAGGCAAAGGCAGACGAAATTGGACAATTTGAACCTCAGCGCCTTCTTCCCCACGCGATTTCTATTGAATCACTAACTCTTCGCAGGAACCATATATGTTCGGTTTTTGTCACGACTCACTCGCTCACAGACTTCTTACTCAGATATGAAGAAGAAATGGTCATAATAACACCGCATCTCTGCTTGAAGTTTCAGTATTCACCGCTTGAAAGTTTCCATTACTATTGATTGTAAGATGTTCTGTTTAATTTCATTTTTAAATTCATACAAACATATATTATATACTGAGTCCTAATCGTAACCATACAGGCATCGTAGTACATTAGTCCTAATGATGGTTGCCTTTGGCTCTGTGCTCTCCCGACTGTTTTTTTCTCTTCCCAAGAAGCTTAGGCTCCGAGCGACCCGTCCCCATGATGCTTGTTACGATTTTCTACCACGTAGTTTTGCAACTTTTCCATTTCTGTTTGCAGGGATTGGATGGTACCAAGAACATCGTCATTAAAGTCGACATCATCGTCACGATAACCACCGCCGCTTCCTCGACCATGCATCGGAGACCCAGAATTGGTACGACTCTTGCGCTGACTATCCCGATCGTGGATGATGGATTTCAAGGCCATGGAGGATTGATAGTGTGCCATGGCGGGCATGTTGCTGGAGGCACGTTGAGCCATTCGAATATGCTCCACAGGAGCTTCCTTGCCTTCTGGATCCTTGGCCGCAAATTGCAGCGCGCCTCGTTCTTGTCGTCGCCTCCACCACATTTCCAGCAGGGCCACAATAATGGAAACCAATCCGAGGGCACCGTGAAAGACAAAGATTCCACCCACTTCTAGAATGGTCAGGGAATATTGTCCATCGACATCCTTGGATTCTGATTCTTGGGCTCCACATTGATGGTTGGACTGGTTGCGAAGGTGGGCTTGCCAGGTGAGATCAATAAAGTGATCATCGAGCATCTCGTTCATGTGAATTTCGAGGACATGAGTGATGAGAGAAGTACAGTAGCTCTTGGTATCGACAAGAGTGGCAGGACCTCCCTTGTTGCTATTGTCTTGTCTTCCGACCCATTGTAGAGAGCAGTCGGGGTTGATCTCTTCATTGTTTCGGAATTGATCAAAATCAAAGGGTCGTGTGGCCAAGAGTTTGCACTTGCCAGCAAGAAGAAATTCGTAGATTTTGTCGAAATCACTATCCGTGTTCAAGATGAGTTGCGGATAGCGGGTTTTCAAGTCCGCTTCGACGGCAGCATTGGCACGAACGCAAAGAGGAATTTGCAGGGCTTCCACTTCGGCCAAACTGGTGGCAATCTCAGCAGGCTGCCCTTGACTGACCAGAAAAGAAGCAAGGTTGGCAGTGTAAGCAGAGGCCAAGACCAAGGACCAGAAGGATGCCGAAAAGGCAAAGATACGTTTTCCATGCCCAGATGGATCCCAGTACATGTGATGCTGAGTAAACGTCATTGTAGCCAAGAACATGTCATACAAGACCGAGTTGACTTCGTCATTGGTCCCCCAGGTGGCAATCTTATCAATCATCCAATACAATAAACCAGAGACGATAAAGACACCCACAATCATGCCCCAAACAGCGTTACTAAAGGGTCTCAAAAAGGCAGTGACATCAAAGGTCACCACTTCTTCCACACGGTTTTGGACCAAAATGATAGAGGAATCGTACCAACCCACAGGGAAGGAAATTCCTCTCACACGGCGTTCTTGATTGTGGACCCATTCCGCAAAGCTGAAATCATAGTTCAAAACGGATTCGTACAGGACATCGGTCCAGTTGAAGGGAGTATTCGTTTCCGGATTGGTCCCATTGGGTGGGTAGACCACACCGTAATTATTTCTCCAGTCAAATCCACCCCGGCGTGCCAATTCATCCAAAATGATCACAAAGATTCCTGGATCCTCGTCCTTGATGGTGCCATCTTCATTAAAGTGAATGTACACATCGTTCAGTTGATCAACAACACCGACGGTCAAATTCAAACCCTTGAGCGCATCGCGAATATTGGCTTGTCCACTGGCATACTCCAAAAATCGATCGCAGACATTGGAACGGTGGGTCAAATTGCTGTCCTTGGAAAAAGGGAGTAGACTAGGAGCTTGAGCTTGGGTCTGACTAGCAGCAAGTAGAAGCGACAGTACCATCATCATGAGGTTGCCCATTTTCAACGAATTCATTGTTTTCCTCATATTATTATTCACGCCTTAAGATTTCTTAAGGTTTCCTCAGGAAAAATTCGTGTTGTATTGGTCGTGTAAGGTGTGCTTCTGCTTCTGATTGATTGATCCAGATGCTGAAGTAATAGGAGTATGTTCCGTGTGCTTGGAAGTTCAGCAGCAGCAACAACCAACAACAAAGGCTCAAAAAGATGATGACAGTCTTCAGAGGCTGGCTGTCACCTTCAAAATCGACCTGAGAAGCACACTCTTATTTGGTATTGCGAGGATGCCCAAGCAGCTTCCTTTCATTTAAAGAATCCACGCGAGGTCCCTACCAGAATTTATTTGTCTAGACTAGATATAAAAAGCTCGCATGCTGGTCATGGAGCAATAATTCTCGTAGTCGTAGGGAATTCGACTTGAAATTCAAAATGTCGAAGGTCTCGTAGTGTATTCTACGGAAGCTAAGTACGACGTGTGGTCCCTTCCATGGGTGATGCACAAGAGGAAGAATCTTGTCGTTTTTACAAAAGATCATTGCTCTCCATCCATAATTGATTATGTGGGTGTTAAATGTTAATTCACGACAGAAAATTCTTTTGATAGGAGACTCCAAATTTACTTAGCCAAAAGTGGAGAAATGTAGCTCCTCGAAATTCAAAAGCAGACTTGGTGCAAACAGCCAGCACAAACGCGGAGCCTGCACAGCAATCCGTGCGAACAATAGATTGGTTTCAGCAGGCATCAAATTCAGGAGCATCACCCTAGAAAGCCTTCTGAATACAATTGCTTGCTTGTTTGTCAACAGAATTCACACAAGCTGAACCATTTGTTATTTGCATTGACATCAGTAGCAAGAATATTCACATTTTGGATCACTGATTTTTCACATTATCCGAAGTGCTGAAGTTGAGAGAGTTTTCTTCTGAAAAATCACAGGAACATTCTGTCACCTATACACATACAACAAACAGACATACACAAACATTCGTAAACACTTCTTTTTGTAGAAAGAAAAGGGACAATACACACAAGAAACGCATCTTACACAGAAACGTATGATGTCGCAGAACAAGGGAATGACGTGCCGTAAGCTACCGCTCCTGTGGTTGTTCGTTGGAGTCATCACACTCCCCATGGTGGTCACAAACGCACAGGCTCCCTTTTACACCACACCTCAATTTTCGAATGTAAATCACCGCACCAATGTCTGTGACCGATTTGCGGCTTACGCCAACGGCCAGCTTGAAATTCGCGACGCCCTGTCCGGTTTGCAATTGAGCGTGGGAGTGGTGGATCAACCCAACCCTCTCTACTTTAATTTGCACCGCAACAACATTACCATTAACGACCAATTTCCTGGCATTTTCGTGGAAATTTTGGACGAACTAGCCAGACGTGGTAACTTTACCTGGCGGGAGACTTATGCTCGTATCTTGCCACCCAATATGACCCAAAAGTTCGATGCTACCTGGACGGATGTCCTGGTGGATTCAGTGGAGCGATATGACATTAGTTTTGCGGAATGGGTGCACACCCATGAACGAAGACGCCGGGGTGTCCATTTTCCTGTGGGATGGTACGATACGTCTACCATTTTTATTCGGAATACTCGAGAGGGTATCAAGAATGAATTCAACTTTAACTCATGGACTCGGCCTCTCCACTGGTCGTTGTGGGCACTCTTTGCATTGGGTTTTCTTTATAACCGTACCATGCTATGGATTCTCGACAAGATTGAAGACGATGGATCACCAAGAGAAATTACCTCCAAGGAAAAGGTCTTTCGGATTCGAATGGTAGAAATTGTATTCGACAGTGACCGCTCCAATGCGAAGCGACTTCACAACATGAGTTCCTCCCTATTTGCCATGGTCTTCGTGTCGTCTCTGACGGCCAACCTCGCAACCTTTCTCATCCAGCAATCCGAACCGGACTTTCAGTACGTCGGTCTCGATGACTTGGATTCTCGTTTCACTCCAGTCTGTGTCCGACAGGCAGATGCTGTCTTTGAGTCACTCTCCAACGACTACGAAACCATGAACTTTATTCGATCCGATACGTCCTTGGAGAATTATCAAAGAATTCTAGCAGGGGATTGTAAAGTGGTGGCGACCCGTAGGGCGGACTTTGATATCTTTGAACGAAATCCAGTGGCCAACCCAGATTGTACCCTCGAATGGGTAGGACGTCCGGAATACATCAACTTTGGTGGCATGGGAACGATTGTCGATACAAACACAACTTGTACTTCTCTTGTCGGACATGTCCTCGATTTGCACATGCACGAAATGACCGAGTTCGTTGAAGAAGCTTGGGAAAACTATCTGGCGGACCTATCCAGTTACGAATGTCCTGCCAAGGTTGCTGCGAAAGAAGATACTCGATACTCTTTGACCTTGAATGATATTGGTGGTATCTTTATTGTGTTCGCTGGCGTCGCCTTTTTGGGACTCTTTGTGGCAATGATTGAACAACACTTCGAACGCAAGAGAAGAGCCCAGGAAGAGGAACATGACCTTTTGCTGAAGGAGAATGGACCAACCGAGGCCAACATGCTCGGCGAAGCTGATCCCATCCATATTGACAGTGAAGTCCTCAAGAGGATTCTTGCCATCGATCAAGCCATCGCCAAGCTGAAATACGAATGCGGTGGAGAAAAGAGACCAAGCCGATCTGGCTCTGGCGGTGGGCTAGGCCTAGGTGCTTCCTTCCGTGGCCTAGGTAGCTCTTTCCGTGGCCTAACCAGTCCTGGCGGTGCCTCCTTCCGTGGCCTCAACTCATCTCCCCGCAATTCGGGGGGAGGGACAACACCATCGCCAGGTGGTGGTGTGCGACCTTCGTTGCTGAACACCGCCTCCCCAAGGTCCCAGAGGTCGTTGGCCTCTCCAGGTTACCAAAGGCCGACTATGAGTCAAATGGGGAAGAAGAAATCACAACAAAACATTTTGGCAATGGGATGATTAAGAATCAATGGGGTACTCGAAGAAGCCACTTTTCCTTGCTGGTACTCATGTCTAATGCTCATCGACGGGTCCTGGCGATATGTTCATTGGTGGGTAGGTGGATAGGTGTCCGTTTGTAACTCTTGTATTTCTAGTTAGTTCAAATTGCATATGTTGGTACCTTTTTATTTAAAAATAAGTCTATTATATGATGCTTTTTAAGAGTGCTTTTGCTTGCATCAACCGTTACTTGTTATTCCTTCTTGCAGGAAAAAGGAGGTCCACCTATACTATGTACCGGTAGCTATTTCAAGATCCCTTCCAACGAACTCTTCTCATTCCAACGTCTGTCCGTCCGCAGGCGCGAACACAGGCTGTCAGAATAACTTTCGCACGATTTGGCTTCGCAGCACCGCACCGCATCGCGTGACGCAGAAAACGAAACAATTATTGCAAATTTAAAGCGAGAGTACACAGCACTACAGAACCTTATAGAGTCTTATTCAATTCTTCGGCAAACCTATAGCTGATTCAGCGCTGATTCTCAACATATATTCAATATGGTGATAGGCTCGTACAACAGGTGGCTTTTTGCCTTTTTATTCCTATTCACAGCATCAAATTTTGAATGCTTAATAAGGAAACCTACTTCAGGTTCTTCAGGTGGCTCATTCTTATTTGCAGCTGCACAGGATAAGCCTTCCTTCACAACACCTCAGTTTTCGAATATTACGCACCGAACCTTTGTTTGTGATCGATTCATTCAATATGCGAATGGCACAACAAACATTAGGGATTTGTTGGAAGGTTTAGACTTGAGTGTTGGCATTGTCGATCAAGGGAATGATATTTACTTGCGGTTGAATCGAAGTGACCCAGATCCAAACAACTGGTCAATCAACGAGAACGACCCTGGAATTTTTGTCAAGATCCTTGATGAGCTAGCTTCTAGAGGGAAATTTAGTTGGCGGAAGTCCTTCGCCTTTGTGCAACCTCCGCGTACATTTGACGTCAATCCGACGACTGGAACGAACTTCACTTGGACAGATGTCTTGCTGGACGCTGTAACGCGGTACGATTTTTCATTTGCGGAATGGGTGCACAATCAAGAACGAAGGCGGTTGGGTATATCCTTCCCTGTTGGTTGGTTTGATGCCTCGACTATTCTTGTTCAGAATAAAGTTGAACAGGTTTCAACGTTCAATGTGGCTGCCTTTTTGCGTCCTTTCAGCGTTGGCGTCTGGTACTTGAGTTGCGCAGTTATTTTCTTCAGCGGCATCGTCTGGTGGGCGCTTGATAAGATCGAATTTCCCGACGACAAAATCAACACTGTGGTCTTCGATACATTCTTCACCACACTCACTATTACGCAGCATCACATGTACGAAAATCCGCACACGGTTGCAAAGCGTATTTTTTCATTCTCGCTTGCCTTGTGGTCCTTGATTTTGGCAGCTGCATACACGGCTAATCTTGCCTCCTATTTGGTTGCCGAACAGCGACCGTTGGTTCTAGCAGACACTCTGCAGGGGGTAGACGAGGGTCGATTGCCACTATGTGTTCGATCTGGAGCAGCTGTGTATGGTCAAGTCAGTCGCGCTTTTGAAGGCATTGATTTTCGACCACAAGATAGTTTTGATGCAGTTTATGAAAGTCTGAGAGCAGGACGTTGTGATCTGATGGCATCAAGAAAAGGTAGGAGCAATGTTGATTTCATTTATGTGTGAATCGTGTCTCCAAATTTCTGACTCTCATTTGCATCTTCCTGCCGTTCCCTTCCAGCTGACTTTGACGCTTTCAAGAACGATAGGTTCAAGAATCCCAACTGTAGTTTGGAGTGGGTTGGTCGTGTCCAATTCATCAACAAGGGCGGACCAGGAACTTTGGTCGACACATCCAACTTCTGCACTTCCGTCATCAGGCACGTCCTCGACGTTCATTTGCATGAAATGATTTCCGATGGGACAATCGATTTCTTGTGGAATACACACTTGAGAAATTTGGATAACATCCAACTGTGCGGCGGTACCAAATTGGATGACGTAGAGGTTGTGGATCCAAAATATTCGCTCCAGGCCAATGATGTGGGTGGTGTCTTTGTATTCCATGGCGTCATGATTCTTATATCCTTCATAGTTACCTTATGTGAATCGCCGTGGCGCCGAAAGCGCCATGCCAAGAGGAAATTACGAGAAGCCCAACGGGAAGCTATGGAAGCGAACTACTCGGAGTACGAAGAAGAAGTCATCGAAAAGCCACGTCCTTCCATGGAGCGCCTTGCATCGTGTTCCGGACGCCCATCCATGGAACGTCTTGCATCGAGCTACGGACGTCCATCCATGGAACGTTATGCATCAGCGAAGTCCTTGGTATACTGTGGTGACTTTGATGATAGCAACCGTTCGGAGGGCGACGAGATTTACGAAACCGACGGTCTTTTGCGATCCATTCAAAGGATGCAAACCAAAATCGATCGATTGCAACGGCATGTCAAGCGCAAGATAGAAGAAAAGAATGGTGAAGTGAGCACTTCCTTTGCTTCCAAGGCTCTACGATCTTTGCCGGTCATTGCTGATGTTATTGACGAGGACGAGAGCCCAAGCGAAGAGGCGTCACTTGAAAAGATTGTGTCAACGGAGGAGGAATCCAAAATTGGGCAAATAATTGAAGGGAAGATTATGTAGCTAAAATTGTAGTAGATGAGGGTGTATTTTTTGTATCAAAATCTAATTTTCTATTTTGACAGTATGCATATATAGCGAAAAAGTCGCACACGTCACATCAGCTTTGTTGTTGTTGCTATTGTTGTTGTTCCTCTACTTTCATCAAATCAACTCGACACAGTGGACAAGCATTACTTCTATGCAACCAGGGTAATACACAATCCTTATGAAAGACATGATTGCATTTAGTCGTAATGGGCACACATATGATTTCTCTTGGGGCATATCCCTGCAAACAAATGCAGCATTCCTTTTTTGTTGGCGATGTGATAGTGCTGTTCCACCAAGACTGAAAGAACCAATCACCCTTTTCTTGACCGGCGGTACTAGTACTACTCTCTTCAGTCGTTGTAGCGCTTGTCTCGTCGTCACAATCTACTTTCTTTGGTGTAGTGACGGCTTTTTCCTTCTCTTCTTTATCATCGTTATCATTCGAAGGATTCTCTTCGTCGTGATTCTGTCTTCTGGAATCGTTTTCTTTCACCAATGACCTAATACTTTCTGATGTGGTATTGCTTTTATCAGATAGCACAGTTTGAAAGTAGAATCGTTTGATGATTTGTTCAGATCTCGATCCCGTCTTTTCTAAATCATCATCACCATTCTCATTATCATGATGGGCAATAATATGATCGTCATCATCATATTGATTGGGCAATTCTTCTTCATAGCGGCGACTCAGCAATTCTCGTTGTTGCCGTCGTCTCCGTCGTCGCTTCCCATAAATAGTACACAACAAATAAGAAGTACACATAGTGCCAATGGTCCAATATATCACCAATAAACCAGATCTGATGAAGTCTCCTAGCACTTTGCCGACGTCGTCAGTGTGATCATCATCATCAGCAGCAATGATGTAGTTATCGTCGTATTTTGGCAAACCACCACCAATATCATCATCATCACTAGAGGAGTTACTATTGTTGGATGATGGTGAAGCAGAGGGGGGAACAGAGGGGGGAACAGAGGGTGTATCCGAGGGAGAAGATGACTCAATCATTCCATCCATGATATCCAATGTATTGTTGTTGTTGTTGTTGTTGTTATTGTTGTTGTTGTTGTTGGAGGATGCTGATGAGGATGACGATTCTTCTACATTCCGAGCACATGTCGAGTCCATAGTAGTAGCCAATGTGACGACCACCAGAAACCAAACGCATATTCGTTTTTGGACTGCCATACTTATATAGAGTATATATGTTACTGTGAAAGTCCTGCGAGATACAGTATTATTTTATGTGTTTTGTCACATTTTTGAACAAAAGTGATCAAAGCGTGCAGATATGATCGAATTCAGAATTGCGCACGACTGGGCTTGAACTTGATCATGTTGGTCGAATTCCATGTCTCACGTTTAAAAAAAAAAGTTACTATGCGTCTATCATCTCTGCCTGCCTGAACGCAATCTCATTCTCTGTTTTGACAGCAATAACAAAATACATATTATAATATTATACAACATTGTTGTTATAGGATATCATAACACATCACGATTGTTCTTGCTGGTGCTGCTGTTGTGGTTGTTCCTCTGCTTTCATCAAATCAACTCGACACAGTGGACACGCATTACTCCTTTGCAACCAGGCTACCACACAATCCTCATGAAAGACATGATTGCATTTGGTCGTAATGGGCACACAAATGGTTTCCCTTGGGGCATACCCCTCCAAGCAAATACAGCATTCCTGATTGGTTGGCGACGTTTCATTGTTATTCCACCAATACGACTGAAAGAACCAATCACCCTTTTCTTCTTCTTGGCTCGTCGTCGAACACGTACGTGTACTTCCATTCTTCGACTCCTCCGTACCAGTAGCGGCGGTGTCGTCATCCGAATCTGCACTTTTTGATGCAGTAAAATGCTCATCCTCGCCATTTTGTGGGGAAGGATTCTCCTCGTCATGACTGGAATCATCGTCCTCCTCTTTCCTTTTGTCATCGTCTTTATCAGAAGAAAGCACCGTTTGAAAATAAAATCGCTTGATGATCTCTTCGGATCTTGATGACGTGTAGGGCATGTCCATGTCGATATGAATATCTTCATCATGATTGTTATTATTATGATCACCGTCATCTTCGTCCTCTTCGCCATAATAAGCATCTCCCAGGTGGTTCCTCAGCTCGATTCGTCGTCGTCGCCTTCGTCGTTGTTCCGCCACTGCTCGACGGGTTGCCTCTACCTGTAACCGAAACTGTCGATTCCGATGAACGACATACGCCAAAAGACATAGGCCAGCGGTCCCAAGTACGGAGAGAGAAATTTTGAGTACATACCAAAGCGCATCGTCTTCTTGCTCTGCATCAGGCAGTGTCCAACCACCCTTGTTGTTGTTGTTGTTGTTGTTGCCGTAGTAGGTTGTACTTCTTGAGGGTGCAAACGTCCAGCAACCGATTTCATTACCACCATTATCACTTCCATTGTTGTTGTTTGACGATGGTGAAGCAGTAGGTGTCTCATTTGTGGGAGAAGATGACGCAATCCCATCCATAGCCGATGTACCGCCTGCGCTGGTCAAGTTGAATGATGATGATGATGATGCTAATGATTCTTTGTCGTTGTCGTCAAACAAAGATACCTTTAAAGCCAATGTCGAGTCCATTGTAGTAGCCAATGTGAAGACGACCAGCATCAGAAACCGAGGGAATGTCATGATGGTATAGTAATATAGTAGATGTATTCAGCGATGCTGGTGATGGAAACTACAGTACCTATATTATCTTATTGCATGAGCAGAAGTTGTGTTTTTAATTTTTCCGATCAGACATGCTTTTTGTCATCAGAAACGAAAGGAAAAGCTCCTGCCACCTGCGAACCTCTCACCTCTGCGTTTTGTCCGGCCGGCGGTGCACTTTTGAAATCTGTCGTGGAAGTCGGACTGGTCGATCACTTTACAGACAGACAGACTTAGTGCCTCCGAAGATCTCTGATTTCATGATTCATTCATTCGTCGCAAAATATCTTTGCACATTCATATTCAATATCCAATCGATCGTGACCGAAATCTCTAAAGTTGCAATCATTATGAGATCCACGGCACACCACTTCATTGCAACTGTAGGAATAGTAGTAGCATGCCTGATTTCTGCTAGTGAGGCATTCGTAATGCCTTCATCTCCAAGAAAAGCAGCAGCAGGTGTCGCAACATCAACACCAATAGCAAACAACAACAAGAACAGCAATAACATCCGAAGCCCCATTTGGCAATCACCATTCGACGTGAAACCAGCAATGACATCAGCATCAACATCAACATCAACATCAACAACTACATCACTAAGTGCCAAGGCGTGTGGTCCAAAAGGCTTTGAACTCTGGAATTTATTCTACGATGATGTCGACATGGCCTTTAATGCTTGGGAATGGACGGCCAATATTGGTGCTCCCGCCGCCTTGGTGGCCGGGGCCGTCTTGGTGACGCTGAGTGAGACTCGAGAAGCCAGTGCTCCTCGATCCAAAGACCTTTGGTGGGTCCGCAAGGCCAAAATGACCATGCGATGTTTACTATTGTCAAGTTTTGCTTTGGAAGTCATTTCCATTTTCGTATCCACCATGACGGGATCCGTCTTGTTGGGGCATGGGCCGGCCAAGAAGGCAGTGGGGTATACATCGGCATTGCAGCTACTGCATCATCATCACGAGTAAGTGACTGAGAAGATAATTTTTTTCTGTCATTGATTCTCATATTGCGATCATAATGTGCCGTCTCATTCTTTCCTTCTCTCTCTTGATTCATCAAATCGAAATAATCCAAAACCTCCTTTCTCAGATTCGAATACTTGACCACACAAATCTGTTTCTTGCAAGGATTGCTCAATTGGTTGGCCTCCGTAGCCATTGAATTGGTCTTGCCCAAGGACAGTGAAACCAAATCGGCACGTCGGGTGAATAAGTGCCTCTCCAGCTGGCTCATGACGCTGATTGTTTGGATTTTGGCCTTTTACAATCACCACCTTTCCTTTTATTCCGATTATGCTCAAATGCTCAAGCGTCTATGTTGTCTATTTGTCCAAGGCTACTTTGTCGAGTGGAGACCATTGAAATTATTCTATATTCCTTCCATGATTGGTTCCGCTCTTCTGACATGGAAGGCCTTTCGAAGTAGTCCCGAAGAAGACGAAGAAGATGAAGTCTTACAAAAGTTATAAACGAACCAACGAGCTAATAGTACCACTATAATCAATGCTAACAATACCACCATTTTACAAGATGGTCAAAGGCAAGTTTACCAGTCTAGTACTGTACTACTCATAGAGCGCAATGATGTTGTATGTCTATATAGTTCCCTTATTATAATTTACATGTTGTATGTGTGCGCGTGAGTCGATATAGTTGTTTGGGTTGGTTATCAATGCAATGGCACACAGAACCACACACGCACGCACGCACACACACACACACATCAATATATCCCCAATATTTTGTGTGTGTGTGTCGAGCCCTTCATTTTAGATTTGAAATCGCAAGCGAGGATTCATTCCACCCAAATTGACTTGAGTGTCAATGTAAAAGCAGGCCGTTTGATTTACAGTAAAGGAAGATTCTCTCTTTTCATAGACAAGATGGCCAGCATCGGCCACCAAGTCATTGTAAATTCTCAAGTCGTCATCGTCTTGCGGGAATCTTCCTCTCGTAGTAGCAGCATCATATTCTTCTCGAATGGTTTCGAAGCGTTCTCTCGCAGCCCTGCTGGCAGCATGATTAGTAGTGGCAGCAGCTTTGTTTTGCGCTGGAGCATCGGGTGCTTCTCGTTTGGACCGTGATGTGGCTTGACGTTTGCTTGGCTGCTGCTGCTGCGTCGTATGGCGGCGGTGACCCAAAGAATTTGATGCCAAAGGCTTGGATTTCAAAAAGTCACGCTCTTGCGCTCGAGCTCGGCAGACTTCCATATCAATGTCATCCAGTTGCATCACCTTTTGCTTATCCGTAAGTGGTTGTGCTATTTGCGGTAGCCCAGAAAGGTCCAACATCATTTGGCTTCGTTCCGGTGCCGGTACTGTCTTGCTATCAGCCACTCTCAAGAGCAAGGTTCGTCTCAAGGAACAAGTCAAGTCATCTCGACAGTTTGGACAGTGCAACTGTACCTTGACTTGTTGAGAACCATCACTGGCAACACCATAAGGTTCCTTGGAGGACTCAATGAGATTGTAAATGCACGAGGCACAAAAGTTGTAGTTACATTGTGGTGTCTTGCATTGAAGTGGGTGGTTCCAGTCATTCTCCGACATGGTACCATCACAAATGGCACACTCTTGAATCATCATCCTCATCATCATCATGCCATCATCATCCAAGGGTGACAATTCGTGGTCGTCTTCCTCCACCACACCATCATGGTCACTTGATTTTCGCATGGATGAGGAAAGCTTCTGCGCCACCTTGGCATACCGTTTGCCAGCGGCTCGTTTGTAGGTTCGCAAGTTTTGGAATCGAGAAGTAGTACTATTACTGCTTTCGTTGGAAGAGCGTGATGGAAGCGAGATTTCCACGCCTCCATTGTGGCTGTCCGTAGTCAACATGGGCCGATTGGCATACAATATGGACTTTTTATTCTTGGTAGATTTCATGAGATCCGTCAGCTTGTAAATGGTCTTTTTTGACGCCATGGAACATTGCTCCCGTGCAATATTCTTGATCTGTTTGACCTTTTCCTTTGTTGCAGATGGACCCACGACCTGTGGCTCATTCTTATTGTTGTTCATATCATCATCTTCATCTTGTGAAGTGGAAGCGTCAGTTCCTATCGTCCCAATAGACATGTTGGAGATGATAGTATCCTGCTTTTGCTTCCGCCGAAACATGTTCTTTAGTGGCTTGCCTGAGGATTTATTCTTGCAAGAACATTCATTGGTGCAACCATGTTGGGGCATGGAGTGGATTAGAACCAAGGCCTTGGACGCAAGATCGGAAGGGTTGGCAATTTCTTCGAACTTCGGTTCTTTTGGTGCTTCTTGGTTCCGCCTTTTTCTCCTCGAGCTTTTTGATCCCATAGTACTAGTCGAGCAGGTTCTTGTTTGCGCCCCTGCTGTTCCTATTGACGCTGATAGTGATAGTGATAGTGATAAGGATGTTGGAGGATTTCGAATACTTGTCGTTCTGATCAAGATTTGATTCTTCTTTTTAGGCCGTGGTGTCAGAGGAGTGACCAACGGAAGGTTCTGGCCTTTTTGAAAATGAATTGGATGGAAAGAGTTTCTTTAGCAATCTATATATGTATCCACCAGCACTCAATCTATGCGTTAGGTGATATGCTCCAGATTTCAAGGACCGATACTTTTTATGTATTATTGTATTGGTGTTTGAGTAGAGGCAGAATGATGTTTGGCAGGATTTTTCAAAGGTGGCGGTTATTTTGATACTCAGATTCTTCTTTGCCAGCCAACGTCAGCACTCCTTTATCTTGGTTGCACAAAACTGGCCTGAACGGACAAAATTGCGAGAAATTCAATGTCAAGATTTGGCCGTGTGCGTCGTTTGCATCGTATTTACAAAAGCCTGGTTTGCTCGTGCAATCGTTGTAACAGTCGGACATGTCTCTTCCAGTGAATAAGCACATCCTGGAGTCGAACGAATCAGTCAATCCAACTGTGAACCGACGCGACGCGACGTGCGACAGACGCTACTGGCCAGAGGGTGAAACAAGTACTGGTAGACATGGGTAGAAATAGCATAAATGTCACAATGGTTCATAGTCTAAATTTGTTAGTATTACAGTAGGCAGTGAGCGTATAAGTACATGCTAGATATCAGCACTTCGTACTACTCCCGGATAGTCTTCGGCATGACTTCTCAGTGGAAAATCGAGATCCCAAGTCATCATAGAGCTGTGGGTCGATCCAGACAAGAGTCTTCCACGGTGCTTCCGTGAGGATCGTTTCCGTCTTGATTTCTTTGTAATAGTCTTGGTAGTGGTGGTCTTGGTGGCAGGAATGACAAGAGTAGGTGTCACGTAGGTCACCATGTTTTGAAAACTGTCCCACGCTACAGCTACTTCGATAGCGCCAGGTTCGCAACAAGAGATGTCCACTTCTTCCGGTGTAACCAAAAATGGTGTTTGGTCGTATTCGGAGCTGATCTCAACTTGCAAAGTGCGAATCGACGAGTTGAGCATGGAAACGTCATCCTGTTCCTCCTCATCACAGTCGATTTCCATGGACAGATCTTCCGTCACCTCAGTAGTTTCAGTTTCACCATCTTTATAACCAACCCAGTGACATGGTTTGGTTGTATTAGAGTTTTCTGAGTCGCTGTTCGAGAGACGACCATCTTGTCTCTCCGTAGAAGAAGAGGAGGCGGTGGAGGAGTCCATCGTGGACTCATCCGGTGAAGTTGTACTGTTGACCTTTTCGTTTAGCATGTTAGTGCCAATGCTGACTTCAACATCCGCCTGCTGCTGCTTGTGCGACGGCTGCTTGACATAAGTGGAAGAGTTATCGTCGGTTGTCAAGTACATTTTGATTCTGTGTTTTATGTTTCCATAGGGTATAGGACACTATACTGGAAGGTCCCGGATGCCTGAAAATGTGGCTTCGGAGACCTCGATCACGGTTGTGTCAAAATAGGTCGATTTTCAATTTTTGAGCAAGCTGGCACATGAAATTCAAGCAGGCATCCATCCGTTGAAGCATGCTCCAATAAATAAATTGGTTGGGACTCCGACATTTGTTTTACCGACTTGTTCGGACAAGCTAGCCGATCCTACTGTTTCTAAGTACAGTATACCTCAACGGTTAGGCGATTGAATACGGCAGTTACGGATTAAAAATACGAATGACGTCATAATTTACGTGAAGTCAAATGAGTCGGTCGTTTGGAAACTCCGAGCTTCGTTCGATAGTAGTATCACAGTACCGGTAGAATAGCAATTGTTTCTACAGTACGTTTGCACCACATTGCTTATATGTGTCTATATTGCGCCCCAACGGTCTGCAGTAAATCTTGCAACCACTCTAATTTTCTATTTCTTTCCAAACCAGCCTCCGAACCCTTTTGTAAACTTGTTCGTCGTCATTGCTTGATCTAGGTTCTTACCCGCCAGCTTCTCCACGTCATTGCCCAAGACTCCACCAAACACAGTGGCAACTCCTGCCTTTAGATTCTTTCTCAAATCCTTCAATTCAAGAGTGCATAGATTCTTGTAAGTTGTTTGGGGCAATCCTAGAATGGCAAAGACAAGTATCTTGATTCGGCGAGCAAACTCTTGGATCAAGTTTCCAATAAGTGCCAGCATGCGGCACATTTCTTGAATCTTGGTCATCATGGACAACTCTACGCTCCAAAACGCCATGAACAAGTCAATGGTAGAATTGCAGTTCTCTGAAAAGTCAGGAACTTTTAGAAGCATTTCCGCACAAGACTCAGCATTTGCTTCGTTGTGCTTGTTTTGATTATTATTCAATACAATGCCCCTCCGATAAGTTGTATCAGCAACTGACTTGGGGTGATATATTTCTTGAATCTTGGTCATGGGTGATTCCGAATTACAGAAGCCCATGGAAAAGTCCATGGTGGAATTGCAGTTTTCTGAAAAGGTAGGAACTTTTAGAAGCATTTCCGTACAAGACTCAGCAGCTGCTTCGTTGTGCTTGTTTTGATTATTATTCAAGGCATTGCCCATCCGATGAGTTGTATCAGTAACCGACTTGTTGTGGCGATCTATTTCCAACCGAATAGCCAGAGCCTGTTGCAGGTTGCTAACTGCTTTGTCGTGGGCACCAAGAGCCAACAACTCAGTGCCCAAGGCGTAGTACGCATCCGCTGTGTCTTCGTGGCCATGGCCTAGAGCTTCCAATCGAATCGCGAGCACCTGTTGATAAAGTTGCATTGCCTTCTCATGTTGACCTAAACTCGCATGAATTTGCCCCATGCTTTCGTACAGAGCAGCATTGTCGAAGTGGTTGTTACCAAGCACTCGCTCTTGAATCGAAACTGCTGCAGAATACTCTTTTAGGGCATCTTCAGGCTTCTGCTGATCTTGTAGCAGTGCGCCCATTCGGGCGTAAACATCTGCGCAGGACAAATGCTGGTTGTTGCCAATACGATCCAATCATAGTCAAAGCCTTTTGATATACTTCCATCGATTCGTCCAATGAGTCTTGTGCACGCAAGATGTCTCCAATATTGCAATATGTCGTGCCGACATCCAAATGATCACTACCGAGAGCCTCAAGTCGGATCGAGAGCGACTGACGGTGCATCTCCAGTGCCTCTGCTGATTTCCCCATGTTATTTAGAACGACACCGATGTTTTGCTGACAGCCAGCTATATCGGGGTGCCGACTATCCAGAGTCACCAGCCGTATGCTCATTGCTTTTCGGAATGCTTCCAACGCTTCTCCCCATTTTCCCTCGTCGTCAAGGATATTTCCGATTTTATCATAGGTCTTTGCCAAATCGAGATGGCTCTCACCCAAGCATTGTAATTGAATGGATAGCCCTTCTTGAAAAATTTGCAAAGCCTCTTGACGCTTTCCTTGGTGGTCCAGGACACTTCCAATGTCGATTATGGTAGTAGCAACGTCGGGATGACTGCTCCCAAAGTTTTCTTGTCGAATCTCCAGTGCCTTCTGAAGATATGGAAGCGCTCTATCCCACTGAGATTGGTCCATCATGACACTGCCCATAGCATTGCAAGTGTCGGCTACATCTTCGTGACTTCTCCCAAGAGACTCTATCTGAATTGCCAATGCTTCTTCGTATAGCATCATTGCTTCATCGTGATCACCCTGGCTTTGCTTGACCACCGCCATGAGGTACAATGTTGTGCCAATGTCTGGATGTTTCTCGGAGAAAATTTCCAGTCGAATTGTCAGGGCTTCTTCGTACATTTTCAGCGCTTCGTCTGGTTTGTCTTGATCCGAAAGAACATTGCCAATGTTATGGTTCAAATCAGCAACACTTTGATTACTCCTCCCAAGAATTTCAAGACGAATTTGCAATGCCTCTTGATAAGACATCAAGGCCTGGCCGTTCTTTCCTTGGTTATAAAATTCATTGCCTTGTGTGTGGCAGGTGGAAGCCTTTTGTAACCGTTTGCGCAGTCGTCTCCTTTTGTATTCCTGTTGCTTCTTCAAGGATTGTCGGAATCCAAATCGATGTTTCGTCTTAGTCTTCTTGGGTGCATCATAAGCAGGCGATTGAGGAAGAGGGTCGAGATTGCTAGCCGCGGATGGATGATACCGGTAGGACGTCGTAGGATGAGAGTTCGTGACGTCTTCCTTGGTGCTTATTGGGTCACAGATATTTCTGGACGCAGGAAGATCCACTATCTTGTATTCGGCAGCATCCACCAAGGATTGAAAGCCAAATACGCATCTGCCGGTCTTGACATCCTTCAAGTACTTTGCACTTTCGGCAGTCAGGAGAGCTTTGAATTCTGATTGATTGCTAATATCGCAAACAATGTCACTGTCCACGATGGTTATTGTCTTCTTGGGGGATTGTTGTTCCATGTTCATCTTTCCATCGCTACCTTAAGTTATTGCGAAGGAAAGTCTCAACGATTGTATAACAAGAAGCTGCAGTGTTGGAGAAGAATTATTCGCCTGCGTGCCAGTCATTATTATGCTTTCTTTCACAGGAGAAGTAGGTGCTGAGAATGCTTCATGGGCATATAATAGCAGAGATGAGTCGGATGGAACTTTCTTTGGCACGTGTCGACATATCATACAAGTACCCATCGTCCAACAAGAATTGTTAAAATTCTGCGCTATTTCCTTTCACAATCAACGTATTTTGTTGCGCACGTGATGATGATATTATTGACAGCTGATCGATCATCATCGACACACATTTTTTATATTCTATGTGCGCTGTGATTTGAAAACTGAAAATACGTGCAGTGCGTAGAGAGAGCGCGCATAACAGATTTGAATAGTTCGACCAAAACTCAAGCGTAATGTCTTGCACGTGTATACCTACCGGTACACGTATGGGCTGCTGAGACAAAAACAGCAACTTGTTCTGCGATATGGAAATACTTTTTGCTGTATACATAGTGGTTGAATAGCAATTGTGTCTACATTACTTTTTTTTAACACACATTGCCTATGTTTCTATTCCGCTTCGATAGTGCGCAGCATATATGCATCTTGCAACCGCAGTCTAATTTGTTGCTATTTCTTTCCAAACAAACCTCCGAACCCTTTTGTAAACTTGTTCATTGCTTGATCTAGATTCTTACCCGCCAGCTTGCCCACGTCACTACCCAAGACTCCACCCACCGCAGTGGCAACTCCTGCCGTTAGATTCTTACCCAAATCCTTCAATTCGAGAGTACAAAGCTTCTTGTATGTTGCTTGCAGCAATCCTAGAATGGCCAGGACAAGCCCCTTGATTCTGCGAGCAAACTCTTGCATCAGGTTACCGAGCGCCACCATCCGGCACATTTCTTGAATCTTAATCATGGCCGATTCCAAATCCCAGACCCCCATGAACGATGCAATGGTGGAATTGCAGTTCTCCGAAAAGTCGCGAACTTTGAGCAGCATTTCGGTACAAGACTCCGTCGTGGTGGATACCGACGACAATCCTGATGCTCCCGTCTTGCAAGCCGTAAAGATATCCGACTTTTCCATGGCTTGAGTGGACGCCTCCAAATCACGAATGTCTTCGTCGACACCCCGTGGTTGGGCATCATGGTCGTCCCGTCCCTCGGCCTCCACATCCAACCCATCCGTAATGATATCGGGCAAATTCTTGAAACCGTCTTGAACTCGATCCACCATACTGGTGACTTTGGAAGTACATTCTTTAATCATTTCGTCCATGTTGGTCGCCAACGAAATGGCGTCCTTTAAATCGTCACCTTGCCGTAATTCTTTAATAGCCCCAAAGCTATCCTTGTTGATCGATTTTACCGTTTTAAGCTGTCCCAGAACCGATTCACTTTTGGTGACCAGACTCAAGCTCTTGTCATGAGCATCCATAACAAGACCTTTGGCTTGTAGCACGTACTCCAAACAGTCCGACATGCAATCCTTGGCAAAGGCCAGTGCCGCCCAAAGACTGCTAATCTTGGACGCAGTCGCTTGAAAGAGATCAATCAGGACACGAATAATCTTTTTCGTAGCCTCGGCCAATGCTCGCATCACCTCTGATAGTCGAATGCACTTTAGAATATCCTTGATTTTGCTGTACAGTGATGCCATGCTCAATTTGGAAAAGTCAGTCGTAATGTCTCGCACCGATGTGGAAAACCCTTGGATGCTGCTAAACAACGCCCGCGAAGTTTCTGCCTTGGCCGACAATTGCTCAAAGGCTTTTAATCCAATCTGAAAGGCCGTTGCCAAATTCAATTCCTGCATGGCCTTGATGCAAGATTGAACATCGTCCAAATCCTGATCCACTCCTTTCAGACGATTCAACGATTCCGCTTCTGCTCCACCGTCATCTTCTAGTTGCTTGGCATAATCTTCAATCATCCCTTCGACGGAATCTGGCAAGGCTCCCATGGAATCTTCCATCAAATCTATCATCTGAACCGACTTGTTGATGCAGTCAAGGGCAATGGTATCCAATCCTTGCGCAAGACTCTTGGCCTGTTGCAATTTGGCTCCATCGGTCAAGTCCTTGATGGTTTCGAGCGCGGACGAATCCACCTTTCCAGAAAATCCTTCCAGAGACGATTGAATGTCCTTTCCAAACGCAATCATTTGTTCACTCTTGGATTGGGTGGTTTGACACAATTCCACAGTTTCGGTGGCGAGCTGCGAACATTTGGAGCCCCGTTCTTGAATGGCACCGACCGTAGGACCCAACTCCACACCACCTAGAGCTGCTTGCAAGGCGCTGGATGCGGAGCTACCTTTGCCACCCAATGCACCCGACATGGCACCCGTGACCAAGGATCCTACTAGTTTGGAGCCACTGCCACCACCACCATTATTAGCATAGGAATCCTTGACTTCGTTCATGGCACTTGCAGCCATGGTCTCCAACCATTTTCGTCCCATTGTTATATGCTTTTTGAGTACGATAAAAGTGTAATATGTATATATATATATTCTCAGCTATAGTAGTAGCGCAGAATGGATACTACTACTGTACTGGTACGATAGTCGCAATGACGACCACGACGGTGATGATAATCGGTAATATGATATGTGTATGTGTTTATATTTTTGCAGCAATGTTCTGTGAATGGGGGGATCAATAGATTTTATTGAATAGGGGGAATCTGTATAGCGGCATCCTTCTTTCAACCCCTACTATATTATACTGTCATTTTTTAGAATCGCAAATTGAAAATATATAATATATTCATCTCACACCTCATCTCATCACTCCTCTCATCCTGCATATATCATATACCCGCCCGCCCTTTCCTCATCTTCCATGTTGACACAACCAAAATGTTCAATAGCAGCACCAGCAGCAAACTAGTTGCGACAAAGGGAAACACCTCAAGAGCAAGACGGGATCGACGAACCACCCGCATAATAACAATACTCTCTGTTTCAGCAGGAACCGTAGCAATAATTCTCTTGTTATGTTGGCGGCTGGGAGTTGTGTCCACAAGATCTTCGAGCAAGAGCAATGGAACGATTCGTGGCAATTCTGCAAGTAGAGCGTCTTATGATGATTACTTTCAACCCCAAGAATGCGCGGTTGGACTATGGAACCAAGATACCCATACTCTGGAAGTGAACCCCAACTGTCCTGCTTCTCAGAAACTTTTGAATATGAAACCTCCACCGACCGACAAGACGCTAACCTTCTTTTTGATTTATTTCAATGACCATCATCATTTGGCACATCAGCTCAAATCATGGATCAGCTATGGACAAAATGTTTTGGATCAAATACAATTTGTCATTGTGGACGACTCCAGCGCACCGGGTCACACGGCCGCTGAGTTTCTGCAGGCCAATATCAATCATAACGATTCCCAAACAATAAGAACACCATTGGATATTGTGATTTACAAAATTGATCAAAACTTAATGTGGAATATTGGAGGAGCTCGCAACTTGGGATTCTGGATGGCCAATACACCGTGGGTATTCATGAGCGATACGGATACCCAAGTGGCTCCAGAAACAATGAAGTATATATTGGAAAAGGTCTCATCATCGGCAGCAATAACAGATACTTCGTCACCTGCTGTCTATACCTTTTTTCAGCGACAACGAGATTCTGGATTCAAGCCACATCCTGCTGTCATGTTGATTCGAAAGCAGGATTATTGGAAAGTAGGAGGCTGTGACGAAGACTTTGTGGGTTCCTATGGATGGACGGATCCCCACTTTCGATACAAAGTGCAAGAGGATCCTACCTTGCATGCCATCAAGGCCCACACGGAAATGGATGAATTGGGGATCACGCCCTTGCGTGAAATGAATGATGACATTGAATGTCCCAACGGCATTGTCTGTCTTGAAAAGTTCCATGGAGAAAAGGCCCCAAAAGAGCCCGAAAAGAATGAAGCCAAGTTTAAGAGAAAGAGTCAAGAAGGTAAATGGTCCAACGAAGTATTAAGGTATACCTGGAAGAGAGTAAAGTGGCAACAAAATTCATGGTGGGACTTTTTGCTTTGGTGGTCATAGCAGTGATTTTTAAAATAAATATAGAGTAAATATATTGAATATATACTGATTTTGGCTCTCATTACCGTGCTAGTTTTAAAAAATATATGGTATCTTCCCTATGGCCTAGTATTTTATAAATGTCATGACAAGAAGCAGACCATCACCAATGCAACAAGAAGAGGAAGAAATGTCGAGGCAGTGGTGGCACTGGATGGGCAGTAGAGATTCCTCCAAGAATCATTCCATCTGCAAACCACAGAGCTATCGACTCCCGCATCGTCAAACGCGCTAGTAGCTTCTTTCACTTTCGAGACATCCCATGATGACAAATCTTGATTGAAGGAGGTTGCACCATCAAACATGTGTTCCATGTGCGATACCGAAGACACATCCCAGGATGACAAATCTTGATTGAACGAAACGGCATTGGAAAACATGCGCCCCATGAATTGCACCGATGACACGTCCCATAGGGACAAGTCTCTGTTGAATAATGGTGCATTCCAGAACATTCCATTCATGGAAGTTACGGACGAAACGTCCCACAATGCCACCTCCTGATTGAAGGATGACGCACCCGAGAACATCTCAAACATGAACCGAACATTGGATACATCCCACCGATTCAAGTCTTGATGAAAAGACGTGGCATTGAAGAACATGCCAACCATATTTGTAACATTGGAGACATCCCACAACGATATGTCTTGATTGAAAGACGATGCATTCCAGAACATGGCGTGCATACTGGTGACATTGGTAACATCCCAGCCCGACAAGTCTTGATTGAAGGATGCCGCACTTTGAAACATGGAATCCATTGACATGGTGGCAGAAACATTCCAGGATGATACATTTTCATTGAATATATATGCATCCTTGAATAAATCATCCATATCTATGACATTGGAGGTATCCCATGACGACAAGTCCTGATTGAAAGAGGTTGCATTCTGAAACATGCTTTTCATATTGGTGACGGAAGAAACGTCCCACGAAGACAAGTCTTGATTGAATGATTGTGCACCTTGGAACATTCCTTGCGTGCTTTTGATTCTGGATATATCCCATGCCGATATGTTATCATTGAATGAAGCTGCATTCAAGAATGCAAAGTTCATTTCGGTTAAATCGTACACACACCAGGATCCAATGGGCCAGCCATACTTTTTCACAACTTCATTGTTGCAATTGTTGTCATCAGAGCAACCATCCCTTATAAACTGAGAAACAGCGTTTTGAAGCTCATTGTTACCGTCGTTGAAGCAATCAATTGCGCTTGCAAATCCCATTAGTGGACCAAGACTAAGGATCAAATAAAGCTGGTGCCGATTCATCATCATGACTCTCATTGTGGTGCTGGGGTGGGGTATATATAATTCAGTCAGATCGATTGTATCAGTGTAGTGTTGTCGCAAACTACCAAGGTGCGTGCCTTTTAAACCATAACCCTTGTGTCAGTTGTTATTGTCTATGGTGCCGATGATGCGACTCTTTCCTGTTTTCCAACACTATATAATCAGTGGTCATCATTGCGCATCTCTGTCGAACCCCAAAATATAGAAAATGAAATTGGCAGTTTGATTGATTCAGTCGACCAGATCGAATGGTTCGATTGCCCTTATTGCCGTCTTTTATCTTGTTACGTACAGTAGTATTAAAATACCTGGTACCGGTACGCTGATTGCAATCTAATTTACTTTCATTCCTACTGTACAGACTAAGCGTACCTGGTACTATTGCAAAACCTTTTGTCTTGGCGCATTCGTACCTCTCAGCTTGAATCAGCATAAAAGTTGGAGTGCTCATGATTATCCTCATCATCGAGAGACGAAGGAAGAAGGATGATCATAGTACGCATGCGTGGTGGTGACAAAAGGAAGAATGAGAAAGGTGCGAAATCTCAGTTCAACAAAGTCACGTTCGCGATTGACTGAGTCAGTTACTTTTATATTCTAAAAATAGCGCTACTATACATGATTCATTCGGAAGAGTAAAACCAGAATCCCATTGGTGACGATATTAGACAGGAGAACGTAGCATAGATTTACCTAATCAATCGATCGTGAAGAACCAGGGCCGAGAGTGTGTAGAATCATCGCTTACTGGATTCGGACGCCGAAACGAAGTTCTGAATGACTATATATGTCAAAAACACGTAACTACGCCCTCAAACGACTGCACTTGTTATCTCTTGTTTCAATCCAGAACACGCTCCATAAATAAGGCGTGTGTTTTGAACCCACGGGTCCTCTGATCGGAAGGACCGCACGACCAAAAACATGCAACTTGTGAAAGAGGTTGCTTGTAATTGGAACACCATGATGGAGGAGGTCAAAGCTCAAAACAAGCTTTTAAAGATGAGTATGAGTTGTATGAAAGCTTACTATTCAGTAGCATAGTCAAAACTTGCAATTGATTTGCCATGGTGGTGTTGTACGTTGATGCTTTTAAACTGAACCAAAGCCATAGAGCGCATGCATTGTAAAAAGGAGTATCAATCGTATTATTCATTTGTTAAAAAGAAACGGTGCTGAGTGCGTAGGCACTTACTTCGCTGATTCGCTATTTCAAGCGAGCTCTATCATTCGCTTATGTCAAAAAACACTTAAAACCTATAGTTTCATCCCAAAACCTCAGAATGTGTGCTTTGATCCCACGGGTCCTTTGACCAGAAGACATTTTCAAGCATTACTCTACCATTCTGACCCTTTCTCCTTTCTGATCAGACAACGATAGGGTTCAAAAAGAGAACATAATGTGCAGCAAACGATGAAACCATACACAACATCATCAACAACAACAACAACAACAACCTTTGAAAATGAAACAATACACGAATCACGAACTGAGTATGCTTATGATACAACACAACAATGAAGCCGTCACCAAGTTGAGGGGAGGCAAAGTGATCGAAGCCTTCCATTTGCTGTCCAAGGCCTGCCGAGCAGTGCATGAGCTCCAACAACAACAAAACAAAGACAATGGGTATTCTGCTAATGCCGACAATGATTGTCAGGAGGACCATCACCAATACCAATACACTTGGCTGGATTGCTCAAAAGCTGTGGCACACAGGATGAAGGGAACGAGAAACTTTTGTGAAGGCAGCTTGCCTTTTCTCTTTCTTCAATTTCTGTGGATTGATACTCCAATGGAATCATCATCATCATGTTATGATTCCATGATGATGGACGAGATGAAAGATGACGGTCCGGTCTGTGTGCGAGGCTTTGTTTGGGTATTGTGGTACAATCTTGCCACCGTGTCCATCCTGGTAGGCAGTCCAGTGGGAGCAACTGGTAATTGCTTGTTGCAGCAATCCCTCGAGCTGTTCCGCTCGGTGCAATCTGCAGTGGACCCTGAACCCTTGTCCAAACATTGGATCATACTCAAACTAGCCATTTTGAACAACGAGGCTTGCGCACTCAGCGAGCTCAATCAGTCCCGCCAACGCTTGGACCGATTGGTCAAGATGGGACTGGCACTGTGCAACATGTCGGATCTGCTAGAACCCGAAGAGCAAGAGCTATTCTTGTGGACCGTCACGTCAATGGCGGACGACCGTTTTGCTGCTGCCGCTTAGTCTATGGTGTGTTACTACTCTCTCATCGCCACGACGTCGTCCCTGGGATGAACAATACGTCGAACCATCCAGCCCACTTGAATCTGAGTGCATGGCGGCTATTGGTTGATTCCACCAGCCATGATCACTCCAAACAACAAGAAGCTCACCACTCTTGGACATGACCAAGGAACGATAGCGTCTGGCATCCATGAGCTCCCATGGTATCCCAAGTTTTGAGTCTCATCTCGGCTGTTGCGTCACTGTACGACCGCCAGCCATTTTCGCGCTATTCCTCCTTTTGGCGACGGCTGCTGATGATGATGTCGCTTCGACTACTGCTAGTTCCTATAAAGCCGCCTCTAATTGAATAACGTAATGCGATAACTAGCTACTTACCCAAATCCTTTTAAGCTCAAAATAGTAATCAATCATTTCAAATCATTGGAGTCGGAGTGTGTCGGTTGAGTCGATTGCGCACAAGCGCGAAGAAGAATCAATCGATTGAAGTACGTGGTGGTGGCATGTGGAATGTCGAAGATATGATGTGATGACGATGGCATTGCAAAAGTAATATCAAACGAACGCAAATATCACCTTTTCAGCCCAAGAGAATCATAGACACAATATATCATGAATCCTTCCTCCAACCTATGCAAGCTCTTTCTATCAGCATTCTTACTGACCAATAATCATGGTGCCGATGCCTTTTGTTCTCGTCGTCCAACTACGAGCCAATCCTTTTCCCGTGTTTCGTCCTCGTCGCTTCGTGCTGAAGAGGAAATGGCAGCTTCGGTGGCCGACACTGTCCAAACTGCTGCTGAATCAGTTCAAGCTGCCGCAGCTACTGCTACTGCTCCCGTCGAATCCTCTGCTCCTGCCGCCGTCGTGGAAGCAGTTCCAGAGGTTGTCAAAAGGGTTGCCGCACTGGGAGACCCTCTTTACGAACCAGTGGTCGATGCGGATACCATGGCTCTAGTCCTTGGACAAGAAAATTATGGTTTGGCCATTGTCTTGTTGGGAGAAGGCATCTGGTCCTTGTCTTCGGCACCCAGTATTGATCAAGCTCTAAAGACTTTGGTCCCTGCTGCCGTTGCTGCTGCGATTTTGGCGATTGTGTCGGGACCCATGGTGACCAGTGGAGATGTGTCTCAAGTCGGTACCGGATTGTTCGTTGCGGATGCTGTTAGTATCATCATGGGTTTGATCTACGTGGCTCGATGCTTGGCTCCGTTTTCAGCGTCGCCCAAGGAAATCCCCGCCTTGGGAATCTTGGTCGCTTTGGCTGGGTTCGTTACCTTTTCTGAAAACTTGATCGTGGATGGATATGTCATCCTTCCACAATTGCCACAATTGCCATCAATTGAACTTCCCAGCATCCAATTGCCATTTTAATTATTAAAATATATAACAATATAATTATGAAAGAAATGGAAACATGATGAGACATGACATAATACATCATAGTTAGACGACTATTGGACGAATATTTTTGTAGGAGCATGAACCTATGGATTCTTATGGCAATGTCAGAGTCACGAGACGAAGGCAGTGGTATTGTAACTGATATGATGCTGAGTATCTAATGCTATCTAATTTGTTTTGCTATACTGTATTATTGTGAAAGAAAGCCATAACAAAACACAAGTGCTAACCATGAAGGAAGGAATCAATCATCTGCTGGACATCACCACCACCACCACCACCATTTGACGACAGCGGGCAATCGTTTGTCTAGTCCACGCATCTGGTAGTGTGCATGACACGTATAAAAACATATTGTGGCTTGGTGTTTTGGCTGATCACTGTATTTTGTGGATTCGATCTCCAAGTACCTGCACTCGGCACAATGGGCAATCTGTATGGTTCTTGAGCCATTCCACAATGCATTCTTCGTGAAAGACGTGATTACAATCCTTGCAAATGGGAACACAGATAGTTTCACCAGGCGCATAGCACTCGAGGCATATACAGCATTCATCCTTGGGTGAAGGTTTGGTCCAACTTGAGAGACGTTCCGTCAAACTATTCTCATTTGTATTGGATGGGTCACTCATCGTACTAGCCGATACAGAAGTACCGTCCTCATTGACGGGAGCCTCATCGTCACCACCATCACCAGCAGTTGCAGCCTTTGCTCCTCGAATGCAATCGGCCGAAATGTTGGTCTTGTCGGAATTGACACTCTGAAACAAAAAGGAAGCCACAATCTGGTCAAAACGAGCATTCATGTCTAGTTGTTCTGGTGGATGCCGCCGTTGCTCCCCTTCTTCTCGTTCCCGTTGAAGCCGCCGTCGTTCTGCCATGATGCGACGGGCATCCCTCAATTCACGAGACTGTTGATTTCGGATCGCCAACAGAGCCGCAATCACACAAAAGGTAATTCCCATGGCCGAAAATATAAAGCGCAAGATATCAATTCCTTCCATCGGACCACCAGACGATTCGTCGTCAACGTCTTGAGTGGGACCGCCACCATGAATATAAGGACCATTTTTTGAATAATCATCATCATCGTAATCGCCTGGATTACAAGGATCTGCTGAAAATGCTCCAGCCTGATCGTAGCGATTTGGTTGGGCATGACTGCATTGTCCACAGCATCTAAATACGTTGAACCAAGACGATAATGAGAAGACGAGGAAATGAGTGAGTGAGTGAGTGAGTGAGTGAGTGAGTGAGTGAGTATGATACAGAAAGCAGTATATTATTCCCCTTCCTTTCGGCAATCAATCGAATCAATCAATCAATCTACTTACTCGGGTCGACATTTACAGCAATGCTGGGTAGCTGGACCTATCCTCGCACGCCTCTGACAACTAATGGAGGGATGATCACAATCAAAGATTCCTTGGATCCATTGTCCGTTTTGCAAATAGGTAGCCGGGGCCATCCACCCTGCCGTATTTTTACAGGAAAGTTCGTCCTCTTCTTCTTCTTCTTTTTCTTCAATATTCTCAAACGTCGGACTGGTGGATGTATCCTCAATCATTTGAACAGAAGGAACACGGGTGGGTGCGGCCGACGGTGAATCCGATGGTATTGCGGAACGAGTAGGAACGTATATCGTCGGTGCAGGTGATGGGCGGTTCATGGAAGCGGCTGATGGAAATTCGGATGGCGCGGCTGAAAGGGTAGGCGGTGATGCTATCGGTGAAAGTGTTGTAGCAGCAGCAGCAGCTGATGGGGACGACGATGGTGTCGAGGAGTCTTGTGGTTGTGCGTCCACCAAAAGAAGAATTTCTGTTGGTAGAATCATAGAAAGTGTCAGCAACATCATCATCATTAGGAAAGATGATGATACTACCATTGCCGGGAGCTGGAAAGAAAGGGGCATTGGACAAGCTGGTATGTAGAACAAACAGATCCAAGGTTCAGATGATGAACCCAATATACAAAAGTAGGTAGATACACACGGAAGCCGCTATATAAAGCTCTCTATCGTCGCTATTTTTGCTGACGATGATATTTTTTGTGCAGAAACCGCTCTCAACGAGAGATCATCCTGAAGAAAATTAAGGCGGGTGATTGAGGCGGGGATGACTGGCGCAAAAAGAACCAAAAAGCGGGCTGGAACCATATAATTTCTGGAATGGTCCGTATGATATCTTTGTGCGGCGTGAGCATTCTTACGGCAAACAACATCGTAGAACTTTATGTAGCGGGCAGAAAGATTTTTCGGGTGAATTTCCTTCTTCAATTGAAATATAGAGAAAAACCACGCATTCAGTGTTATTGTTCACGATAGACTTTTCCTTTGTTGTGTGTGAACTGTTATATTGCATTTGAACATTACAGCTTATATCCTACAACACTATGAAAAACAACAATTCATTGAAGTTGCTTATTCTTTGTGTGATTTTGTTTCAGCTTCAGTTCGTCACTGTAACTGCTGATGATGCTGATGGAACAATAAATGCGAACAACAATAGCAACAATGCCACTTCAGACTGCGTGGATGCCATAGATTGGAAGCCGTTTGCCTCCTTTCCGGGTTGCCATCATGATTCAGTCTCGTGCGAAGAGGCTCAAGTGGTGATGGAAAATTGCTGCAAATGTCGGTGCGCTTATTCTGATAGCGAAGGCAATATCATCAAGAACGCTTCCTGCTATGATCACGAGTATTCTACTCCATCTCCCATACCGGCAATTATACCACCGACTTCACCACCTTCTGTACGACAAGATGACCGGAATGCACCATCATCCTCAAAACAGTCATTTCTGTCAACATCCTCATCTGCACCTACTTCCAATACACGTGCCATGCCCGAACCAACCCCTCCTCCAACCACTTACTATGAGAATTGGAAGAAAAATGGCGGCCAACAACAAGACGATAAGAGCTCCATCAATCGATCCTTTTTCATGTTCTTTGCCCTCTTTTTCTTTATCACGTTGCTACGAAAAGGAAATCAGCTACGGACTCGTCGACGGAATGGACGATACCGAGCCGCACGGGCAGAACGATTGCGAAGGGCCGCAATGCAACAAGAAAGTAATGCAGCGGCATCGTCACAAGCCAACACCAACAGCAGCAGTAGTAGCCCCGCACGGTACCAACGGATTTTATCCAAGTTTTATTTTCAAGCCGTCTTGCCAGATCAGAGCAATGTCAATCCGGAAAGTTTAAAATCAGGCGAGTTGGTCACAACGCCACCTGATATTGAAACTTCGCTCTCCTCGTCCAAGACTGCTGACGACAAGAACAACAACAACAACAACAACAGCAAGGAAGAGCCAGCGGAAGAAACGAAAGGAGAAAGCACGGGGGCTGGTTCATCCAAAAAGGAGGCTATACTAGTGGAGTCAGGGGACGACTCCAATCAAGAAGGAAGTGCTGATGAGACCAGCAGCGTCACCAATAATAAGGCATCACACCACCACCATCCATCAATCTGTCAAGTCATCTCTTCTTGGGCCAGTGTTGGGTCAATACCACCATCAGTAGACGTTTGCTGCATATGCCTGGAAGTCTACAGTGCAGGAGATACCATTTGTGTGGCCAAGAATCCAAATTGCGATCACTTGTTTCACAAGGATTGTGTTGTGGAATGGATGAAGACAAATGATGAATGTCCACTTTGCCGCATTAATCTACTGCATTAATTTTTATTTAAAAGAAGGGCGATGATGGGAGAGTATACATGCCATCATCGTTCACGGAGCAACGAGACCCAATATCGAAAGATTCGACATAATTTCATAGGTACAACCGACGGTCGTCTCATAATGTTCAGCCAATAACCTCAATCCTCATTATGGAAATTGCTAAAGAGAGCAACCACGATTAGTACGATAGCATACAACAACATTCTCGAAAAGCGTAGCATAGTCTTGCCGCGCGACGTGGAATTGATGCTGTCTTCTATTTGTCATTAGTCCCTCCACCTTTGCATCTCTTCCTAAAAGATGACACGATATGCCGATATCGACATATGCTTCGCATGCATGGTAATAATGTCTTTAGAATCCTTCAAATAGCTTTTGTTCGTTCACGGAAAGCGGGAATCCACGCTCGTCGCTCTTCGTGGAATCATACTCTTCAAAATTGGAAGCATCAAACGGATTTTGAATCGTTGGTTTCCACGGTGCCTCTACTTCCTTCTTGAGCAGTTTCTTGTAGTGATATCCATTGTCCGAGAACCATGCATGTTCGTTCACATCATGGTAACCATGCTTCAAATTTCCTAATCGTTCTGGCACCTTTCGTACCAACAGTTTTCGAATCAAATCTGCTGCGAGTGGGTCAATGGCCGGGTGCATCTCATATTCGACCATGACTATCTTTTTGAACATGGCCATTTGAGAAATGTTAGCTCGGTAGAATGGAGACTGTCCGGTCTGCATGATGAATATCAATACACCCAACGACCAGTAGTCCACGGCATGATTATGGCCCTTGGACATGATAATCTCAGGAGCAAGATACTCGGGTGTTCCACAGAAAGTGTACGCTAAGGTGACGCATAGAAGGCAATCAGTGTGAGAGAGCTGCAGTTCCATGCAAGACAAATCACTCGATATTTTTAAACCACTTACTCTTTCCCACTACAACTTTGGCAAATCCGAGATCCACAATCTTGCAATATCCGTCAGCATCAATCATGACATTCTCAAGTTTCAAGTCTCGGTAGGCAATGTATCGGTGATGGAAATGTCCCAAGGCTTCTACCACGCAACCGGTATAAAAGGCAGATTCCTTGCTCGATAATCCTCCTCCATGTTCCAGGCTGGCCGAAGCCACTCGACTAAAGAGCTCGCCACCTTGGATCAAAGGAAGCAGCATGTACAGATTGTGACTATCTTGAAACGAAGCCACCATGTCCAAAATAAAAGGATGGTTCAAAAGCCCCAGTAATTCACGTTCTCGCATGACACTACCCGACTGTTTACTCCGCAAGACTCGTCGTTTGTTGACAATCTTGAGTGCATACGGCGTCGTCTTGGACATGGTATTCTCCGTCAACCAGACTTTTCCAAAGGCACCCTCGCCTAAGATTCTATGCTTCTTCAAATCATTTACCTTGATGGATAGTTTGGGCTTCTTCTTGACAAATCGTGCATCTTTGCCCAAACGACGGAGGTCCACAAGGACAGATTCCAATATCTCCCGACTGAGCATCCATGTCGTCAGGTTTTCTTCGGCAATGGCATCGTGCTGCAGTATATCATCGGAATGCCGCAAAATATTTCGCTCTCCAAAGGTATCACCAGATTGCAGATTGTAAACCTTGCCGGAACTGCCTCCATATACCAAGACTCGTCCGGATCGAATAATCCACAGATTCTTTTCGTTGTGCTCATTCCCAGCTACTACTAGTTTCGTTTCCTTGCGGTAGCAAACCTCAATGGTACCTTGCGCCAATCGTTCAAATTCGACCGGCGTCAAGTCACTATCCGCCAAAATGGGTAGACTCTTGAGACTTCGTAGCTTGGCATCAAAGTCCAAGACTTCTTTCAGTTCTCCCATGTACCGTTGGAAATCATCTCGATCCATGGCTAGTAGTGTGACGGTATCCGATTCGGCTGTTACATGTGCGGCACGAGGTTCTCCTGTCAATAACGATCGTTCTCCAAAGCAGTCTATAGATAGGAGAGCGTGTGCGAGCAATAGTCAAATTACTGAATGAACCGTCACACTTCATCTCATCCACCCAATTTGACTTACCTCCGACTTGCAAGAACTGATCCACGGCCTTGCTATCTCCGATTCCAATATCATGAACCTTGACCGACCCATCCTCCACTAGATAAAATACAGTTCCCTCGTCTCCTTTGGTAACGATTCGTTCTCCCCTGTGAAAGGTCACCCGGGTCATGCTGTCGGCAAATTTGGTAAGCTGGCACTCCCCCATGGATTGAAACATTGGAATCTTTTGGAGGCAGGCCAAAATATTGGAATCCCGTTGATGGGCCGAATACGCCAAAATGTGCCGAAAGACGGCATGATCAATCCTCCAGAGTGTGGCAGTAGGAGACGAAGCATTGTAGGAAACGTCGGCAATTTCTCCATACAGCAGAGCGACTTCGCCAAAAATGTCACCGGCTTGCAAGGTTCCACATGTTTTACTCTGTATTTCGCAATACAAATCAACCTTGCCCTGTTGAATGATTTGCAAATATTGTCCATTTTGATTTTGCTTGACAATGTTGGTGCCGGCTGTGACCTTGTATCGTTCCGTCGACTCGACGAGTTTGGTAATTTCTTCTGAAGACAATTCTTCAAACAAGACAAAACGTTCCAGGGTACGTCTCAGGAATTCCTCTTCTTCAAATGATTTTGGATACACGGGATGTTGATAGTCTTGCAGTGACAATAAGGCATTATTATTGTTGCTTCCGTCTTCTTGACCCAAAATACTCAATGGCTGAGAATAAATTTCCTTGCCTCGTTTCAATTCCAAGGCGACTTGTCCCTTTTCTCGAACTGCCAAGGAACAGCTCGATTTTTCATTTTGCGAAGCATTGGATTCCTTGTGACTCAGCGACGATGAGTGTTTGGAATGATTATGGACCCAATCTGTGGCAATATGATTATCTGTCTCACCGTCATCAACTTCGGATACAGAGGATCCAGTTCGATACGTAACCTAGTAAAAAATATATTGTGGGGTGGCGATACCATGAAGTAGAACGCAAGCGTAAAGTGAGAAAAAAGTGGAATGCAGCAAGAAGAAAAGGATTGATGGCATGCATGCATCTCATCATCTGATATATTATACTATCTGAAAAATATACTTACTGTGGACAGGAACCCTCCAAGCTTGTTGCGTTCTTCTCCCTTGCCGCAGCAAAGGTCAAACAAGATTCCGCAAGACATCTTATCTGTTTTTATTAATGTAGTTTCGATTGCTTTTATATGCTACTGTAGAGGTCCTCATCCAATAATGCCTGGTGCTGACTGACAACAAAATAGGGTTCTGAGATGTGCGATAATATATAAAAAATAAAACGACAGAAATGATATGCGGTATTTCTGGATCCTTCGGTTGTGTTCCAGGCAACCCGGAGTACGGGACATTCCCGTTCGTGACTCCATTTGTTACAAAACAGGCGGGTTCGTTGGCGGAAGAGAAGCTGAGATATATGCATGAGCAGAAGGATTATTGCGATGATAAGAATATTATACTGAATACAATATATATCAACTGTTCGTCGTCGTCGCAGTGTTCTCAACTTCGTAGTATAGTGCCGCAGCGAGAAACAACAACTCTCCGCCATCCCTTCTATTGATTGATTACGCCGTTTTATACAAGCGCACGCCAATAACATTACACCATCGTCATCAGCCTCTATCATCGTCATCATCATTAGCATCATGTCATCGTCTGTCACTATGTTTGGAACCGTGGTGCTCACGTTGGTCCTTCCCTGCGCAATAATCTTGTGTTTGTTTTTGCATTGTTATACCAAATACTTGAGACGGCGAGACGGTGAGGAGTTGGAAGCCTTTCGGGTCCAAGCACAAGCACGACGAATGATGCGTCAGCAACAAATTAATGGCAGAAGAGGAGATAACAATGAGAATGATGATGATGCGATAGCAAGCCAAACTACTACCAACAACAAGAAGTTGTTATCAGATGTCTTTTTGTTTCACACAATTCAACAAAACGACAAATCCATTCCTTGGCAGACGCAAAACCAGAATACGAAGAATGCTGATGCGACAGAAATAACATTCTGTACCGATTCCGATGCTCCTGCCTCTTCTAATGATGATGAACAGTACAATAGGAACTCCAGCGCAAACGAAGGTACTATTGCATCAGCATCAGAAGCAGCAGCCGAACCAAATGGAATCAAGCTGAGAGATGAGACCAACGATGACTTGGAAGTGGGCATTATGACACCTAGCTCTTCGAAAAGCCACTGTTCCTCAGTCCACTCTTGTCAATCCTTTAACGCATTCCGGGATAGGGTGTTTGGAGGCACAGCAATGAGTGCTGATAGCAACAACAACAACAACAAAAAGAACAATACGAAAAAGAGAAGCAAAAGAACCAAGAAAAAGATTGAGAAGCACCCGACCTACTTTGCGTCCAATCGATCCAATCCCAGTCGTCGTTCCAGAATACTGCGTGAGGCAGCGGCAGCGGGAGAAGAAGACGATGATGACCTAGACAAAGACTGCTGTTGCATTTGCTTGGAAGGATATGCCACGGGAGAAGTCATTTGCACGCCCAAACAAGAAGATTGCAACCACATTTTTCACAAGGAATGCTTGTTTGAATGGATCCAACATCAGAATCATGACTGCTGTCCACTCTGCCGGGTTGTCCTGATTGAGTGAATATGATGCAGTTTGGGCAATTGGCGAGGGGCGCTACATGATGAAGAAAATATTAGGCAATCCAACTGTGCCTATTACTAGTAGTAGAACCAACCTACATCCCACAAGACATTACTATCATTGACTATTTTGCAGAAGAAGAGAGTCGATGCCACTTTGCCACATGTATAAAATTCCGACAAAAATACCGCCCCCGCTATTTCGCATCCTCAGTTTCCGGTATGCGCGGATTTTTCCAGTATGAATCTTCCAGTATGAATTTTCCGGTGGTAACTTGATGATTGATGATCCCTTTTTATCATTTGGCACACAAGTACATAAAAACAAAAAAGTTTCATACACATCAAGCAATAACAGAGGATGAGATTGCTATTAAAAGCGGAACGCGACCGAGCTCGACGCCAGGCATTGCGACGCCAACGACTACGAGCAGCACTAGAAGAGCTTTCCTCATCATCATCATCATCATCACTGGACAGCGACAACCACAAACATCATCATCGTTATCATCACCACGACGAAGAAACTCTGTTGACTTTTTTTCATGTGCATAAGGTTGACTGCAAAAATAAACAAGAGCATGATAGTGCCAAAGGCGTTTCCGAGGAAGAAGATAGTACTCACCATCGATGAGTAGAACTGAACATCATGAGGGATGTTGTCACGCTCACTACACATGCCACACATCAGGAGAGCATTCGTGGTGGTTCTAGGATTATTTTTTCTCTAACTGACTTCTATAATATGGAAGTGAAGAAGTACACCAAACGGAAACAGCACTGTCGATGTAGAATGATACTTTTAAAAAAAATGCATATCGGTACGACTGAGTTTGAGCATATGATATTGTAGTTCTTGCTGTAGGAAACAAGGTCGTGGATGTGCTGCAATATAAATGGCAGTCGTAATATTCTCTGCAACTGGAATTGCATGACATTTTTTAAAAAGGGAACGGGCCGACTTTCACACCAACGCTCTAGGCATTAAATGACGATACGATTCCAAGGAACCATCTACGTGTACCAGGTACAGGAAGGACTATTTTCCTTCTCCTCATCATCATGCAGCAACCAACCACTATCAACATCATCACGACTTTTCATGTTCATACATTCGACGATGACGATAATGACGATGACGAGGAAGACCCTTGCTGTTGGACGGTTATCAACTACAGTATAGGCGAGGTTATTTGCACACACCCAAAACAAGATGTCGTCGCAACCATGTCTCTGACACCAAGGAATTTTAAGCACCGCAGAATCATTATGACTGCTGTCCACAGTACACGTTCAACGTGTACGTGTAGGTGCACTGTACCCTATAGTAGTACCGGTAGTATACTTGTCCAGATGTTTTTTGAAGAACCTGACCTGCAACAATAAACGCGCAGAAGATGAGGAGACCATTTTGCGACGTCGTTACGACAATGCAAGGGTTCTCGTTGATTGCGGTTCGCTCAGATCGTTTCCGTTCCCCCGTACCTATGAAATTTCAAGTTGCGATGATGAGCCTCATCATACAATAGCAAAACTGTATTCAAACTGGTAAAAGAACACAAAATATTCAGATATTCCTCTTTCTTCAATCTACGGGAGTTAATAACAACAGCAATAATTATGGCAGGATCAGTACTTGGATCGGGAGCCATGATGATGGTGGTCGATCTCTTGTGTGCCATTGCCATGTGCCTCTGTTTGAACTTTTGTTATTTGCGGTACATGAAGAAGCGTCATCGAGAGTCGGAAATGGACTTGGAAGCGCAAATAGCATTAGAAGTGGAGAGTGCCCGAGTCTTGGAGCACCGGCTTGCAGCAATACGAGCACAGGGAAGAGCACAGGGAGGAGCACTGGGCAACAATAATCCCAAACATCATCGTGATTATGACGAAGATACCATGTTGCACTTTTTTCATTTTGAGACCATTGACAATAAGAACAAACATTATGGCAAGTCTAAAACAGTTCCTCGTGTCACGACGGCGACGGCCACGAAATATCAAATGTCATCTTCTTCTCCTTCTGAGGAATCCAACAAACATGAAGATTCCGCCCTCGGCCACCACGGGGCCACTGGTAGCAGTGATGCAAGCAGCAAGACTACTGATGCCATTCATAAAAACGTGGATGAAGAAAAAGTTGGCACGACTTCTAGTGTCAGTATACCTCAGAATGATCAGAATCAGAATACATCTTCAAGTTCCCGTTCCTGCATCCCCGCTGGCTTACCACAAGAACCACCACCACCATCGGCTTCTTCAATCATCCGACCATTGGATATGATTCGACAACGATTTTTTGGTAGTGGCCAAAACAAAGATGACACTCGAAGTAAAGGTCATTCTCAGCACAATACGGAAGAAGGAGTCCTGGAAGAAGCGAACGACGACGACAACGAGGACGAGGACTGCTGCTGCATTTGTTTGGAAGGATACGAACACGGCGAGGTCATTTGCACATCCAAAACGGGGTTTTGCAATCATGTGTTTCATAAAGAATGCCTATTTGAATGGGTCAAGAAGAACCATGACTGCTGCCCACTTTGCCGAACCGTTTTGGTGAAGGAGTGTTGACGACTGGAGTGGCAACGATGACGACGAGCGACGAAACAACAAAAACCATGATACTATGGGGTGCATTTCTCACTTTTTGTCGGCCGGGGTGATCATACGATAGTAATCTATTTGCATCATAAAAATAGAAAGGGCTGCACCTCATGAACATTCACAACGGCGGATGATACTCCACTGCGAGATGCGCACTTCCGAATTATTTTATTGTGAGAGGATATCATGTGAGGTGCTCATACAGTTCGAAACCATTCTTAGGAACAAAAAGCAAATGGCGCATGTTTAACACAATTCGCTATTATTTCATTGCCTATACATCATTTAACGTTGGGTCGTCTTTGCAGAATTTCTTCCGGGTTCAATACATCGGCGGTATGCGCGTGTTCTTGCTGGCGGCCTGGCCGCCAGCTGCACGTGCGATAATAATGATGTGCAAACTAACTGCGGTATTGCAGTTTGTCTTCTAATATCACACTTTAGATACCAATACTGCTCAACTTACAGCCTGCACTCCTTGGATAAAGTATATATTTTCTGTACTCTCCATTCACCCCCTCGAGAGGATACTGTGCCAGCATCATCAGTGCACTTCACATTCTTCTTGGTATTACAAGTTGCATCATCATCTTCTCTGATTGAAGTCTCTTATCCAACACAGCTGCCTGTTATACATTGCATTCATACACATCTTCCTATGGTGCTTTCTTCAACATCCTTGGCCGGCATATTGGGCCTCATCTTTGGTCCTCCTGTGCTTATTTTCTTTGCCGTCATGGCATTGAAAATATACCTACGCATCAGTTCCAATGAAGAAGCTCTGAATGAAGTTCGATCAACGATGCAGGCCAGACGAAGTCGACATATTCTCGGATTGGAAGGCGGCAGTCAGGCCTTGGCGGAAGCAGAGGGCATTATTAATATCGAAGATTTGGCAAATATACAAAGCAGACAGACACGAGAAGAACGGATTCAAGACTGCATCAATGTCTTTACGGTGCCCGACAGTTCCTCAGCCTTCCTTCGGTTTGCCACTTCGGAGAGCGATCAGCAAGTCAGCGAAATGGCATCTTCTCAGTTTTCGTCTTCTCAACTTCATGCTCCTAACGAGCCGCAGTCAAGAACACCACCACCAGCTCCAGCATCCGTGAAGTCGGCACAGACTTCCAAATCCGTCCAATCGCAAGCCACTGGTGGAAGGTCCCAGAAATCCAAAACCAGCCAAAAATCCACAAAATCAAGCCGCAGTCAGAAGTCCCGAGGGATCTCTCCAAGTCCAAGAGTGTCCTCCATGTCGGCCCGCCGATCCATTGATTCGTTTGTGACTCGACTGACGAAACATTCTAGGAGGAGGGGGGATGTTTGCATCATTTGCATGGATGGATACCGGCATGGGGATATCGTTTGCAAGACTCGCTGCAAACATGTCTTTCATAAGGAATGTATCGAAGAATGGATGAAGAAACATAATCGATGTCCTCTATGTCGGAATGATTTGTTTCGTGGCGATGAAAATACCTAAGAAAGAATACTATGGTACTTGAGGATGCTTGGCGCTTTAGCAACATTCTGAAAAAGACATGGCTGTTGGTCGGATCGATCCTGCGTATGATATATAACTCCCGACCCTGCTACCGGCACGACTTATCCATACTTCAAGTCAATTCTGCACAAGCTAAAAGATGGAACATCGTGTTGCTGATAAATTTCATAGGAGGAGGACAGCTAGCTATGCGAATGATGGGGATTGATTCAGTCTCGGTCATTTTTTATTAACTCGATCAGAAGGAAGGTTGGTAACTGAAGCAGCTCATTGATCTATGGATTCATGTGGCTTGGAATGAAGTAAGAATACATAAATGTAGCGTAGGATGCATAAATTTCACAGGATCCTATCGGTGTTGGAATAATCTCAGAGAATATTCAAATCAGCTGGCAGTCGAACAGGTCGTTTGTGACCTGTTGTGTGTTGTTCTTCATTTTCAATTTCGCGTCATACCGTACCAAAAGTAACGGCTGTGCGTGGTGTATTCAAAAACCTGTTGCGACGAATGAGCATGCTCCACGGAGTTCAGCTGTTGTAGTTGGCAACAATAGCGTTATACTGTCCTCTGCTTTTCATCCTCTAACCAACAGACTACCGTACTACCTTCCACAGCAGGTACAGTATGGCTCCCTTCATGGTAGCCTGCTTCCTTTTATTCAGCGTAATCTGCTTGACAGCGGTGAAGGCTCAGAATAATGATATTCAATCACCATCATCATCACCATCATCATCGCCAACATTCCCTGTCCCAACACTCGCTGGGCCGACACCAGGGCCTATTAGCATGATAATACCCAATACTGCTTCTAATTCTTCCAGTCCTATTACTATTGCTCCAAGTTTGTCACCTTCTGTCACCCCAACCTCAAAAAATACTGACAAAGAAGATGATGATGATGATGACGGAAATGGCGATAATAATGGGTATGAGGAGGAGACTGAAGATGGGGCTATCAAATTTTTGCGGTTCATCTTTTCGTCCATTGGCGTCATTTTTGTGTTGATTTCCATATTGATTGCCATTCGAAATCGAATTCAGGGGCGTGATTTGCGAGAAGCTCGACGACGCATGGCCGAGCGTCGTCGACGAAGACGACAGCGGAGGAATAATCCTGGCTCTGCTCCCCCTATTCCTCCTCAGCCTCCGACCGAAGAAGATGAACAAGCCAGATATGAGAAAATTGTGTCTACATTTTACTTTCAAACTGTCCTAAAAGACAAGAGCAACATTACCGCTGACAGTTTTATGGAAGAAGGGGATCAAGAAGACGAAGTGGAAGAAGAGAAAGATGCCTTTGTTTTGGCGGAATTCTTTCCTTGGAGAAAGACGGCGTCGAAGGATGAATGTTGCATCTGCCTCGAGTGCTACGTGCCGGGGGAGTCCATTTGCGTTGCCATTTCCGAGGAATGCGATCATGTCTTTCACGAAGAGTGCATTGTCGAATGGCTCAAGACACACAATGAATGTCCATTGTGTCGTGTCAAGTTGTTATCGGCAGAGGTATCGGACAACGAATGAATGAAATAGTTATTTCCCTTCTTGCATACATTTCTATACCCGAATGAACGTACCAGCACACTTCGCACCATGAGATGCATTGATTTCAATGTTCGGTCAGGTGAGGGTGGTCCATGTCGTTGCTAGCACCCCAGGAGCAAGAGGAAATGTTGACGACCCACTGCTGTTCCTTCTTAAAGTGCCGAGTCTACAAAAATTCAGCATCATGAGTACATTTGGATCCGCTGATCATTCATGTGGTATCATGCCGAATGATTATGACCCAGACTGCAATCATTGGAAACAGATTGAAAACAAAAAGTAGATAGAATCGATTGAATTGCTCTTCGATAAACTAGGTACTACAGTACTGGGATTTATGGAATCTTGTTGTCTTTTTCGATAGCAATTCTGTTTACAGCTACCGACCTTATGATATGGAATGCTTCAAAAAGAGAGAAAAAGTGTGAGAATATCGCGTGTTTCGCACAAGTACCGCGACCAAAAGCCTCCCCAAAAACGGTTTTGAAAAGTATTCCATTGATGTCCACTAAGTAGATGGTCGTGGGTTTTCAAAGGGCCGGAGGCAACAAAGTGCTTTCGAATTGTTTAATTAAAACCACGCCACCAACACTTGACATTGGTTTCCGGCGCCATTCATACAAAACTTCCGAATAATTTTGGATAGGTTATAGTTAGTGTGCATGTACAGTATATAGCTTCAATCATCTCATCATTGCTTTCAATCATACCGGTACCGGTATATACAAGTAATAATAAACAAAATGCCTGCCTTGCGATTATGTGGCCGTAAAACCATGATTGCTGGTGATGAATTGAGAATATACTCTCTGCTGATAGGCTTTGGAAGGTTCATTCAGTCGGGACTTGCAATCGGACTTACCTTTTTGACAATAAAACAACAAGTCTACGATGTGGAACTGAGGCCTATGCTCGAAGGATGTGACTTTTCGCCAGACTTTGAAATGTTTGCACAAAACCAACGACTCTTTGTGGTGGGATACGTCACCATTGCACTAGCAATGCCGTTAGTCAGCCTCTCGACGCTACTGCCCATGCACATATTATCCGGAAGAGGGACCCCAACAGACACGGCACCACGGCGACTGATGCCAATGTTGTGCCACATCAGTATTTCTCTGGAAAGCTGTTTGCGAGTGGCAGCCTTGACATTTGGAATATTTGCCATTTCCCTTGCCTATGAATTCTGTGGCTGTACGTTAACAGAAGAAGAGTTTGCTACAGATTGGAATGATGCATGTTCTCTGCAAAAGACCAACCGTGTCATTTTGATCATTTCGATTGTCTTTCATGGGATTGATGCAACATTATCATTGTTTACCCTAATCTATTTGATTTGTTGTCGTGTGGTGAATTTCGGAGTGAATTCAGATTCCTGCTGGAACACCTTTTTCAATGTGTGCATGGCATGTTCCTCAGCCTTGACCTGTTGTTTCTTTGGAGGTACCAAGGCCATTGGAGGCGACTTTACGGATATCAGTATATTGCTGGCCAACTTTTTCAATGATGATGACATTTTGGATATCACGCCCTCGGATGTTGCCGCTGGTTTGATCATGGTTCGTAGAGAAAACAAGGTCGAAGTCATTAGGAGAAGGTCCGACCTTAATTTTTCCAGGCGACAGCTCCGTCTCAGTGCCATGTCCTCTCCCGACAGCAACCGATCCTTGCCAACAGATCGAGCATCCATCTCCTCGGTTCCTAGTTTTAGAACCTTGCAAACCACGGACAGAAGATCCATAATGTCAACTTCCAATCGATCTGTGACTGGGGATAGTACCCCTTCTGTCGTAACCCCTGGTGACAAACACCACATTTCATCTCTCACATCTGCGGGTAACAATAACAGGCGCATGTCGATGGGTATTCGAGAGGTTTTAATGGAAGATTCCAATCCGGATCGCCATGCTGTAGCAGAAGGTGCATGGTTCTACAAATATGCAGCCGCTTCTTATGGATGGGTCGCCGTCATGCTCCTCAAGCCCGTGTCTGGAACTTTGAAAATGATCTATTATGTATTCCGGTATACCACATTTTGTCGGAATTCGGAAAGCAAAAAGTATGTCAATGATATTTGGCTGCAGTTGCGACGATTGGCGATTCGAACCGTTCTGGACCATTTGTACGAACAGGACGTTGTCTATGCCACTTTTGAGCATTCGGTAACGAAGACGCCCTACTTTATTGCCATGGACCATGCTTGGAAAACAGTGGTGTTGTCGATTAGAGGTACCATGTCGTTGGAGTCCCTATTGGCAGATATTTCGCTGACTCCCGAGAGTTTGGAACAAGTGGGAAAGGAATGTGGATTTGATGGGAGTGACCACTACACTCATCGGGGCATGTTGGCTTGTGCCAAATGGATTTATGCGGATTTGAAGGAGCATGGCTTTTTGGATGAACTTGTTGGTCCTTCAGGATCACACAAGGAATACAGTCTGCGGATAGTTGGTCACTCTCTTGGTGCTGGAGTAGCATCCATTTTATCTTTGATGCTCCGCTCCGAGTATCCAAACCTGCGATGTCTCGCGTTTGGTGCTCCAGGATGTGTATTTGACGCTCAGCTTGCGGAAGAGTCTTCCACGTGGACGACTTCCTATGTAGTCGACTGCGATTTTGTTTCCCGATTATCCAAAGAGTCGGTAGAAGCATTGAGGAATGATGTCTTGGAAATGATTGCAAGAATCAAGGTTCCCAAGCACAGGGTCTTTGAATTGCGGCGGCTGAAGAAAGCAAAACATAACGAAGAAACCTTATCCAAATCCAATGACGATATTCTCTTTGGTGCACACGAAGTGGAGACATCTAATTTTCGAAAGCAGCTGGAAGAATTTTATGCCTTTCAGCAATCTCTAAAGGAAATGGATGCCGCGAATTATATTCCGTTGTATATTCCGGGCAAAATACTGCACTTGCACGGAGTAGGAAAGGAGACTGGCAACGAGAATCTATCACCGCGAGAAGAATTTGCCGCCACCAATGGAGGGATGATTTCTTCTGACTCGAATGATGGCAGGTATACAGCACGGTGGGCCAAACGAAAGGACTTTGAAAGGATTGTGCTTTCCTCTCATCTGCTCTGGGACCATCATCCGGGCTTTGGGCTCGACAGCTTTCGAGAGGTGGCGACACGGTTTGGATTAGAGGAGCCCTTCTTTGTTGAGAGACTAGAGATTGACGAAGAAACAGGTTTCGAAGAAGTAACAGATTTCGACGAAGAGGACGACGACGACGACGATGATGATTTCTAAGCCTCCTGGTAGTAGTTTTGAACAATTTTTAAATAAAAACATGCAGTACTGATATTAATAGAACAACGTCTTCTTTTTTGCACATTTTCTTGTTCGTTATCATCCAGGTCATGGTGTTCTTAGAACAACATTTTTTTAATTATGTATTCCTCCAGTACCCTGTACCAGTACACGTACACGTACGTGTACGTAGAAGACATTCCAAAAAGTGAACCTCTTGAGTTTTTACACACGCGCACGGGCTATATCTCATCCTTTTTCCATATAAATTTCAGCTGCCGCGTTGTATTTGATCCATAAAATATCGGCTGCAATACGATTTGAATAAAATCCCATTTCTACATTTTGACACAATAAGAACAATATAGACCTCGCTTCGACCTTTCACAATCTAGGACTATTGTTTCATCAACAAAATGAATCCATCGATGATCCTAATCGGCACTCTCCTCCTCCTTATTGCATCAGAAGGAGGTGCTCAAGACCCTCTTGTTCCCTCAGGAGCCTCAACAGGTGTACCAACAGGTGCACCAACAATAATCGAGAACAATAACAACCCAAGCAATAACATGATGCCTACTATGAGCTCGCAGCCATCTCCTGACATTCGTGTACCAACTCTTGCACCAACCAGACCGCCCTCCTACACAATCAGAACCACAAGCCCGACTCGTCCCTTTCCGACTAGTTCAGACAGTAGTGGTTGCTATGGTAACTATCTTGATTGGAGGTATACCGTTTCATACACTTTTGATGGTGCGCAGTACTTTCAAGACGTTGTTTGTGACGACAGTCGAGTCGAATGTTGGCATATAGGAAATTATGGATCAGCACGGGATAAATGTTGCAAATGCAAACCCGAGTGTGAAGGGCAGTGCGACAACCCAGTTTTCAACGATGATTTCTATTATCGCAATGGAGAACCCTATGAGTCGGATGGTTACTATGATGACGATGAAAATCATGGTGGTCTAGAAATATTAGAGTTGTTCCTTGCACTTGTTGGTGCATTGTTTTGCTGTGGGCTGCTGACATCCGCGCTTAAAAAGAACAATGAAATTCAAGCTACACGACGTACCATGGCAGCAAGGAGACGGCAGCAACAACAGCAACAAGCAAGCAACGGGTTGTCGGAGGCAGAGAAGAACCACGCACGGTACGAGCTTTTTGTGACCAAGTTTTATTTTCAAACTGTTCTACCAGATAAGTCCAATATTACTGTGGCGAGTATGAGGAACAACAGCATGAATGGCATAGACAAGGATGAAGAACGTTCTGCAGGCGCAGATGATGAGTCCGGCAAAACTGAAAGTGATAATGATCACGATGATCCATCATTGGAAAATAAAATTGAGACGGAGACAAGTGCCAGTGAGCAGACCCTTTCCCAACGTTTATCAAGTTGGAGAAAACCATCCGGAAAGGACGAATGTTGCATATGTTTGGAGTGTTATGCTGTAGGCGAGACAATCTGTGCTCCCATCACAACCCAATGCGATCATGTCTTTCACGAAGGATGCATAAATGAGTGGCTGAAGACGAATGACAAGTGCCCTTTGTGTCGAGTAGAACTACTGAACGATTGAAATTAATACCACAAGAAGAGGCCCCGAGGGAGATGTTTTAGTGTCATGTGAAGAGCGAGGAAGTCGAAGCCTCTACCGCTATTTTTGGCAGTTTTGAATCGTTATAGTAGGGCCTACATATATACACTACCTACCAGTTTGATTTCTCGTCTACGGTTGTGTCAAGTTTGTGATATGTGACTTGTGTCATGTGCAGTGTGCCCATATCATGGACAGCACTCGAACGAATGGTGATACCTACGTATGGTACAAGTACATCGAATGAATCGAATCTCTTGATTTGACACTATAATATACATATACGCACGCATAATACGAGCGATCTCATCGCGTTATTATCGTAATATAACTGCCGCCTTTGTATTCATCGGTCACGATACGATGATCAGAATAATACCACGCATCAAATGTTCCTGATATATTCGGTGTTCAACCTCTCTGCTTTCGTCCACCACACCATCACTTCAAGAAAAAGATGAAGAATGGATTTACGATCCTTATCAGCAGTCTCCTTCCTGCATCAGTATCAGTTGCGCAAGAGTCATCACCTGTCCTCTTGGAAGCCCCAACAAGTGGACCACCAATTATAATAGCAATAGATATTGTTCCGCCGACGAGGACGAGCGACAACACCAACACCAACAATGACGACAATAATAAGGACGACCCAAGCAACAAGCCATTTCCTGCCATCTCTTGCACCAACCAACGCAAGCAGAACCACAAGTCCAACTCCAAGAATTCCGATCTACTATAATAATAATAATAATTGCACTGCTGGTAACAACAATGATGATTGGAGGTATCCCTTTGCAACATTTGGGTGTGATGACAACCGAGTCAAGTGTTGGCAATCTGGGGCTTTTGGGTCCAGCAAAGGAAAACTGCTGCAAATGCAAACCGGAGTGTCAGGGGCAGCGTAACGACGAAATACCGCCTTCCTATCGTTTTGACAATGAGGATGATGATTTCGACGATGATGACGGTGCAGGTGGTCTAGACGTCCTACCGGTGTTCATTGCAATATTTGGACTATTGTGTTGTTGTGCTTTGATTGCACATGCGCAACAAAAGAATAATGGAAATGGAGCAATGCGAGGACGTACTAGTACCATACAGAAGCAAGAACAAGAAGAAGGCAGCGACAACCACGACAAGATAACATTGGTAGAGGGTTGTCGGAGGAAGAAAAGAACCACGCTCGCTATGAGCTTTTTCTGACCAGATTCCATTTTCAAACTGTTCTTCCAGATAAGTCCAATATTACTGTGGCGAGTCTGAAAAACAACAGAAGTGTGAAGAATAATAGTGTGAAGAACGTCCCGCAGATGATGAGTCCGGCAAAATTGAAAGTGATAATAATGACAATGATCCATCATTGGAAACTAAAACTGAAACGGAAACAATTCCCAGCGAACAGACTCTGTCCCAGCGCCTAGCAAGCTGGAGAAAACCATCCGCACCAAAGGACGAGTGTTGCATATGTTTGGAGTGTTATGCTGTCGGAGAGACGATCTGTGCTCCAATCACAACCCAATGCGATCATGTCTTTCACGAAGGATGCATAAATGAGTGGCTGAAGACGAATGACAAGCGCCCTTTTATGCAGAGTAGAACTGTGACTACTCAAAGAGGATATCCGGGCTACGATGCAACGACTGTGACTGTTTAGATCGAACGAGTCAGTCCATCCGATCGGAACAGTCGATGATGGAAAGAATTCTGAATGTGTACGTGGCGGGAGTACCAGTACCACAGTGTGGTACTGGTTCTGCGAGTTCGGAGACCATATGCGTCGCTTCTTTCCAGCTCATGATAGATCGTAGCTGTGCGGTCTTGTTCCTCTTTGGACAACAGCTATAGTATAGTGCTACCGCCACACACCTTTATCAAAGCATCATCTGTAACTATTACGCAACAAATGCAGTTGGTCTCTCTCCCATTCTCTTGAGCGGCTTTCAGAAATCCCCGCAACTATGACCCTTATTTTCCCTCATCCTGTGAGAGTTTTCTTCAGTAGTTTCTTCGCCCTCTCTGTGATTGGTTTGGCATGTGCGTCAGACGAACCTTCCTTTGCCCCCATGATGAATCTTACTTCCGACTCTCTCAGTCCATCCGCATCACCATCAATTGCAATCACGGCGGCATTGGATCCAGATTTCTGTGCCAACACTCCTGAATTTTCTTTGACCGAATGGAATCGATTTGAAGGGGAATGGCATTTGCAAACCATGGGATGTGATGACATTCTTGTAGACTGTTACGAATTTGGAAATCTGGGTCAAGTGAAGGACCACTGCTGCAAATGTCGTGACAGCTGTGTGGATCAATGCAACGAAGCTGTATTTACAGAGCCAATACGGCGAGATGATTCTTCGATTGATGGATATGGTGGATTTTTTTCATTGTTTGTTCCAGTTGCAATTCTTGTGGGATTATGTGTCGTCTTGGGATTATATCTACTTCGGCGAAAGGAGCGTCTGATTGCGGAGGCAAACCTAGCAACAAGGCGGCAGCATCAGCTAGAAGGACGGGGGGCCAATGGTCTCACCGCAGAAGAGAATGCTAACCTCAGATTCGAACAGTTTGTAACTCGATTCCATTTCCAAATCGTATTGCCAGACAAATCCAATATTAGCGCCGAAACTATACGTCAGGCGTCTCGTACGAAAAAAGACGAAGAGACTCCAACTGAAAAGTGTAGTTCGAATAGTTTCGACGAGGATGGAGAATCATCAGCGGATGTTGTAAAGGAAATCCCAACCCGGAATATAATATCGGAACAACTGGCAAGCTGGACGAAACCAGCGGCAAAGGATGAATGTTGTATATGTTTAGAGTGCTATACTAAAGGAGAAACCATTTGTGCTCCAGCCACAAAGCGCTGCGATCATGTCTTTCATGAATCTTGTATAAAAGAATGGCTTCGAGAGCAAGATCAATGCCCTTTATGTCGTGTGGATCTACTAAAAGATTAAACGTGCAATAAAATGAATCAATCCCCTACCAATAGTGCAAGGAGTACCTATGTGTATCCACTTGCATTTTCACCTTTGTCATTTACCAGGTACGGTTAGGTGAAAGGCCTTGCAGTTTTCGCGGGTGAAAAATAGTATGCATAAAAACTGTTGTTGGTTACCCGCACAAAGTTTCTGACACGATTTGGTTGCACTTGTCGCGAAAATACGCCCGCGTCATCGTGCCAGTAGTACGTGGGATATGTTCAAAAGCTATGATATATGACAGAAATCAATTGAAACCGAAATTGCGAAGCCAAAGAATTATCTCCAACGCTTTCTCAGCTTACATCATCATAGCATTGTTGTTTCATTTGGAAGAAAGAAATGAATCAATGATGAATCTAATGAAATCTCTGTCTCTCTTGCTGATCTGCCTCATCACCGTTGCCCATGGACAAGACGGTAGCTCTCAGCAGCCAAGCCCTTCTCCAACCATCATGATAAGTCCTCCCACGGCCAACGACCCTCCCATTCTCACTATTCCTACATCTGCGCCACAGTCAGCCACAAACCTCACGCTTGCCCCAGAAGACCCACAAGACGAATATTCTACCTGCACCAATGATCCAGATTGGTCCTTTTCCCACCAATATGTTGCTGGTTGGGCAAAAGTGGTTGAAATCCGTGGATGTGACGACGACAGTGTCAAGTGTTGTCACGAGGGAAACTTGGGGTACGCCAAGGATCACTGCTGCAAATGCAAAGCAGCCGACTATGAATGCTCTGGAAATCCCGATGACGATGGATTCCCGATTGCCTTGCAAGTGTTGACCTCTGTCAGCTTTGTATTTTTAACATTGTTTTCCTTCAAGATGGTCCGAGAGAGCGAACTCCGCCACATTCGGCAAACCATGGCTGCTAGACGACAACAGCAACGGGAAAGCAACCATACCGCATTGACGCTAGAGGAAATGAATATTGCCCGATACGAGCTCTTTACATCGAAATTCTTTTTTCAGGAAGTTATGCCTGATAAATCCAACATTACTGTCGATGGACTGAGAAGATCGTCTATGAAGCTAGGCGATGACAATCTCTGCGATGAAGAAAATATCAAAACGGAGGTGGTCGATGGCGACGATTCGGTAGTACCTGAAAACTCAGGCCCAGGAATTATCATCAATGACCAAACTTTGTCAGGGATGCTATCCAGTTGGAGAAAGCCAGCAGCCAAGGAAGAATGCTGCATTTGCTTGGAATGCTACACTATTGGAGAAGTTATTTGTGCCCCAATGAAAACAGAATGCATTCATGTATTCCATAAGGGATGCATGCATGAATGGGTGAGAAGGGGTAACGACAAGTGTCCGTTGTGCCGGGTTGAAATTTTGAAGGATTAGCTTTGCTAGAGGATTTTTGCAATAAAGAAGATAGATCCCCCCATTATATAGATTAATGATCACTTTGTTACATATCATTTCTTCAGCTTCATACAGGAGTGCTGTAGGATATCTAAACAAATAGTTGGGATACAGATTGACTTGAATTGAAATGCCACAAGGCTGACAACTGAATCACGCACGATTGAGTCACGGAAAGAAACTCGAACCATCTATTGAAAAAGTGACTCCGCGACTTTGTGTAGGTACTCCTTCGGCATTCATATTGTATACTAGTGCAGCGATATCGTAGACAGTATGGATGAATAAAGCCGTATATTCTTTGAGTCGTTTGTTCATATACTTAGTTCCTTACCTTAGACTTACTAGTTCGTCTTCGTCGACTAATCTGTCAGTGAGTGTTGATACTGCCCTCTACCTTTTGAGGTCGCGTCGTTGTGTGTAACCTTCTCCTGAATGCGTGTTTTAATATTTCGCACATGGAAGACACGCTAGTGATACAATCTAATCCTTTAATAGTTCTACTCGGCACAATGGGCACTTATCATTCGTCTTCAGCCACTCATTTATACAGCCTTCGTGAAATACATGGTTGCATTCCGTTGTGATTGGAGCACAGATCGTCTCGCCTACAGTATAACACTCCAAACATATGCAACATTCGTCCCTTTTGGAGGGTTTTCGCCAACTTGCTAAACGCTTCGACAGCGAACCTTGTTTTCCATCAAATACAGACACATCATCGTCACTGCTTTTGTTCGCAGCAGATGAAGGACACTGCTCGTCGTTGGGCTTGACTGCCGAGCTCCTTAAATTATTTGCAGTAACGTTGGATTTATCCGACAAGACAGTTTGGAAATAAAACTTTGTGACAAATTGCTCATATCGGGCATGATTTTGTTCTTCTTCTGTTAACCCTTGACTGATTGCTGAATTGTTTTCACGCTGTTGTTGCCGCCTCCTTATCATCGTTTGTTGAGCGGCATATCGAGGTCGTTGTCTTCGTTCGTTATAACAGTAGCCACAAAGTGCGCATACTATTATGCCACCAAAGATGCCGAAAACCACAGTTTTGGTGGTGGGACGGCTTTCTTTTTCAATATTTTTGCTTCCACTATCGCATTGAAAGAGATCTTTCCAAGCATTAGCCCAACTACACACGACAGACTCATCGATCGCTGCATTGGCAAACATCATCGCCGCGTGTTTGACTTTCGAGACATCCCATCGTGACAAGTCTTGGTTGAACGATGTTGCATCACTGAACATATGACTCATATCAGTCACAGAAGAAACATTCCACGACGACAAGTCTTGATTGAATGAGTATGAGCGTGAGAACATTTCATTCATTTGAGTGACAAAAGAAACGTCCCATGAAAATAAGTCTTGATTGAATGATGCTGCGGTTTGAAACATCCCAGTCATATTAGTGACAGAAGAAACATCCCATGATGACAAGTCTTGATTGAAAGAGTGTGCATCCGAGAACATCTGACTCATGTCAGTCACAGAAGATACATCCCACGACGACAAGGCTTGATTGAAGGATCGTGCGTAATAAAACATACGACTCATGTCAGTCACAGAAGAAACATCCCATGATGACAAGTCTGCTTGATTGAAGGATTTGGCTCGCGCGAACATGTTGCTCATTGACGCGACCGAGGAAACGTCCCACGACGACAAGGCTTGATTGAAGGATAGTGCGTCATAAAAGATATGACTCATGTCAGTCACAGAAGAAACATCCCACGATGACAAGTCCTGATTAAAAGAGAATGCAGCACGGAACATATGGCTCATGTTAGTAACAGAAGAGACTTCCCATGATGCCAAGTCTTGGTTGAATGATCTTGCATAATCGAACATTGAATCCATGTCTACTACAGAAGAAACATCCCATGACGACAAATCTTGATTGAACAATGCTGCACCTGCAAACATATGACTCATGTCAGTCACAGAAGAAACATCCCATGACGACAAATCTCGGTCAAAGGAATACGCTGTGCCGAACATTGCTCTCATATTAGTCACAGACGAAACATCCCACGACGACAAGTCTTGGCTGAATGCTCTTGTATCATAGAACATTGAACCCATGTTTGTTACAGAAGAAACATCCCATTTTGACAAGTCTTGACTGAAGCCTCCTATGTGTGAGAACATTGACTCCATGCCTGTCACAGATGAAACATTCCACAAAGACAAGTCTTGATTGAATGATCTTGCGCCATGAAACATCTCAGTCATATTAGTCACAGAAGAAACGTCCCAGGGTGAAATGTCATCATTGAAGGATGCTCCGTAGAATAACTTATCCATTTTAGTGACGTTTGAAACACACCAGGATCCGATGGGCCAACCATATTTTTGCACAACAGTGGTATTGCAGTTACTGTAATCAGAGCAGCCGTCATTGATAAAGTGATTGACAGCGCTTCGCAGCTCATCTCTGCTATCAAAACAAAGACAGCCATTGTCATTGACGAATTGTGTCGTGTTTCTTATTATTTGCTGCGCCCAACTATTGTTGTTATACGAACAGCTAAATGAATTTGAAGATGCTGCATTTGCAACTGTGATCAGTAAATACCAACAGATTGTATTCAACATAAGCGGGGGAAGATGGCCCATCGTTTTGATTTGGTTTCGTTGAACATATATTCAATAGGTGCATGTTGATGAAATTCTCCACCAGTAAACGCGGTCTGTCAGAGAATCATATTTTGATCTGTTTTGATTCACACTGTATTTTAAAATATATATGTGCTGTGCTGTAGGACGCGAGGAGGCCAGAAATTCAAAAGTGATCAATTTGAGTCACACTCTGTTTTTCAGCTGTCAGATGTATACCGGTAGGTACATCGCGCCAGCAATAATTTTGGAGTGTGATGAAGAACACATATGTTCACGACGATGAACGTTATAATAATCTCTTCACCCATCCTCTTATTTCTATTGACCATATCAGGATCCAATGCCCAAGACCCCATTCTTGAATTATCGATACCACCAAGCTCAGTCCCTACATCCTCGGTGGCAACGAGTACTACAATAAGGCCAAGCGTCAGTCAGATTCCCACGATAGCAGCAGAAGCAGCCCCTACCACAAGCTTGGAACCAACACTTACAAACAAGCCTTCGGTTTCTACTTCATCGCCGACATGGGAGGTGTGCGGAAATACGCAAGGCTGGTATACTGAAGATCAGATCTATTACAATTGCAGATGGAATATTGTGAAGCTTTCCTGCGACGACGATCGAGTCGAGTGCTGGTATCTTGGACCCTTGGGATACGCAGCGCAAAACTGCTGCAGGTGTAAATTTGAATGTGAGGGGCAATGCAATGATCCGATTCATGTCGAGGATCCGTCATCTAATGATGATCAGTTTTCCTGCCTCCATGGTGGAAGCGGAAGCGGGTACAACAATGGTGGGTACTACGACTATACTGACGACGATTTGTTCTCTACCGACGGCTCGGATACTGCTATCATAGCGATACTTCTCAGTCTCTTAGGCTTGGCATGTTGTGCTCGCTTGTTTTATAACAACCAAGGTCAGCGTCCTGCTCGACGTGAAGTTCAGCAGACCATGACAGCTAGGCGACAACAATACCGTGCAAACAATACAAGCATTCAAGGGTTGACTGAGGAAGAACAAAATCATGCCCGATATGAGCAATTTGTTACCAGCTTTTATTTCCAAACTGTCTTGTCGGATAAATCCAACATCACTGCAGATAGTTTGAGAAATTCAGCGTTCAGCACCACTCCCAAGCCCAACGAGGACGAGGGGCATCATTCATCTCCTGCCGCAAACGATCACGACGATGATGACGATGATGCGTCCAAAGTTGATGGAACACAAGGCCGGTTGTCTCGGCGTCTATCGAGCTGGAGGAACCCCTCCGCAAGGGACGAATGCTGCATATGCCTGGAGTGTTATGCTGCAGGCGAGACGATCTGTGCTCCAATCACAACGGAATGCAACCATGTATTTCACGAAGGGTGCATAAATGAGTGGCTAACGAAGAATGATAAGTGCCCTTTGTGCCGAGTAGAACTACTAAAGGATTAGACTGTCTAATACGACCTACTGTACTACTATAGACTGTATGTAAATAGGTACTATAAATTCGATTATTTGCATCTGATACCCTCGTGACTGACTCAATCGTGCGGGACTTTCCCGACTGTCATTTTCAAATAAAGTCGGTGTCATGCACCGCACCAGATGGAAAAATAAGAATACGAAGAATAATATATATGATGTTGCGGATATGCCATAAAACAATTACATTATAATAAGAAAGAACCCGAAGACTCATCTTATTATGCGTGGCACATCGCCTTTTGAATCAAGATAATGGCTCATCTTTCCTCCCTTGTTGTGTTGACTACAATATGTTGGTCCTTACTGATGATGACTGTTTCAACCGCGTCATCGTCTTCCAGCACATTTAGCTGTTCGTATAACAACAACAATGGTTATTATTGGGCGCAGCAAATAAGAAACACGACACAATTCGTCAACGACAATGGCTGTCTTTGTTTTGACAGCAGCGACGAGCTGCGAAGTGCTGTCAATCAGTTTATCGATGAGGGCTGTTCTGATTACAACCACTGCAATACCACCGTTGTACAAAAGTATGGTTGGCCCATGGGATCATGGTGTGTTTCTTCCATAACGGAGATGAATTATTTGTTTACTGGATCATCCTCCTTTAATGATAACATTTCATCCTGGGATGTTTCTTCTGTCGTGGACATGACTGGGATGTTTTATGGCGCAGCATCATTCAATCAAGACTTGTCTTTGTGGGATGTTTCTTCTGTCGTGGACATGAGCAACATGTTCGTGCGAGCCTCTTCCTTCAATCAAGCAGACTTGTCGTCATGGGATGTTTCGGCGGTCACTGATATGACGGCCATGTTCTACGGTGCATATTCATTCAACCAAGACTTGTCATCATGGAATGTTTCTTCTGTGACTGCAATGAAGTCAATGTTCCGGGATGCACACTCTTTCAATCAAGACTTGTCATCCTGGGATGTTTCTTCAGTGACTAATATGAGTCATATGTTCTTTTATGCAACATCATTCAATCAAGACTTGTCATCCTGGGATGTCTCGAAAGTCACAGACGCGAGGATGATGTTCTTCAATGCAGCGATGGAGGAGCCGGCCGTATTATGTGGTTGGAGTGATGCTTGGAAAGGGCTCTTGAATTGCAATGGAAGCGCAAGCTCAAATTCCAATGCCCCTGACCTGGTGCCAGGTCTCGGCATTTTTGGTGGCATTATAATATGCGCCCTCGTGGCGAAGTACTATGATATGCATCGAAGTAGTCAACGTAGTGTCTCTGCATATGAAGATCAAGAACAAGCTCGCTCTCGACATGAAATTCAACAGACCATGACAGCGAGGCGTCGGCAACAGCGTGAAAACAACACCGGCCGTCAACAAGGGCTGACAGACGAGGAACGAAATCATGCCCGCTATGAGCAGTTTGTCGCCAGCTTTTACTTCCACACTGTCTTGTCGGAAAAATCCAACATCACTGCAAATAATCTAAGGCGTTTGGCATCCAGCAAGCCTGACGAAGAGAATCCATCTCCTGCTGCAAACGATCATGACGGTAATGCTGATGCGTCCGTAGTTGATGAAAAGCAAAGTTCTAGTTGGAGGAGACCATCGAGTTGGAGGAGACCATATAGTTGGAGGAAACCCTCATCCGCAAATAAGGAAGAATGCTGCATATGTTTGGAGAGTTATGCTGTAGGCGAGACGATATGTGCTCCAATCGCAACGGAATGCAATCATGTTTTTCACAAAGGATGCATAAATGAATGGCTGAAGTATAATGACAAATGCCCTTTGTGCAGAGTAGAACTACTAAAGGATTAGAAATTTATATACTATATACTTCTGGTTATTTGCTGCTCTTTCACTTGGTCCTTCTTGAAAGTGTAAATTCTGTCGGTGACTGTTTTCTGATTACCAACTGTCGAGGAAAGGAATTGGCTGTATGATAATATTACTTCATTCTAGTGAAGCACCGAAGATTGTTAGTACACCTGCAGTTGGGCGCATGAGTTCTGCTACATATATACCGGTAGTATGATTGATTCGTATCCATAGTGTACCCATAGTTCTTTTATTTTCCTGTTCCAAATTTCCCTTCGTGACTCAATCGTGCGTGATTCCCTTCAGTCATTTTCAAAAAGAGAAAAGAAACATTATATTATCTGAAACGACGCGATACGACCGTCAAAAGTTCCGCTCTGCAACTGCATGTCCATGATGATGAATAAACCTATGGTCATCGTGCTCTTATTGATATTAACTCTTTCAGCATGTAAGGCTCAATCTACTGCACCAAGCTCTGTTCCTACGTCGGTAACAACAAGAAGTTCCAGTCCGAGCCTCCTTGCTGGCCTGACCCGGAATCCTGCTACGGCAGCACCTGCCATTCCTTCCCCTACTGCGTCGTCACCACCACCATACAGTGCTCCCATCTTTGGATTGCCAACAACCGATACTTGCGCGAATAACCCAGAATGGCGATACGAATACTGGGATTACTTTGGTTGCACCCCAGTCTTACGAAACCTGACCTGTGACCACTCCATCGTCGACTGCTTGGATTATGGAAATCTTGGGGCTGCCAATGATCACTGTTGCAAATGCAATCCATTGTGCTTCTTTCAGTGTAATGACTCTATTAGTATCCCACCGTCATTTGATAATGACTGTTATACTACTGGGGGCTACACCTACAGCGACGATTTCTACGGCGATGACGATGATGGACCAGACACCATTGTGCTGGTGGTCGCAGCTTTTATTTTTGTATGCTGCGGACTTGCTCTCTGTCAAAAGAACAATCGGAACCAGCAAAACTCTCGACGTGACGCTACTCAACAAACCATGGCCGCAAGACGACGACAGCAGCGTGCAAACAACACAAGTAGTCAAGGGTTGACTGAGGAAGAACGAAATCATTCCCGTTATGAAGTCTTTCTTACAAAGTTCTATTTTCAGACGGTGCTGCCGGACAAGTCCAACATCACTGCGAATAGCTTGAGAAGTTCAGCATCCAAGCCTATAATTGACGAAGAACATCCAAGTGAGGCTCATCATCACAACAAGGATGATGATGACGCCTCTGCGGTATTCAATAGCAGCAGGCCAACCAGCCATTCTTCTCTATCCCAACGGCTATCCAGTTGGAGAAGACCATCGTCGAAGGACGAATGCTGCATATGCCTGGAGTGCTATGTAGTCGGAGAGACCATTTGTGCTTCGAAAACGAACGAATGCAATCATGTGTTTCATGAAGCATGCATCAATCAGTGGCTGAAGAATAATGACAAGTGCCCGTTGTGTCGTGTGGAACTACTAAACGATTAGACGTTTATATGTTATATAAAACTATTGGCACACTACCAGAGCGTATTACTCAGAATAAAACATCTGAAGATGCAAGCTTTTTTGGTCGTTTGAGTCAAAACGTGAATTCTGACGAACGCTTCGCGCATTTCGATAGTGTTCTGCAGATGCTCATCATCGTACAGATAAAATGTATCTCTATATAATTCTACTGTCGTCCAACTGAAATATATAAAACAGCATCGCATCTTCAACTAATGTACTTGTGTGCAACTTGATGTCAGGTCCTCTGCACTTCAGCAGCGTGGAATCAATTGGATGTTGCTGTCGACAGTGATGAGGGCTGCTTTTTCAATACACGTCGCCCTGCTCCTCCTCATCATCATGTTCATTGCATCGTCAGTGCCACGTGGCCATGCACAGGTAATCATTGCAAAGGACAATGATGATGGCACAAGTACCCAGACATCACAGCTGCCTCCGTCGGATATCATCAGTTCCCAGTCAAGTCATGAGCCTAGTGCACGCCCTTCGCCACCTCTTGGCGATGATTTCGGTCCCACAGGAATAGCCTCATCATCTGAATCACCATCGTCCATAAGAATGCCTCCTTCTCCAACTACAAGTGAGACAGAAGGTTTAGCACCAAGCGATATTATGGAATCTACTTGCCAGAATACGCCAGGATTCCTGGTCAAGAGTTGGATCTGGGAGGAACCTAGTGTTTTTTGCGACAACTATCGTCTATTCTGTTATGACCAAGGAAATCTTGGTCTGGCCAAAGATCACTGTTGTATATGCAAGGGACCAGAATGCAAACCCTTTTGTAATGATACAGATTTTGCGAATGGGAAAAATACGATGTCAACTGATAGCGATGAAGATGCTATGGCCGACAATGATGAGGGCGATGATAATACTATCGTTATTCTCATCGGCTGTTCATTGGCAGTCCTATGCTTGTTTGGCGGTGCTTATGCAATACCGAAGTATCGCCATCGCCGTCGTCTTCGCAATAGATATGGCAGTGCATAGCAATGTTAAAGGGCGTACCCATCAACGTATACACATGGCCCAAAATAACTTCAGGAACTTCGAAGAGTACAAGTTGAAAGTACAGTAGCTACTGGATTGCCAATGGAACTTCACATTAGACACTGTTCCGAAAGAAAGCAGTAACGAAAGCGGGTTCCTTTAATCATTGAAAAGTTTTAAAAACAAATCTGGATTCATAAATCGCTTGTGGCCTGTGTGGATCTATGATTGTCGTACTATGACATACAGGCAGGTTCTTATTGTTTTGTCGCATTGCTGATGATGAATAGTCAGCCGCCCATGGAACGTACGAACTGTTTCTTTGATTTACTGACACTATGACTGACACTAGCTGATCATAACGGAATTTCTAATACTGCATTGCATAATATGATAGTCGGTACCATATGCCTGCTGCATGGGACGGAACCAATAGTATACGCATACACAGTATTAATAGTTTATGGACTGAATAAGACACACATCTGACCGAGGTACTACTAAAGTGTCTTTCTATCATCAAAATGAAAATAAAAACTGCGATGATATTTATATACAGGTATCGCATTGTGACAATAATAATAATGACTTTACCAACAGTACGATGAAAGGGTGAGCTAATTTGCAGAGGCCTTGGAACTTGGCAAAGGCTATCAGGATGAATCGACATAGGCACTCGTCTAGAAGACGACTCAAGATGAGAACAGTACTACTGTTGAGTTTGGTAATTCTTCTACTGGCAGCTACTGTCATGAAGATTGGCATTCAACTGATAGCAGTAGCAGGGTTATTGACACCTTTCACAATAACAACAACGGCAACAGAGCCAACATATTTTGCATTGGACTCTGAAACTTCTACGAAGATACAGTCACAGATTCACCATCATCAATCCCAAAAGTGTGACCGGATCCTTTTGTATGCCACCGACTATCTGAATCCGGTTGGTATTGTGGCTCAACTGAACACATTTCTGAGAGCCGTCCTGATTGCCATTGTGGAAGATCGACGTCTGGTCTTTCTTCATTCCAATGATGAAAGTATGTTTGGCTGTCCTGGAAATGGAAATTATAACTCATCATCATTGTTGGAGCAACAAACTTATTATTCCTATCCCGGTGGATTGAGCCACGTATTGGATGTCTCCCTTTTGAGTCGTCAATGCCCCCCACCACCATGCCAACGAATTCAGAAATGGCACCGACTGGCCTACCGTGTCATTCAAAAGAAGAATATGGATGCTCACATTCCATGTCGGGACCGAGCTAGTGAAACAAAGAATTCGTCCGTATCTGTACTGTTGTTGGGAGGTTATGCTCTCCGACAATACTTTCGAGATGAAATTCAACCACAACTGGATGGGGCAGAAAATCTGGAGGAATGGGGCAAACGACTAGGTCTCGAGAATATGGAGGAAATTCAGTTACTACACAAAGATGCCAAGAACAATGCAACACATGGCTCGTATCGAGATCGTGTCATGCGCCTCATCAAGCCACTGGTTCGATTCCAGCCTTGGATTATCAATGATGTCAAACGGCTGATCACCAACTATAGTGATAATAACAATACTGGCGCAGTGCGATTCCAAGAAATGATTGGAATTCATATTCGCCGTGGTGATAAACTAAAGGTAGAGTCGAGATATTGGGTAGAAGAGTACTGGAGGAAGCAGGGATACTTATTGAAGGATGAAGACGACATGCCTGTCAATTATGTTCCATTGACTGCCTACCTACAGAAGATACCGTCGCCTTTCTTTGAATCATCCATACGTCATGTCTATATTGCAACTGACGATCCAACGACAGTTCGAAATGAAATTCAAACGTTACCAGACCGTGACCAATGGAGATTCCATTTCAATCCAGTTGCGACCAGTAGTGGTCATTTGAATACTTTGGAGAATTGTCATGATAAGTACGAACACACGATTGCGGCCATTTTTGATTTGATGGTCCTAGAATCTTGCAGCCTATTTGTTGGAGAATACAATAGTAACTGGGGAAGATGGATACGATTCCGTCGAGAAGGAGAGGTTCGAGTCGTGTTTGGGCCCACAGATGTCTCCTGGCCTCGGTAAGAAGCTGTAGACCCGATCAATCGAGTCAGGCGTTGCCATCATGACCATATCATATCATGAGGTAGAAAGATAAAAAGTATCTGCAATATGACTCCATGGGAAAGCCATTCGAATGAGAATGAAGGCGGTTCCACCTGGCGGTACCTGCCTCTTCCTTTTAACATTTCTAAACTCAATTTTTAACATAATTACAAAAAATCAATCGGACCTAACTAGATTCTCCCTGAAAGCGACCCGCCCTTTGCAGTAGGTTTTGGTGTATCTGATACTTCTTCCTCATCGAGGCTGACATCGTCCCGGAATCCACCCGATGATTCTGCAACATCATCGTCGTCATCTGATTCGTCCTTATACACCCGTCTTGGATAGGTTGTCAATTCGGTCGCCGCCCTTGACTGCTGACCATTCTGACCACGGGTACGTTGTCTGATGATTTGGAATAGAGCAATCAATAGCGCCACAGTTAAGCCAATGTCAAAGAACGAAATATTCACCAAAGAAAGAGGCGATTCCTTGGCCAGTAGGTCCCCACCTTCCAAAGCAGCATCCATATCCGCTCCTAGTACAAAGTCTTCCGGATCATCATCACACTTCACTTGACCAACCAAGGCATCATACATCAAATCCGTATTATCAATGAACTTCTCGTAGTATTTCTGAGGTGCATCACAGGCCACCCACAAGGAATCTTGGTACAAAATCTCCAGTTGGCCTGTCTTGACATAGGGTTCCAAGAGTTTTTGGTACGCGCAATCACGATCCGTAAAGAGTTGCTCCACTTTCTGTGCGTCCTGAAATGCCAGTCCCACAAACTCCTTGTCGACAGCATTCTTGTTGGGCAAATAGTCTTTGAGGCCTCCCAGATTCCCATCTTCATCACAACCTCCCATCAATACGTCGCATCCAATCGCATGAACAATGTGCTGTCCAGCCTTTGTGATGCCACCCATATCCATAATTGTGACGCTCCATCCTTTTTCTAAAAAGATTTTGGCAGCCCCCAAAGGGTTCATTTCCGCTCCAATCATGCTGCGCCGTTGCTTGTGGTCCTTTTCTCGCAAATGTGCTTCGCACAGGAAATAACCATAGGAGGAGTCCGCATAATGTTTATCGGCATGTTTCCAAATACTGACCCATTGATCGAGACGAGGCGTTCGATAATTCATGATCACTTTGGTATCTTGTGGACCAACATTGAGTTTCATGGTAATCGTTTCCATGACGGGTAGAGCATTGTAATACTTGTCGGGACCCACTTGATCAAACTCTTCGGTTCCCAAAAAGACTCCATTGTCGGATTCCTCAAATCGCTCTGAAATCACATCCAAAGCCCTCTTTTCATAGGCAACATTATCCTTCCGTTGGACCAAGGCACCGTATTGATTCTCACCTTCCGATTCATCAAAGGTGGGCCATCTCCAATATTGAAGTCTGTTCGCGTGATCATGTATCATATGTATATATGTGTTTGTTTGTGCGGTGTTTTATGATGAAAAAAGAGAGAACACAATGTATACAATCAGTGAATGATTAAAAGTGGTAAACAGACGGCGTCAATATATGTGAAAGTATCAGCTGATGAACACAATAAGCTCAGGGGAATTTCTTTTGTCCAATACTACAACCAACCAGCAAACACAAACGACGACGACGACGACGATGATGATGACAATAAGCGTACCCATAGGTCTTGTGGTGCCCGTGATGAAAACCATCTTCCGCCCACTTGGCAAAGAACTTTTCTACGCTTGTACTGGCGGTCTTGTGTGGACCGGCAAAGAAATACACCTTTTTGGTGTCAAACTTGACGGGTGCTTGATGTTCTTGATCCGTCATGTAGTCTTTTATACTTCAGTATGTATGTCTCTTATTATTCCTACAATATATTTTATTACACGACAAGAAAAATGCATGGAAAATCTGAAATCTAACCTGGTACTTCTCTAGCCCTTATAAAGGTCGATGTAATCCATCAAAATGCACCGCATGTGCGTTGATCTTGTAATATTCTCCAGATGATGATATTTGTTTTTTATGATGGCAATAATAACGCATGCGGCGTTTGCTTTGTTGGTGTGGGTAATATGCATGATCAATGATGTGCAGAGTTGGGTAATCCCAAAGACTCGTTCTTCTGAACGAAGGTTCCACCTGAGATCCACATCCAAAGTCAACCACAACGGCGAGGCACCACCAGTGACATGTAGTAGCAGTAGTATTGACAACAATAAGAACACGGCGGGTGCCGTCGTCTGGTGGTCAGATGATGAGTTTCAAGACTGGTTTTATCACGAGCTGAAAGAAGAAGCTGGTCCAATACTTCATCAAACCTATGGTGATGAGTTATTTGTGGATCTGTCGCACTGTGTGACAAAGTGGCGTCAACGCTATCGAATGGGCAACAATAATGATCGTAATGACGCTGATGATGATCAACAAGTTTCAATGGAATCAGGTGATCGGCGAGTCGATGGAGGAATATGGAAACGATTATTCAAGCGTGATCGAGTGGTGAAGGAAGTGTTGGAATCCATACCGATTATTCATGCCATTGACAAGTATGTGAGATCCATGCCTCCTCCTCCATCAGACGAGGGTGGTCTAAATAAAAACAAGATTACTATAGTGGATCTGTGCAGTGGAAAGGGATATCTATCCATGATTTTGAGTGAATATTTACCACCAGACAAGGTCGAAAAGTTTGTCTTGATTGACAAGGCTTGGCCCATGTGTCATGCCGAACCCAAACCACACCACATCAATTGGGATCACATCTACGGCAGCTACACTACAGCAGAAGATGGTACAGAATTGAAATCCTACTTTTCTACATGGCCTATTCCGTTGCACACGAGCAAACAAAATCTCAAAAAGACATCGGATATGAGACGACTGCAGCAGCGTTTGGGTCAAACATCAACTGGGCCGTGCTTTGTCCTGGGCGTACATCTTTGCGGGACATTGTCCATTCAAGCCGTTCAAATGTTTTATTCGGTCCCGTCCATTCATGGTCTTATTCTAAAGCCATGTTGCTTGCCCGGAATGGCATACGAAAAGCAACAGACTCATTTTCAAGCTGGAAAATATGCATTCCCCACCAAGGAAGTTTGCTCGCCGGGATACTGGAAGAAAAAAGAATGGGAAGGACCACCTCGATGGCATTTGCAAGGCAAGTTTGATGCTTGGTGTCGCCATCTACATGAAGCGATGAAGTATGTTTCTGATTCGGATGTTGGCGTCGTGACCAAATTGTTGGAAGCGCCAGTTCAGACGAACGGTGGATTCCAAAATACATTTCTGTTTGCTCAAAAAGAACCCATGACAGATCTCATGTGGGATGAGATTGAAAGGAGTGAACTAACACTGAAACAATTACAAGAATGATTACGAAGGAATGAATGAATCGAAGATACCGATCATCAAGCGAGAGGAGATGATCGTCCTAAAAATACTAGGATCCATGCTGGTTCGTCACATTCATTCGGGCCCAATAAGGCACGACGACCATCTTCCGCTTGTAAGTCACCATGACGTACCTGTATGGCAGTTCATCTAGCTCGAGGCAATTTATGAGCTATCCCAAAGAACGAGTCAAGGAGTGCTTTGGGCCCTTTCTTTTCATGAAGAATGGATCTCTGCCGGAGGATGCGGAGATTCGGTTTAACTTTTGAGTCTTTTGACAAGAACGGGTTCTCGTTTCCCTCCAAGAGATTTGTGGTTGGAATCACATCTGCGGTGAGCTTATTCTTCGTAATTCTCATATAATGGATGGTCACGGTCATTATTATCTGATTGGCTCGTTTTGATTATGTGCCGGAAGATTGCGATGACGCCTCTCAAAAATGCAGGCGGAAATACGTAGTTGAAGTTTTCGCTTACTATACGTACCTCCAGTGCATAGCCTAGCTCGCGGCCAAAACTTCAAAACCGCACAAACGAATTTAGATTCATTTTCAAACGGCTACATTCTGAAGTACATAGTTCATCAACATATAGTTCCACCAGCTTGTCCAAGGCAATCCCTTCTGATATTATGATGACAACAACCACATCATTGCGTCCTATGGGTCTTCTTGTGCTGTTGCTAATTCGGGAAACCTGTGCAATGAGCAACGTTTCAATCGCTGACGGTCATTCATTGGAATTTAATCAGACCGACTTTCACGACAACGCTAATTCAAGTTTGGGGGTTCCTTCCAACCAGAATGCGGAATCCACAGTCACGGAAGCTCCCGCAAGCATGGTTGATCCATGTCAAGACTCCGCTTTATGGGGGCATGGAGAAATGAATGTATTTGATAAAAACACTTGGGAATCCCGTTACGTCATCTGTGAAGATGACACCCTTACTCCTTGCTCGCCAGAAGCTTCCTGCTGCGAGTGCAAACTTGTTTGTATTGAAGGATCCAACTGCACAGCAACGGGAACATCTCCGACTGATGAAGCACCAACATCTCCCAGTTCTAAGGCTGACCCCAAGAATTCAGGTATTCCTATCCAACCCGGACTCGAAGCAGAAGGAGTCATGTCTCCAACATCCTTTACTGGTTCTTCTGGGTTGGATTTGATTGCGCTTTTTGTATCTTTGGTGATATTGCTATCTTGTTGCGTCAACGTTGTTTTCATTCTCCGAAAATTAAGGAAACGAGGTCTCGATTATTCTCGGTATCCCATTCCAGTGGACACTGCAGACGCTCTCACTCGACCGGGTGCCGCTGGAAAGGATGACCCCGTATATGTTGCCAAAGTGAAGCGACACGAAAATATCATTCGCCAGTTTCACTTTCGCACGATCCCCTTCTCTAAGCAAGCTGCTGGTGAAGCTTCCTCCTCTAACTCTTGGGGCACCAACGAAAGCGGGGAAACCAGTTGCGATTTGGAATGTCCCACCAGTCCTGGTAGCGTCCGCAGAAGGCTTCAAATGCAAAAGAAGCGACCCAGCAAACTTTCCTTTTGGAGGCGACAGGCCCAGAAGGACGAATGCTGCATTTGTCTTGAAAACTATGGTCCCGGCGATACCATTTGTGTTCCTATTGCTAACTCCTGCCATCATATGTTCCATGAGGAATGTGTGGTTGCCTGGCTTCAGCATAATAACAGGTGTCCTTTGTGTAGGGTGGATCTGATGAAGGAGGTGAAGGTTGTGGATGACCCGCCACCATCAGTAGACCGTTCCGTGGCATCATCAGCCGAGCCACGGATACCACCAACAGATACCATAACTATAACTCACCACAGTCAGGAAATGGAAGAACCACATACATCCGAGTCTGACGAAGACGGTCAAAGTGAAGAATCCGACGAAGACATGGAAGCTCGTCAACAAGCGGCCGAGGAGGCTAGCTTAAACGATTCACGAGAAGAAGTAGACGGGGAAGAAACAGAGCTTTAGTCGCTTGGACGTACGGCTGATGATTGATTGATTCAGCAAAATTTTCACTACGAACTATAGCCCAAATTTGCGATTTGAGCAATAATAGCGGATGATGTCAAATTCTGTCAGCCGGTTTGTTCGTCCAGAGGCTCCAGAACAGGCTCTTGAAAGGACAAGCAATCTAAGCTCTTCCATCAAGACTGTGATGGAATGACCGAAAAGCAATGAAGGAAGCCTTTTGGGAGCCGAGTACAAACTAAAAATGCATATTTTAATCAATTTATATGACCGCTACAGCCTAAGACATTTCCCCCGCATTGATGAGAGCTTGTCTCTTGTCGCGGTTTGCTCTTCGTCTGCGCCAGAACGTTTTAAAGCAGAAAAGGACAGCGGCAAGTCCCGCTAGGACACCCACGATGATAAGGAAGATATCATCCCCTGTGAGTTTTTCTCGTAGCAGTTCATTGACCGACATGTTATGTGTGTATTCATACAAGTTGTTACTTCTTGCCTGAGTGCTTGTGGTGTAAGTACTTCCTGCCTCGAGTTGCTTCTCAAGAGAGGTGCACACTTGGAACATATCGTCACCATCCGTAATGTCGTAGCTGTATGTTTTCCATCCAGAAGAGCTGTAGTACGTATACTCTCCGTACTGCGACCCATCCTCTTGGGCTTGGTTGTTGTAGTAGTTGCCATTGTTTTGTCCAACATTGCTGCAGTCTCCACTAGAGAGATCGAGAGTGTAGTCTCCACCAAACAAGTCCTGGCACCCTTCGTTGGCTTGAGGGACTTGATAAGAACTGTAGCTGTTGTCACTGTTGCTGGAGTAACCATTGGCATTGTCATAAGGGTTGTAGTATGTAGTACCTTTGCAACTAACTGGTGCTTGGAAGAGGTATTCAACAACACTCTTGGTCTTGGTGTAGTAAATGTAGGGCTCTGTGCCCTCCACGAGGGTGTTCTTAAATGCATCTGCTGGATTCTGTATTGTACAGTCTTCGTCCTTGAAAAGTCCAATCTCCATTCCAGTTCCATCAGCATTGCACATTAGTCCAGCATAGATTTCACCATAGACTTGGTCGTATGTTTGTTGCTGTTGTCCAGAGTACTGCTGTTGCTGTCCCTGGTAGTTGTAGTAGCCGTTGCTGTTCACATTTCCATTGTTGCTGTTGGTGTAAACGCTGTCTCCATTTGTGCTAAGGTAGTTCCCGTATTGGAGGTTGTTCAATTGGTATCCGTCGTCACTGCTCAGCTGAGCACACTGGGAGATGGTCTCGAGCCATCCCATCGCTGATTCATCGGTATACTCAGACTGGTAACTGTATGCGGTCATTTGCGCCCCGCAAACCTTTTTGCATGTGGCGCAGTCAATGGGTTCAGTATCGCCATTTTGAAGCCTGCGGTTGCCACCATTGGCCATTTGGTACCCATACTGGTTTCCTTGGTACGAGCTACTGGTACCAGAACTCGTGTAAAGACAAGTGTCGATAGCATCATTACAGACTTCACAGTAACTGTAGTTCTCTGAGAGAATAGTTTCAGCTATAGTGTTGACAAAGGTAGGAATGTCAACTGCAAATCGTTTTTGAACTTTCTTGTTGTTCGTTGCCTTGAATATAACAAAATCCTTTGCCGTATGCAGCACGGATCCATTGTCGGCACTTTCCATCACGTTATCATCTAGGATGGTCAAGGAGGTACATGTCTCGAATCTGAGAGAAAATGAGCCGTCAACCTGGAATTGGTAGTTTTGGTTTTGATTGTTTCCATTGTACTGGTTGCTATTTTGTTTCTGTTGTTGGTACATGTTGTACTGATACTGAGATTGTGACTGGTACTGATTGCCGTTATTGTTATTGTTGCTCCCGTAGTTATTGGTGTTCTTGTTGTAGAGCTCGCGTGCATTACGAAGGAGCTTTGTCTGGTCCACTTGCTTCAAGCTTCTTTCGATAGTTTCCTTGTTGATGCCAGTAGAAGCATCTGCGAAGGCTACAATGGCCACAACAGCAAGGGCGGTGTACTTCATGGTGGTTCCTTGGGAAACGTGAAAATGATATTCACCTCAACTTTGTGGTTTCACAAAATCATGATTTGGCGTTGGAAGGAGACCAAACGGAGTGACTCGCGCGTCCCATTTACAGCTTTTATCGCCCATGAGCGTTATGACTCGCCGTTTTGGTAGCGCCTTTCCGTTAATTACGAAATTGACGGAGGACAGGACAGACGACGTGAAAACTGTGAGTACTGGCAAAGTTGCTATTACTTTTTCATTTCCAAAAGTAGGTTCACCCGGCACAATGGACAACAGTCATGATTCTTGAGCCACTCCACCAAACAAGCCTTGTGAAACACATGATTGCATGTATCTGCTTTCGCGACGCAAATCGCTTCCCCTGGTTTATAGCATTCTAAGCATATGGAGCATTCGTCATCGCTAGATTGCTTGCGCCAGGAGGAGAATACATTACGGAGAGATCGCTGTGATCGTTTCGGTAAAGACAGCGTCTTCCGAAGGTCCGGAATCGAAGTCGATGCACTCGAATTGGATTGTTGTCGCTTGATGACTTGTGGGCCTTCTTCGGGCCCGGTTTCGTTCATGGATTTTCGGGTCGTGGTGGCCGAGTGGGTATCGTTTTCACTTGCTTCCATGACATCACGAAAGGATCGAAGACTGACGGCATTCGCATTACTCTTGTCCGGTAGGACTGTGTCAAAGAAGAAGCTCAATCGTATCCTGTTGTCTCGTGCCGAGGAAACCTCATCATCTGAATTGTCTGATGATGGAGAATTTCTTCGTCGTTCCGCCATCGTCCTTCTTAGATTTAATATCTCTCGTCGTTGCCGGACATTGGTTCGAATCATTACCGTTACGAGGATTAAAAGTAAAATAAATGCAGATGCTCCAATAATAAGGCCAAGCTCAAGTCGGCCAATCTTATTTTCACTAGGAGGAATCTCATCTTCACTGAAGAGGCTTATTGGCATACTGACGCTTGTTGGTCGCATTGAAGGTTTATATTGACATGGTCGGTATGGATCTTGGGCGTGATTACGGGTCTTACAGTAGCTGCAACACGAAGCCTTGCACTTGCAACAATTCTCCATAGCTCCCGGATCAGAACACCAGACAAAGTCGTCATCACAGGTGTATTTCACTGAGGCTCCAAATGTCCATCCTTCAGTATTCAGACAGGATTCATTTTTCGTAGTGGGTGCATTTGTAGAAGCACTGCTCTGTGAATGACTCACCGAGGGGGCTCCTGGTGGTTGGGCATCAGTGTCATTCACGCTGATGGTATTATTTGAGTTGAAGACGATGTTGTCTGTGGTGGAGTTATCGTTCAGCTGAGGTGACATTGGTTGCGCAGCACTAGCCACAAGCCATAACACCACTATCCATAGAGACATCGTACCATGTAGTGTACCGTAGGTGAAAGGTACCGTCTGAAGTTCTAACCGTCTAGTGGGTTCTGATATTCATCATTTCATTGTTGAAGCGAGACAGAAGGTTCAAGGTGCGTTTTCGCAGCAGAAGAACGTGTCATGATCAGTGTTCATAGATGTCGCAGTTGAGTCATACCTCCTTCTGGAACATATGATATGTTCGCCTTTGAATGAACCGTAGTTAGGATTTTTTTCCAAGAAGCCGAACTCAAAAGATGAGTTTCATTTAAGATTTTAAAAACTGTTTCGATTTGGTCGAACTACAGTAGTCTGACAATTTTCGTGATGCAATTAGCGAGATATCCGAGCCCGTCAGGCATCCTAACCTAAGCAATTTTATTCTGGCGACGTCGCATGGTCTCGCCAGTCGGCATGCCAAACTCTGGTTCGTCTTCTTTCCGCTATGAATAACTCCACCCAACAAGATCACCAACGAATCAGCAATGAAGGTTTCGAGCCTTGTACTTTTGTCGATTCTCGGCTTGTCTGATGCCGCATCCATCAGCGGTGAGACCATCCAGCACCATATGAATAAGATGGACAAGCTTCGGCTGATGAAGCACTCGCACCGCGTTGCCCAAGGCAGAAGAAAGCTTGATGATTCAGCATCATCATACCAGGCCTATGGTAGCAACAGCAATTCCAACCAATACTACGGCAGCAACAGCAATGGAAACTCTTACGGAACCTACTCAAGTAGTAATGGCAACAGCAACAGCAACAGCAACAGCAACAGCAACAGCAACAGCAACAATGGATACAATAAGAACTCTGGGTCATATCAACAGAACGACGACAACAACAACAACAATAATAATGGAAACAACCAAGACAATGAGTATTACACCCAAGATGTCAACCAGTACTACTTTCAGAACATGCGCCAAGGAGACTTTAAAATCGATGGAACGAAGTCAATTGAGTTCGAACGTTGCGTCTCTCTTCGATCGCTCAATGAAGACATTACTCAATACGAAGGGAAGAATATGCAGTCGATCTCGGACTTTGTCATTTTCAAGGTGACAGACAGGTACCAGAAGGAATTCGATTTTGCCGTTGGCATCAGCGACTTTGTTGAAAGCCTCATCTCAACCATTCCCGACGATCGTGCGAATTACTGTCAAGTTTGTCAACAGTCCTACCAAACCTGCCAACAGCAGAAGGCTCAGAACGAATGGAACAGTGTTGTTCAGAACAGTGGAAACATTGGAAACTACTATGGCTTTACCGTCGAGCAGGAAGAAAAGGAAGAGAGCAATATGAAAAACTGGGGATGGGGGGACTCAGACGGAATGAGCTACTATGCACAAGACTACTACGCACAAAATACCGACGATAATGCCCAATATTCCAACAGTAATGGCAGCAATCGTCGAAAGTTGGACCAGCAAGATGATTTTAGCATTGAATATATCGATTGTGAGACATGCGACAGTTTTGGTTGCTTCGACGGGTACAGTCAAAACTCGGAACAAAGAAATTATGGGAACTATGGAAATCAGCAACAACAGGAGTTCTCGACACCAATGGAGGCAGCATTGAACTGGGTATCCGAAATAGCGCAGTGCAAGGAACTAAAAATGTTTGACTCTTCAGGGTCCAGTGGCTACTACACCAATGTAAGGGAACTAGCAGTTGGATCAATATGCTTTGTGTTTCCTCGTTTACATATCATTTGAATCTAACACTGCCATTGTGTCTTCTGTTTAGTACAAGAACCAACAGTCCAGCCAACAGGCGCAGCAAGACCAAGGTCAATATTATGATAAACAGTATCAGTATCAGCAAACAAGCAGTCCAAGCCAGAACGCCAATTCCTACAAGGCGAGTCTCCGCAACCCATATGCTGGTATGATGTGCAACTCGGATGGAAGTGGCATGGAGATCGGAATCTTCATGGACGCATATTGCACCATTTACGACAGTTCTCGTACCTACAAGGATATTATCAAGAACGGTTCTCCACAAAAAACGTACTACGAGCTCACAAAAGGACTGATGGAATTCACCTTCACCCAACCCATTGAATGCAAGGCGAATGAATACACTGAGCCTGATTTTGATTCAAGAGCTGATTACGAATACTATCAGCAGCAGCAACAGCAACAGCAGGAGGCTACCAGCCAATATTATGCCGACGCTGAGGAATTTTACAATGCATACAGCCAGCAGCAAGACGAAACCTACCAACAGACAAACGAGTACTATCAAGAACAAAGTGACGCCTACTACTCGTACTACATGGATGGTTCCAATGTGCAGGCAGCTAATTCATGTCAGCAACTATTTCAACAACAAGTCGTCCAGCTTGGTATTCCATGCTACGATAACGGGCAGCAACAAAACAATCAAGATCAAACCTACAGCCAGAGCTATACAAATCAAGACAAGCCGTATGGTGAATACAGCTATTTTTCAGCATACAATGGAAGACAATCTTATGCTTACGAGATTCAGAACCCATACGATCAGGACGAAGTCTGCACTGTCATGAATTCAAAAGCATCGAATGATTCCTTCCAAAAGAATGCAATGAGTCAATCACGATTTAAGAACTTGTACAACTACAAGCTCTACTCGGCGACTACGAGTTGGAGAGGCTTCCGCACCCGCATCGGCGAGAAATTCCAGACCTTCCGCTACAATACTGGAGAGAGGTTCCGATCGATTCATGAAGAAGAGATTTCGACTAAGCTTGCCATCATTTCCTTCCTGATAGTTGCTTCGATTGCAATTGTCTATGTTATTTCTCGTTTCTCGGCACCCTATGTAGCCAAAGGTTTGACAACAGCAGCGAGCCACGCCGCGGATCACGCTGAGCGACTAGTAGAACATGTGAAATCCATGAAATCGATGCGAGATGAAGATTCGAGCTATGGTCATACCTTGACTCAAGACAGTGCTTACCAGTTCAGTGAGATTGAGTCCTTTGATTTCTACGACGAAGCACAGGCAGAGCCCAGTGGAAAGAAGCACCGGCTCTTCTACTAAGCACAATTTCTACGGCATTGTGATGCCTTGTGATACTTGAGTTGGGTGACTGGACTGAAGTTGACAAAGGGAGTGAGGCCTGCCTACCTTGGATTTAGCATGTACAAATACTATGAGAACTACTATATTACCAGAAACCAAGAGTTGACAGGTATTTAGTACATGCTAGTAGTGGCTTTGAAATATTGAACCTCTTTTTTAAAAAGCTAGCCTTGAGCAGTTCATACCATAGGGTCTCTTTGTCTATTTGTAGGCATAAACCGTCTTGTTAGACATTTTGTCGAATGTCGATTCGACTTTGCCAGACTTCATCAATTCGTCAAGTTCACTAGGATCGACCATTTCAAAAGACCCATTAGTGCGGCGAACACCAAAATAGGATGGTCGTTGGTATTGAGTCGAGAATTGTCCATTGCTCAATTTGTCACTACGAATGGCTTGTTGGGCATACTTTTCTTTGTTGGCGTCAGATTGCTTCTTTAATCTGGCAATGCATTCATTTTCTTCAGTTGAAGGAACTGGAGTTGTTCCGGGAACAGAGATGGGCTCGGCAGAAGCAGCTTCGTCATCGGCAAAGGCAGGAGACGACAAAGCCACCAGTGGGACTACTTTGGCAGCCGTATCCAAAAAGACACGACGAGAAGCTCCTTGTTTGGGAGTAGCAGACCAGCCCAGTAATACTGAAGCCAACAAGGAGGATGTAAGAAGAATGTAAAGAACGGAAAGCCTGGTAGAGTGCATGGGTGAATGCTGAGGGATGTACACGCAAATAAGGTTGATAGTAGGTGATGTTTGTCTATTGTTGATGATGATGCGAATACAAAACATCTAATCATACGACTTCTAATAATATGACTTAGTAAGCTCCTACTAGATGAATAGGATCTGCTTTCAGAAAAGTATCCAAACGCAAAAGTGAGATTTCGAAATTATGGATACACTGTATGAATTGAACATCATGCTTAGCAGGAAAAATGATCACTCTCTTGGGCGTCCTTGTATAGTTCATCATGATTAGGCTCGTAAACTCCTACTACATGAATAGGGTCTACTTTCAGAACACAAAATGAGATACAGATGACATATTGCACATCATGCTCAGCAGCATGAAAAAAGGCTCACCCTCGTGGGCATCCTTGTATTCGTCATAATCATTCATCCAAAATTCGATTGCTTACCATCATGTTCATCATAATTAGGTTGCTTACCATCATCTTCGGTCCCCCTGTTTGGATCACGGAACGGATCAGTAGCAACCTCACTGCGACGATATGGCATTGGTTCTCGTTCTTCATTCGCAAGCTTGAGAGCTGGTTGACCAAAGACCTTGTCTTCAATAGAAGTTCCATTCAGACGTTCCAACTCTCCATTGTCCTTGTCAATCTCTGCGGCAACATCAAGTGCCAAATTTCCAATATTGTACACAATCTTTTGATTAATGTACTTGTGGAAAATAATCGTCACAACCAAAGGAACAAATCCACATGCCGCTGGACCTGGTGCTTCCTTGAGTCCCATATAGACAATAAAGACAGCTTCGCCCATGTACAAGCAAACGATGAGAAATCCAAAGAGAGTTTGCCAAGTCGTGACACCGCCACCATCCGAAGCTTGGGCATAGACATGAAGGCACTGATGCGTCCAGACAATGTACATTCCACCAAAGTAGATAAAGGCAAACAATTCCATCAATGGAACAATGGGCATGTAGAGAATCATGACCAAAAAGACAAAGATGGAATCCGGTAATTTTTGCCCCCACTTGATTTCCGGCGGTGTCTTGCTGGCATCCAGCATGCGCTGCGTCCGCTGGGATTCTGGTGCCAAGAGACTCATGACAAAGGTTAGCCCATAGGCTGGTAGCATGGATAGTTCGAGTCCAAAATTACCAATTCCCTATTTTGAAAAGATATCGTATGAGAGAGTTAGAATCAATCACTACAGTAACGACAACACAAGTACGAGTGTACAAAATACAACCAACATACCTTGACAATGAGCATGTTGGCAAAAAAGACAGATGCTCCTGGAAGTGCCCCCGCAATGATCCCTACTATCGAGGTTGGATCTGCCAAAATGGCATCGACTTGATTGAAAAAGGAACCACCAATGAGAATCAACCATAGATTTGCAAATTGAAAGAGCATGTGCCAATGAAAGGTGTAAGCATCCACTTCAGGGGCAGACTTGAACTTGATGAATTTCTGTCCCGCTGCGACAATGGACATGTACAAGACTGCCATTAATACGGCCAAGGCAATGACTGGCAAGAGACCGGCAATGATACCGTAGGCCGCCGAGGTGGAATCAATTGATCGCAAACCAAGCGTCTTGAAAATGGAATCCAAATTGGCGATGGCCACCACTAGGGTAACGGGAACGGCCCAAAACAAGATACCCACAGTCCACAAGGCAGAGGCCACAAGTTCAAAGATACGTTGTTTGGAGTAAGGAACCGTAGCATTTTGCCAGAGAATGGAATGCTCGGGATCCGCCACCGCAAAGACCTTGAGTCCCTTGTAATGCCCCGCCATGGCCGATTCCTTGGCACTAAGTGACGTAAAGGTAATGACACCGGTCGTGGAAGCCTTGAAGAGTCCTTGTCCTTCCGATCCCGACCGTTCGACCGCATTTTCCAACAGTATGGCATCGTCCACAATTTCCGAGGACTTGCGCATTTGATCAATTTCCTTGTTCAAACGTTCGTATTCAGCCACATTGTGATCAATCTTATCGACTGTTTCTCCCATACAGGGCACTTTGGAGTTGATTTTCATGGTGGGTCGTGGCTTTTCGGGCCGAGCCATGATGAAGGCTTCGGCCTTTTCGACATTTTCAATGGCAACTTGACGTTCGGCAATCTTTTGTTCCAGTGGCGTTAGCTCTCGCAAGACAGTGGCTTGACGCACTTTGTTTGGGAAAATGGCCTCAAAATGAGCCGCCAATGCTTCGTCCGATTGTTTCGAAGCAGGCAATTCTTCGACCAACAATGCATACCGCATATCCAAACTACCATCCGGATCTCCCTTGGCCAAGAAATCGCGGCGATTGTCTTGATATTCCATCCATTCTTTCCAAAACTCGTTTAGAATAAAGGCAATAAAGATCCACCAGAGTAAGACAGTGCCCCAAATCCGATCGCTGCCCTGCAAGACTCGCGCCAAGGTAAGCTGATTGAATTGCACGGTGTCATCCCCGCGCTCCAATCCTGTGGCATAGACTGGCAGCAAAATGATGCTTGCCAAGACACCCATGCCGGAGATCCGAGCCCCCAAGCGCAAAAAGCGCAAATACATGTAGGAATCCAAACCGACACTGCGACGCAAGGTTTCCTTATCCACCTTCCAAGCCTCCAACATCCAATTGTCCGCAAACGGAGAAGGCGAACGATGTGAAAAGTTGAATTGACGAGGTTCGTACAAACTGTAGCTGGATTTGGCCTTTTCTCGACTGCGCTGAAACATGAAAAATATGTAAAACGCAGTCGTCTGTGCCAAGGCTGCAATCAACGTGGCCGTGATTCCGCTCCATCCCACAATGGTGCTCTCGACTTCGCCTTCAAATGAGGGTGCCGTAGATGGTGCTTCCGAAGGGGGTTCCGTCGACAGGAACAACGATGGTGCTGCCGACAGAAAAGATGACGGTGCTTCTGACATGAGATTGATTGATTGATTACTACGGTATACTGTCAACTGATGTCAACAATATTCCTCTTCTTATTCTGCTGATACGACGAATTATGTAATCTATGATGATCCGATGAGTTCTCTGTTTTTTATATTTGGCAAGATTTTTCAAACAAGATTTGAAAATTATAATAGCGGTGTATCCGAACCTTGTCCGACCCTGTATACACGTGTACAATTCTACGTGAGCGAAATGCGGGATCGTTTGAAAGATCGTTTTCCACACGGAAATTGAAAATCTCGGAGAAACTTTGTCATGCTATTTCTAGACAAAACTGAGGAAAAGAACGTTCCAAACTTGTTCCAAACGCTATTTCCAATAATTCTTTGATTTCACGGAAGGAAAATATATTCATGAAATATTGAATATGCGTGCACGAACTATCTATGCATTCCGATCAGAAGTCCAATGAGGGATATACGGTAGGTGCAACAATACGGTAACAATACTACGATATCCAACAAATAAAGTAACAGTGCTGTTTTGAAATCAATCTCAGACGTATGACTGCATTCTACTTTACAGTAGAGTAGAATAAGTCCCTGTTTGCAGCATACTAATAGAAACCGGAACATGCTATACTGTATTTTCGAGCAACAATTTTCGGGGTATGGATTTTTGGGGAGTTATATTTGGTCAAAGGGGTCAATCGTATCTTCTGATCGATATTTAATTTTTTTCAAAATACCTACTCAAATCTATATGTACCGGTACTCTTATACGCCAAAAATGTCGCCTTGGTATATATTCTTGTTTAACTTCTAACAGATGTTCTATAGGTAGCCAAGATTGTAGTCTGAATCAGCGAGTATTTTGGCTGAGAAGAGCACTTTACATCAACGATAGCAAAAGAACAACAAGCAAGTTCAAAGTGGTCGTGTGAGATCTGAGGATTGATGCGCCCCCAAGGTCCACTGGAGGATGCGTACCGGTATACGAATACCGGATTATAGTCCATCACTGAAAAGCCCAAGAGCCAGGTGTTCCTGACGGCATGACAGACGGTATAATATCTGCAGTGAAATCACTCATCGCACTATATCACTCATCATCATTACCTTTTGGCACTATTATATTGGCACCCATAAAGCAGCTGTCGCACTTATATTCCTCCAACAACATGAGTAGTGATAACAGTACCGAACCAGATGGTTCCAAGAAGCGAGCAGCGGAAGAAGTAAGCGACGACAGCGACCAAAGAAGTCGGAAAACATCCAAAGCTGCCGTGGGTATTTCAATCAACCAAGAGACAATAAGAACGGGCAGCGATCCACCTGCTGATGACAAAAGACTTGGAAACTACATTACTAACGACGACGAATGGTTCAATGAAGGTGTAACTAGTGGAAAGAAGAAGAGCTCTAAATCTCAATCGATTGAGGCTTTGAAAGAAGATGAAGATTATTTCATAGTGACACAAAAATATCTGAAGATCGACTTGGCTCATTTCTTGAAGACTGGAGAAACTAAACCGTTCATCTCTAGCACTGCAGCAACTGCATCGCAGCGGGTGGCAAGCATTGATTTCGACATTATTGCGAGCAAGATGGTGTATAAACGAGACTTGATGGCATTGATAGCTGCGGTGAAAAAACTCTTTGAGTGGAAAGTACACCAGTCAAAAGAGTATATGGCGCCGTACTTTCCACTAATACAATCCAGCGGAGCTGGCAAGACCAAACTGCTGCACGAGTCGCAATGCTCAATGGCGAACGACACCGATGTCCACGTGAGACTCATTCTCTGCACGAACGGAGATCCTCCAGAAATGTTGTCACAAAACTGCAGCATTTTTTCGGAGACTTTGGACGTGAGTCAATTTCAAGTGGGTGAAGATGGTCAAAGGAAGCTTTCTGAAAAAATGGCGACCCTCGTCGAGACAAATGATAATAAGAAGAAGGTTGTATTGCTCTTTGACGAGTCCCAGCACCTAACCAGCAACAGTGATGGTTGGCATTTCCGATGCATACGGTGGTGGCTCCGATTGCCAGATAAACCAAACGGCGTCAACGTGGTTTGTGTGTTTGCGGGAACCACCACCAGATTGGCAAACTACTATGCGGAACAAAACCATTCAACTGACTCGAGGAATGCAAGCGTAAAGTACCTTGGAGGGAAAAAGCTGTACCCTCCGTTCTGTCAACTTACGACGACAGGTCTTGTGTCACGCTCTGATGGACCCAAGTTTGGAACCGTAGGTGTGCGCACTAACGGCAACATTGTTACGGAGTTTGATGTCGCAACTCAATATGGACGGCCCTTGTTCGGACGATTGCAATTGAACGGAAAGTTGAAGGATGCACTTGGAAGTATCTTGTTCCGAATGAGAGGTGCGGGCCAGGAGCTCTCACTGCAGAAGTATTTTTCGCTTTTGGCGACGCGGCTGCAAATGGGGCAAGTGTCGTTTGATTTTGCATCAGAACTAGTGGCTTCGGGATACGCACATCTGACTCACTTTTCACCCCCAGTAGTGGCCGAGATTGCATTTCTTCCTGATCCGGTTTGCGCATGGCTTGCAATGACACAGATGATTAAGGACTGCGATCTATATGAGAAGGTTGGTGGTATCTTGATGGGGTGTGGCAAACACCCATCTGTTTGGTCGGAGAAGGCCATCAAGATTTACTCCTCTGCACTGTGCCGCCCCGAAAAGGGAGACGTCGGTGAGGTTGCAGCTGCCTTTTACATGCTGGCTTGCGGGGATGAATTGAGGTTCGAGCACTCACGAGATCTCACTCAGCTTTCTGTTCCACTAGAGAACTGGATTGCAAGAATGCAACAAGGCAAAGGTGCTAAGTTGTCCAAAAGTACAGCAAAACCAAGCGTCAATTTCATTCAAGTTTGTCGGAATTATTTACATTACACTTTGAACGAAATTCAGGATAGCGGACTTCTCAAGCATTGGTATCTTGGTGGACGAGCATCGTATGCGTACGCTTCTTGCAAGGCGTACGACATGCTGGTGCCATTGCAGTACACTGTAAATGGGACTTTGCATTACTGTCCCATGTTGGTGAGCGTGAAAAATCGAGTGGCATACAGTGCAAAGCAACGTCAAGCTGCAATCGAGGCAATGGAAAAAGTATTTACTGACGCCAAAGTTGAGACTGGAGTATGTATGCTATTTCACATTGGACTTGGCGATACATTGGAAGAATCGTCCTCCTTGAGTCATACGTTTTGCCAAGGCAAAGTTGTTAGTGTGACAATTGTGCTGCCAACGGAAGATGAGTTTGGAGCAACCAATCTTGCTTTGTGTTCGACGTGTGGGGGTGGACAGGAGTCCGAGGTCATGGTGTCGCATGCAGAGCTTGCGTTCGGAGCAGAAGGCAATTGCTTGCTCCGAAGCAAGACGAAAAACGATGACCTATCCAAATCTCTGTTGAACGATATATCCAAAGGATACAATGAAGCTTTTGGTACAAATAGTGGAGCAACGACGGGTACGGAGGCAGACAGTACTATGTAGTTGAAACAAACTGAGAATACTCTACGTTTTATGATGTTGCAAGTGGCAGAAAAGTTGGAACGAGCTTGAAGATGCATTCGTGACTGACGGTTTTTTTTTAAAAAGGAGAAAATTCTGAGAGCGACAATAGCAATAGGTACAATAGAAGCTAAATTACTATAAGGCTTGGAAATTGATTGGAGCTGTAAATTCCCCAATTCCCCTAGGTGTACTGGAAGGTCAGAATATATGTGAGAGCAAGGAAGAGTAACTACACTTGCTACCCTCTGCAACTTTTCCCCTCCTTTTTATATGATGCTCCAGCCATCAACATTTTTTTCTTTCTTTTCTAGTGTATTGGCCCTTCTTTCCGTTTCCTCCGGAAGCGATCGCATACCATTCCTTGGCCTGATTTATCTCTTCTGCACCTATACTAAATTTGAGTCCATTGAGTCGAATATTCGATTCCGGTTTCAAGCAAAACCACGGTCCATCGCATAACCGCATAAGCTTATTCCGATGATGCCAAACCTACATCTCTTACTTGCGTATGGAGGACTGATGGCACAATCTCATTTGATACAATTCGTAGTATAGTATGCAATCATCCTAGGCCAATCACACTAGACATCGAGTCATGAAGTGGACTTGATGGGAGCGAGCGCGACGCGACGTGAGGGGATAGAGCGCTTTCGTGTTACTGTTGGGCATGATGATGCTATTACAATAACATTTGATGGAAGTAGTATTTGCTGCCGATTCATTCTAATGAATATATGGTGGCCACAAAACACAAAGAGTGGCAAAAAATCATGAAACTACTAGTAGTAGTATTAGTACAACAACAACATCAACAACCACCACAAAGCGTCAACAACACCAACAACAACACCAGATTGCCAAAGGAGATGGTGATGATTACTGGAGTCAGCGAGTACTGGATCATGAAGAGCTTTGCATTTATGCAGTATTCAGATGTGGTAGGATAGCAACCCTCGGGGGTTTTGGATAGGAAATTTATTACTACTAGCTAGTATGACGATTGTATTATGCTCCACCATCATCATCGTCAAGCCCAACGACTCTTTCTCTGCATCAATAGTACATTATGTTGGTGCTCGCATTTTAAAATTAATGATCATATTATAATATGTTATCTTTTATATTTTAATACTCGTAATAATATTAGTATCGTCTTATCCGTATATACTGAGATCCAGTTTGTAAAAGGTCTCAAATACCACGCTACCATATTGTTCAAAGGCCCCAACATCGCTGCCCTGCCGCGGCTGAATCACCACAGTCTCAAAGCCACCATCGGCCTTGGCCGTTTCGATAAATTTGGTCCGCTCGGAAGAAATATAAACCTTTTTCAAGAGGGCATTCCGCCGGGCGCAGGCCAAATCCTTCATGCTGCCGGTATGGACGCTGGTAGTCGTCTCGTTCTTGGCAATTTCCGTCAGCATTTGACTGATCAATTGTTCTGCCTCTTGAATGTGTTCGTCGTTGCGGCGTTTTTCAAACAAGTCATACACTTCGTGCATGGAGGTTGTAGTCGTATGTGCAATCGTAGGTGGCAAGTGATGGGTAATGGTATTTTGCCAAGTTCCCGTGAGAATGACATTGTAGGTTTTGACCTTGGGTGGACTGTGGCCGTTCCAAGAAATGGATTGCAAGGGTGCATCTGCTTTCAAGTCGGCAATGTACTGTTCGAGTGCTTCCATCGACTTTATCTGGTCCTTGGAGGGAGGTCCCGCACAATGTTTGCGCTTGATCCGAGTCGAGACAAAGACGCCGCGATCCGAATCGATGCTAATGGTTTCTTCTCCTTCCGTGATATCCTGGTAGGCATTTTCGGCATCTTCCCCAAACCATGGCATGAAGAATTCCTTTCCAGATCCTGCTTCCCCTTCGTCATCCACCAATAATTTAATGTGCCGTCCCATGAATACCCTAGGAGTTTGTACCAAGGCCAATTGACGTTTGGTGAATTCTTCAAATTCCGTTCTGGGTTCGCTACTAGTACTATCACCACGACCACCACCACGACCACCACCACCACCACGACCACCACCATTGTCCCTTTCCATGCTTCGAAAGTGTTTGACTAGTCCATATAGCTTTCCATCACTCCCACGACTCCTATCACTGTACTTGTTGAGATCCTTTTGAATTTCACCATAGGCCTTCCAATAGAGTTCGCGTTGATTGTGGGTTCCAATGTTTTTGGTTTCGGCCTTGAGTTTGCCAAGGGAGGTTGCCAATTCCGAAGGAGAGAATCCATTGATGAGCAGAAGCATCATCAAGGGGGGTGAAGACATGGGTGATTGACTGATCGATTGACTGATCGATAGATTGACTGACTGACTGGTGTTGGTCGATTTTGATTGATTGATTGATTGATTTTATAATATTAAAACCTGCTGTTATTATTTGTTCCAGTTCGAGTCTCTAGATCTTTTTTGTATGATATCTACCTATTCTTTTGAGAACCCTCGATTTGACAAGAGAAACTGACATCACTTTTGTCGCATGCGACATAGACTTCTTCGACTAAATATATAACACTTTGTCACATCATAAAATGCTGCATTCCAGCTGTCATCAATAAAGCAAAAACCAACGAACAGTACAGTGCAGTATTTATTTGTTCCTCATCCATCCGCACCGAATCATAATACACCGCACAGAGCCCATAATGTCAGAAATACTAGCAGCAGTAAAGGATTTTCTTCCTGATTGGCCAGAATGGTGAGTAAAGATATAAGCTTGATTTTGAAGCTTGTAAAATGTTATACTATTTGTACTATAATATTATGTACCGGATGTCATTGTTTTTTGTGGTTGTTGTTGTTGTGGTTGTGGCTGTTGTTGTTGTTGTGGTTGTTGTTGGCATCCTTGTGTATACTTTCTATGTGTGTTCTAACGTTTCCTTTATAAATGTATCTACATCTATATCTATATTATAGGGCTCTGGATGTTCTCCTACTCATGACCGCCCTGCTCATTGCAACAATCATCTTGACGACCGTGTTTGCGCCACAAGACAACAATGACGACGAGGATAATGACAAGGATAATGACGCACAACAGCAACAACAACAACAAAAACAAAAGGCATCGGAAGACTTGCACAAGGATTTCATGAAATTCCGAAACCAATACATTTTGGTCTACCTTGTCATTATGCTGGCCGATTGGATGCAAGGGACACACATGTACACTTTGTATTTGAGTTACAATGTCAACATTTCTGCCTTGTTTCTGACGGGATTTTTGAGTGGAGCCTTCTTTGCACCCTTTTTGGGGAGCGCGGTGGACAAGTTTGGACGCAAGAATTCATGCATCGTCTATTGCGTGTTGGAAATTATCATTAATACCTTGGAACATTCGACCAACTTTGGGATTCTATTGCTGGGACGTGTCTTGGGAGGAATTTCGACCAATCTCTTGTTTTCTGCCTTTGAATCTTGGATGACCACGGAACATCGAAAGAGAGGGTTCCCAGAGGAGTGGCTGTCACGGACATATTCTGCAGCTTCGATTGGAAATGGGACCATGGCCATCTTGGCGGGGGTCGTTTCTCAGGTATTGGAGGATCAATTTGGGCACAGTAAGTCTCGAGTCGAGTCCAGTCCAGTCCAGTCGAATTTATTTGTTTAGTGCCTACAGTACTACATGACTGCGTTCCTTGATCATTGGCATGGACATGGTCATTTTACCATTATGATTCTCACTCGATTCTTGTTCTTATTCTGCAGTCGGCCCATTCCAAGGAGCTATTGCTTTGACCGTACTGGCACTGGTCCTAGTCTTGCCGTGGGAAGAAAATTATGGGGAGAACAAGGGTGACGAAAACAAAAAGGACGGAAATGCTCTCTCGGATCAATTCTTTGAAGGATGGAAGGTCACATTGTCGAATTCGTCCATTTGGAAGATTGGATTGATCCAAGCCTTTAGTGAAGGTGCCATGTATACGGTCAGTCAATAATGTGGTCCGAACGGAACGGAACGGATTGCAAATTGTCACTTCCTCAAAGGAATCTCTGTTTCTCACTTTATGCATCGTCGTGCCGTATTCTCTTTCATATATATATATATATTAGTTTGTCTTCATGTGGGTACCAACATTGCTTTCCATGAATCCTCCAGGTGGACTTCCCACCGGATGTGTCTTTTCGGCAATGATGATGGCCATTACCATTGGTGGCATGGTCTTTCCCATTCTCCAATCCATGTTTTCCACAGGAATAGTGCTTGGTGGTTCCAAAGATAGCGCCTCGGAAGCCTGTGCCTCCTTTATTTACTTTGCGGCTGCCGCTAGCATGGCGGTCCCGGCCTACTTTCTTGCAGGATCCGCCGAGGAACACTTTTACAGCATTATCATTAGTTTCATGATGGTCGAATGTTGTGTCGGTCTATTCATGCCCGTCGCCGGTACATTGCGATCCAAATATGTTCCAGATGCTCTGCAGGGAGCCATTTTGAATATTTTCCGTCTGCCACTGAATGCGGTAGTCGTTTCGGGGACCTACGCTACGGATGTCTTGGAACCATCCGTGCTGTTCAAGGCGGTCAGTTTGTTTTTCTTTGGTGCGGGAGCATTGCAACTGACAATGATGGGATCCGCGTCAAAGAAAAAGGCAGATTAATAATAAAATTGATTGATTGATTGATTGATTGATCGATCACATTCTTTATGATATAAAATATGGATGATGATTATTGTCAGGACTAGCGGTAAGGGTGTATGGTACAATATAATATAAATAATATTCACTACTATAGACACAGATTCGTGGTAAAAAAGGGACCAGGACAACATGGTTGCCTGAAATGACATCGATATGTATGGAATCCGTGAGCCCCATACAGTTTGCATGCACAAAGACTTTGATTGAAATATACAGTCTATATGAGCCTGCATGACGGAACATTAGTATTTAAGCCAATTAAGTCGCACGATTGAAGGACGAGGAAGACTTTGGAAACCATCTCCCTCCTCATCGCTGCTATGACAGAAGAAATAGACAATAATGACAATATGCTCATGCAATTGTTGCCTGAAGGACCAAAGGTGATGACGACTCACTCTGTAGGATTGACAAAAGTAGGTCATGGAAACACTGAGAAATGTCCATCGATTGATTCAAAGCTAACAAGCACCAGATGAGAGAGCGCCTTGGACAAACCCAACAACTTTATCCACAAAGGAGATTTGATATTCCTTGGCATACTTGGGTGGCTTGACAAAGAAGACCAGGGAGATTCATTCTGGAACCGGCTCCGTCCTCACCTTTACAGACACGGCGCATGTGAGTCTTATTCAAACCAAGGGCCATAAAGTACATATCTCCAGACTCTGGAGTGACCGAATCAATCAATCAATCCCTACTAGTAACCCTTGTTTCATTGTCTCGGAATTCTATCAGTCGTTGTGCTCCAAGAGACAGAACCAAGATATGATTCCCGTAAGTATCTTTATGCCATCCAATGTTGTGCGTCGAATCTTGAAAGCGATTGCAAAATACATCATAAATTTTGACATCCAAATCCGTTTCGATTCTCTGACATTTGTAGTTCCTCCAAAAACTCTCCAACGATGGATTGTTGTTCGTTCTCTTCTTTTATGGAAGCTCTTCTGTCAAATAAATAAGCATGCTGATCTAAATCAGCGCCATACAACAAGAGTTTCGGCTTTAGATCCCAAGGAAATAATGAGGCATTATCAGTAGTATCGTCCAAGATTTCAAATATGCTTTTGCACTTATTTTTCGAATCGTGGAGATATAAAAAATATTTGGGAAAACGAAAAAGACCACAAGCCTTTTCAGCCGTCGCTACTAGTTTGTCTAGAAAGGGCGTTGCTGACATACGGTATGGGACCTCTCTAGAGTAGCTTGAACGAATGAATGTTGTTGCTGATGATTCAGAACAGCAGAGCAGAATCGGATCTGCTGATGATGTGGGATGATGATGACTATATATATTGGTCATATGATTCGCAGCCTCATGAATTTTAGTTATATGCGTCAGCTAATTTTCGCCTCCTAAATATCGTTCGTGATTTTTTCACCTGTCGTTAATTGTTTGGAAACTTCCGCTCTCCTACGCTGTTTGACTTCACCACAACATTGTTATGAAAGTGAATGAATCGTCTTCAGGACTTTAGGCCCTTAAGGGCCTAAAGTCCTTCCATATTACGGATAACCATCATCAAAGGTTCGTTTCGTCTTATCTGTCTTATCTGCGATTGAGTCAGCATCGATACGCAGTAACTAACACCACTGGTAGATATGCAGTCTTATCGGAATTAGTGCTCACAAAATTCCAATTCCACAAATCTTATCTTCCGAGGACTCACTCACTCACTCAACATCATCATCATCATCATCAACATCAGATCATCAACCTAATGTCATCCCCACTCCAACTATACTTCGCAAATTTGAAAGATCAGCTTCAATCCAATGACATTGTTGTTGTTGAGGACAGGTCTCCGTCCAGTCGAATACAAATAAAAAGGATTGTTCGAGCTTCTAACGAGACTGATGATGACGATAATAAGGCCGCTATGAACAGCAACAACAACAACAACAACAAGACGCACACCCAAAACACCAACAGGCCCACCATCCGACTACATATCCGAACTTGAGCAAAATGCCGCCGACAGCGCCGTTGACTATTGCTTGCTCTATGCAGACCAAGATCAGGACAGTCCAAGCACACGACTGCTCGTGTCGACCTCATGATGCAACAGCAGCTAGCAACGACTATTATGGCATTACCACAAGAAGTTCTTGCAGCATTCGATGAAGTCCCAGGAGGCAGGAGCACAGTTTTGCTATGTTGTTCCAACAGCTATGGAACACAGCAGCTTATTTGCTTCTTACATTTTTGATTCAATCACAATACAATAATACTTATATATAAAGTTATAGACAGATAATATACCACCATGCTACCACTTTTGTATAATATAAGATAGCTACTCCACTCCTCCCTCCTTCTGAAATCGGTTACATACAAATCCCTTGTAGACAGGCACCATGCCCGAAACAACAATATATGTCGCTTCCAAGACAAAGATGGCCTTGGACTTCACATTTTACCTTGTCGCTTGGAAGAGCTCCATACTGTACGTACCAGGGTGCCGGTATATATATATACGCTGTATTAATAGCTACTGTACAAACCATTTTATCTGTAACCTTCGACTAATGTGACTTCAAGTCGCAATGCATATGGTTACCTATCATAGCAACTTACTATTTTATTGCACTGCTGGACGTGCGCTACAGTACGGACTTGGAAATTACACATTCGGTGGATGACCTGTCTACTTTATTCTCCCACTCACTCAGGCAGGATCGCTCTCTGTAGAAGAATTTTGCTCCAAGTTGTCTGCTGACGATCCATCTATAGTATGTAGTACGTGGTGTTCAGCCCTAGTTTATACGTATACAGTACAGTGCAGTACGGTACCGTATATCATTTCATGTCTCTCGGTAAGGTACCTGGTACAGTAGGCTGCTGACTTGGAATGACGCATGCGGATGTGGATGCGGTGGATGATCTGGCTACATTCTCCCACTCTGGGGACTGATAAGAATTTTATTGTGCTTCAACTTTTCGTACAGTATTGAAATAATCGGCAAAGACATACAGTAGTGAACGTCGGAACAGTCAGTGCTGATGCGGCAGTCACAGATCGCGGCTGAACAGAATATATGGGAAGTAAAAGCACGTGTACGAGTAATGATGATCTGGTTTTCTTTGGTAAGAATTATTTTGTATGCGGCGTCAGTGCAGTTCGAATGTGCGGCTTTCTTGTCGTGATCTTTCCGGTGTCGTTAATTGATTTGTTACGCACTTTTCCAAACTTCAATCCTGATTTTCACGACCTTTAATTGTTGTTCCGATCAGAGAGGCAGATTGTCCCCACTGAACCACGAAAAGTTGCTTCGTCATAAAAATGTTCGTCATAAATGTTTCTAATCAGACCCAGTCAGCATTTCAGATCTCTTTTTTTCAGTGTGGTAGAAGAGATCATAAAATCTCTCCATCAAATCTTTCACGCACATCAGTTTTGAAACCAAAACAAATAAACAAACAAACAAACCACAAGCAATACTATGTCATCTCCACTCCAAATCTACTTCTCAAACTTGAAGCAACAGCACCGACTTGACGATATTGTCGTTGTCGAGGACAGATCCCCATCCAGCCTACCACGACGAAAAGTTGTGATGTCCAACATGGTGGGCATGAGGAGCGAAGAATCATCATCATCATTATCATCATCATTGTGCGAAATCATTACTCAGCCACTTATTGCGACTGAAGACGCCACAATGAAGACACACGATAGCAACAAGAACAACAACAACACCGCCAAGCCCATGCCAAGCCCCATCCGAATGAAGATTGCTGCCAGTTCAGCATAAATTCATTCTTGCCTATCAGCACATTGCCTTTCAGCGCGATGCTCCGGAACAACGCACGACTGCTGACAGTCGCGCATGAACAAACAACGAATACTTTTATGCTGACAGTCGCGCATGGAATTGAGTTTCGACTCGAAGACAGTCCTTTGCAGACATCCAATCATGGACCTGGTATAATGCCCCAATCAATATATGAGCTTCTTTCCAAGAAGAAGCCATCATAATGATGATGGAGCCTCAAGAGATATGAGCTTACCACCATCCAACATGTTCGAACCCACATCCGTGTGGCATTGATACAACATATATACTATAGATTTTGAAACCAAACATAGACAATGCATTTTATCTTATTTCCTGGTTTAATCTCTGTACAGTACGCATCCACTGGTGATGGCACAACAGCAAGGGCTTTTTAGTAATGCTCATTTCCGAAAAGCATGGGCTCGACCTCTACACGTATATCCATTACAACAAAAGGATTCTTTCGTCTCAACAGTCAGTAGAATAGCAATCGCGAGTACAATGTACGATGATGCTCATGTACAAAGATATGTGCATACAGTATATACCAGTACCGTATACCGGTTGGGATGAGAGATTCGCAGATCAGAATGAATCAATCGCAGAAGTGAGAAGTGATGGGTTGGATTTTCTAATCGAATCAGTCGTATTTGGCGATGAAGGCATGCGAATAAATGAATGAATGATGAATATACTTTTCCTACCGCCTGCCGCCATCATGAGGAGACATCGAACTTCGTCCTCAATAGACGAAAATGACACTAATTCAACTTGTAAACATCAAAAGAAGGATCCAATAGTATCCCCAGCTTCGTTTCAAGAGTTTCGGCAGTTTACCGTTCACGAATATCCCAATTTGTCATTTCTTGGGCCCACATCCATGGCTGTGTACTGGTTTCGGACCTACCTCAAGGAAGATTGGATACGATGCAATGTGGTGTCAGAAGCTCCTCCACGGCGGCGACGCAACAACAAAACAAAACATCGCCGCAAGAAAGGAGGAAACTTTCTTCACATTCCGAAGGCATATACCACCACCGGATTGAATGAAAAATTGACCATCCAAGATATTCTACACATTGGTACCGCTGGGAAGCATTATGCCAACTCCTACATTGGGTTGTACAATATGATACGACAATATGGTATCTTTTCGCGAAGTGATAATTGGCAAGTTCACATGACAGGGTACAATTGTCCAGATTTGCCAGCCCAATAGCAAGCATGATTGAAAGATTTATTCATTCATTCATTTGACGGGACATGTACTGTAAACAAAACATGTTGCAACATACTTCGCAATTTTTATACACATTAATAATCTTCTTCTATCCATATACTTTAAAGGTCGAGCTTTGGATCTTAATCCCATGACTCGGCCGATTTTCCATCGATTTCTTCCACGTTGGTCTCGTGTTCCTCCTCCTCTGCGATTTCTCCGCTGTGAGAAACTTCAATTTCTTCGCCGTCTCCTACTTCAATGACGGTATCAGACACTGGCGTTGCTTCCTTGGCTGGAGTCTCTGCAGGAAGGTCAGGAGTTGGTTCTGCTTTGGCCGGTTCTTGCTCTTCAGGAGTCTTAGGTTCGCGCTCTGGTACTGGTACTGGTACTGGTTCTACACCGGGAGTACCAGGAGTTGAATCTGCTTCGGCCGATAGCTCTTCGGAAGTCTTGGGTTCTGGCTCTGCTTCTGCGGCTGCTTCGGCCGATAACTCTTCAGGATTTTGAGGTTCTGGCTCTGGTACTGGTTCTGCTTCTTCTTCTTCTTCCTCTTCAGCTGCTTCGGCCAATGGTTCTGGCTCTGATACTTCTTCTTCCTCTTCAGCTGCTTCGGTCGATAGTTCTTCAGAAGCCTTAGGTTCTGGCTTTGGTGCTTCTTTTTCTCCCTCCTCTTCTGCAGCTGCTTCGGCAGGGGTCTTGTGGGATGGTTCTTCTTCTTCTTCTGCAGCTGCTCCGACCGGTAGCTCTTCTGTCGTTGTGGGTTCTGGCTCTGGCAATTCTTCTTCTTCTTCTTCTGCAGTCTTAGGTTCTGGCTCTGGTTCTTCAGCCGAAGCTGCTGGCTCTTCAGTGATAACTTCTTCTTCTTCTTGGTCAGGAGTGTCAGGAGTTGGTGCTGCTTCCGTCAATGGCTCTTCAGGAGTCTTAGGTTCAGGCTCTAGTACTTCTTCTTCTGCAGGTGCTTCGGCCGATAGCTCTTCAGGAGTCTTAGGGACTGGTTCTTCTTCTTTTGCAGCTGCTTCGACCGATAGCTCTTCAGTCGTTTTAGGTTCTGGCTCTGGGTCTTCAGCCGGAGCTGCTGGCGCCTCAGTGATAACTACTTCTTCTTCTTCTTCTTTGTCAGGAGTGTCAGGAGTTGGTGCTGCTTCCGTCAATGGCTCTTCAGGAGTCTTAGGTTCAGGCTCTGGTTCTTCAGCTGGTGCATCCTCTGCAGCTTGTGGTTCTACTTCATCAGCTGGTGCTTCCTCGGCAGAGACTTCTGGTTCTGAAACTGCTTCATCAGCTGGAGCTTCCTCGACAGCCTCTTTTGCTTCATTTTCAACTTGTTCTGCAGCTGGTGCATCCTGGACAACATCCATTTGTGGTGCTGGCTCGTTTTCATCGGCTGGTGCTTCTTCTTCTGCAGCCGGTGCATCCTTTGTCACTGGTGCCTCTTCCTCAGCGACTACTTCGATTTCTGCTTTTGTCTCTGTTTCAGGTCCCTCATCGGCTGGGGCATCTTCGTCGTCTTCATTTTGCTCCGTCTCGTGAATTTCATCAGCTGGAGCATCATCGTCATCTTCCTTTTGCTCCGTCTCGGGTACCTCATCGGCTGGAGCATCTTCGTTGTCTTCCTTTTGCTCCGTCGCGGGCCCCTCGTCGGCCGGGGCATCTTCGTCTTCTGGCATCTCTTCATCTGCGGGTGCCTCTTCAACTGGAGAAGCTTCGTCTTCTGGCATCTCTTCATCGACCGGTGACTTTTCAACTGGAGAAACTTCGTCTTCTGGCATCTCTTCATCAAAAGGCTTATCATCTACCGATCGCTCATCAAAAGGTTTTTCGTTCGAAGCTTGCTTCTTTTCTGGTACTTTATCCACAGGTGCCTCGTCCACAGGAGATTCACTTGGTGGTTTGTCTTCATCGAAAGGCTTCTCTTCAGACTTCTCCTTAGCCGTCGCTTCGCTCTGGGGTTCGTCAGTTGGAACAGGAACAACAGAATCTCTCAGTGACCCAGCAGGAGTTGAAGCAACTGCCATGGCAGCATTGTCTGTAGCTGGGCCAGATACAGCAGAAGAATTTTTCTTCTTGCGCCTTTCTTGATTGTTTCGATTGCACACTTTGTCAAGTGCCATGGTCACTGCAGAATTACGCAAGTCGAGACTGATCTTGGAAAGTGTGGTGTTTTCTTCGATCAAGGCTGGCAGAACTTGCTCGTCGGAACTAGACATCGATTTGGTTTGATGCTTTCCCAAGAGTTCCTTCACGGACGAATTCTTGCCCAAACCGGTGAAGAGTCCCTTGAATCCAGGGCCAGCGAATGAATTGCCTTCAATGACCAGTCTTTTGATCGTCGTATTCGTCTCAAGAGCTTCGCCAAGCGCGATCAAAAAGTCATCACCGAGCTGAAGCTGATTCATGGTGACCTTTGTCACGTGAGAATTTGTTGCAAATGCCTTAGCACTCTTGACCTTCTCAGTTTTGCTCAGCCCAGTGAATTTGACATCTGCAGATAGGTTCACCTCTGTAATGCTCTCGTCATTTGCGGCAATGCTGTCGAAATACTGTTCCATAGCATTCCGTTTGCGTTCCGATGGCCTTTGCGCGCTAATCCTCTTGCTCCGGTTCTGGTTGCAGATCTTGTCCAGTTGCATTGTTACGGCAGAATTACGCAAGTCAAGACTGATCTTGGTGATAGTCTCGTTGCCTTGTAGGAGCCCAGGTAGAGCTTGCTCATCAGGACTAGACATAGCCTTGGTTTGATGTCCCGCCAGTAGCTCCACTACCGATGAGTTCTTTCCTAACCCTTCAAAGATTCCTTTGAAACCTGCACCAGTGAAGGCATTACCTTCAATGACCAAGCGCTCGATCGTCTTGTTTCGTTCGAGTGCTTCTCCGAGTGCAATTGCAAATTTATCTCCAAGTTGAAGCTGGTTCATGAGGACCTTCTTCACATGCGAATTCGTCGCAAAAGCCTTGGCACTCTTGACCTTTTCGACATCACTCAGGCCTGTGAATTTGATGTCAGCAGAAATATTGACCTCGGTGATGCTCTCGTCATTTGCAGCAATACTGTCAAAAAGTTGTTCCATCGCATTCCGTTTGCGTTCTTCAAGAGTTCCTGTGTTGATTTTGTGATGCCGTCTCGCTTGGCGCAAGAAATCAATATTACGCACAACGTATTTGTTGCATTGGTCCCTCTCAAGAAGGTTTCGCACGCGAAGTGAGAATCGAACAATACTCAGATTGACACACATGGCTCTGGCCAAAGCCCGCTCAGCTTTCGAAGATAGCAAAGCCTTTTGGTTATCCAGCTTGAGGACTTGAAGGTACCTCATGGAAGTTTCGGATTTGACCATATCCGCAATTGCAACAAATCCAGCTTCGGTCAAAAAGTTAGTCTCGGCACTGATCATGTTGATATTTGGGAACAAATCTGGATCTTCAAGAACACCTTCAGCAATCTTCACCCAAAAGTCATTGCCACAACCAGTGTTGGTCATGTTGATTCCAGTAAACTCCTGTTGCCGAGGGTGATGCAAGAGCTCATAAACAAAAATGTTGACGATTGTCTCACGGTCTGGGCTGGTTGACGGAAACTGTTTGAAGAGCCGTGCTTGATTGCAGAAATTGAAAACAAGGCCACCTCGTTCTGCATCTTCTTGCAAATACGTATCGATGAACTCCTCTGTCAAGAAAGAACCGTCTGAAGGAAATCCTTGAGCTCCAGTCATTGGATTTTTTCCTGCGCCAAATCCTTCGCTGTTTCGGCTTTGCTGTGCCGCATGCATCGGACTGGCATAACTCTGGACCGAACTGCGCTTTGATTCTTCATCAGTCTCTTGAATCTTGAATCTATCAAAGAGAACTGCCAATTCGTATAAATAATCCCAATCTCCTTCTCGGACCTCCTCCAAGTCCTTTTCGAGCATCTTTTGTTGGTGCAATTCCTCGGTTCGTACCACTTCTTCCTTCAAGAAATTGACCAACAGATCATCTGGATTGGGCATTGGATAATTATCCTTGTTCCAGTAGTTGCGTTGAGTGATTTCCTTCAGCCGCTTGTCGAATTTGCCATCCACATCTCCTTGGAAATCAATGGTCATTGATTTGACGGAGCGGTTATTCTCAATGGCAGCCAATGCAGTTTCGGCTCCCTTTTCATATAGTGGTGAGAGCTGCGTCTCAAGTTTAACTTTGGTAATAGTATGGTTCAGTTCCAACGCTTGACAAAATTCGACCAAGGCATCGTGCGTAAAGGCATTTCGGGACAAATCAATTTCTTGCAATGTAACATTGTCCCGAATGGCCGACGCCAAAGCCTCCAAAAATGGGTTCCCAAGATCGACGCCCTTGATCGTCAAGGTCTTGAGGTATAGGTTTTTCCGAATCGCATCTCCAAAGTCTTGCACCAAGGAAGACCGGAGGTGACCAAAGCGAACATCATCCGTAATCTTGATAGCAGTCTGTTTGGGATCGTTATCGATGACCCGTTGGACCGCTTGCACAATATCATTGTCACGGATACTGAGCCGCTTCACTAAAGTGAAGGATTGCTTGAAGGTATTGATCTGGTCCAAATACCCTTCCACTTCGTCGGCCCTTGCCTTGTCCAGGACCAAGTTGTAAGCGTTCATTTTGTTATTGTTAGTATTGCGTTTGGATCCCATGCGACCCAAGTTGCCCAACAGACTGATGCGCTTGCGGGGAGGCGGGGCTGCATTTCCGTCATTCAGTTTGATGCCAGCTCGGTCTCGAGCCTTGCTGTCAGCCGCACTGATATTGGCGGTACCGAATTTTCTTCCACCACTAGTGTCACTTTGCGTCCTTGAGGTTGGTGCACCCTTCTTCTTGGCAAAGATACCCAGACTCAATCGCTGAGACGTCTGCACAAAATTCCTCAAGGCTCCACGCTTTGGGGCTTCCTGCTTGTTCATGTCCCCCACTTCATCTCCCTCTTCGCCTTCTTCATCTTCTGGAATCACGAAATCATCTTCTTCCTCTTGCGCTTCTAGTTCATCATCGTCAGCTTCCTTTTCAGACTTCTCTGGCTTCGCGGCCCCTTCTTCTCCTTCTTTACCTTTCTTGTTGACCTTTCCAGCCATATCGTTTCTCAAGAATGGATTCTTGAACTTTCCAGACAACCTTCCGGGAATCTTAATGGGTGACTTTGGAGCCATTGGAGACTTTGGAGCATCTGCTGCTTGCTTGGGCTTGGCTGCAGTCTTTACTTCATCCTTTGACTCTGTTGTTGCTGCCGCAGTACTAGTCGTGGTCGTTGCCTCCTCGGCTTTCTTTTCGCCTTCCTCTTTTTTCTTCTTGTTGAATTTCGGAACTTTAAAGTTGCGCTTGGGCTTTGCACCGGAATCCCTCGAGAGATACGAATGAGTCAACTTGCCCACCTTCTCCGGTTGTTCGGTATTCCCACTCTTTTTCTTGAATTCCTGATGATCGTCCGTCTTTGCGGCCGACTTTGTCAGCATGGCCATGCGTTCTTTGAGGGACGCCATGGTTGGTCAACAATGACTCTTGGAATCGAGGAAACTCGGGCGTTCGACAACAAGCTTTGCTTGGAACTGGAACGGCGGTGTCAGCAGTGGATCTAAATTAAGATATTTGAATTCTTATGTGTGACGTATGTGAAACCTCTGTCAAGGTGAACCTGGGAACGCAGTCTTCACTTGTTGATTTACAAGTGCTACGTATTCCACGCGAAAGAGAAAGTTCCTAGAGTTGACTTGGTGGCTCTGTCACTCTACAGTTAGTGGTGGAACGGACCGTATTTGGGGTATGGTCGGTGGCAACATCGAAGATGCCGGCTCAAATTGCAGTCATAATAGAAGCGCTTCCGTGTTGGTCATACGAGTCATACAATCTTCTTTGTAGCGCGCGATACCGCACGAAAGAGAAGATACCATCATGGAACAATCAATCAAAAGACAGATTTTTATTGGTCTGGAAGATGACAAAGAATCAGAACCCAATAATCACAAATTGACGGCATTTGGAGAAGACGCCATACAATCACAAACATCAACAAACTGAACCCTCCTATTTCAAACTCTTCCACAACGATGTACCGAAACGAGACGACTCTCGTGCTTCTTCTAATTATTGCCTGCAGCTGCTTATCAAATGTTTCTGCATGGAACAACGCCAACAACAACAAGCAGGGTGCTCTGAACTTCTTCCCCCTTCCCTTTCAGACTACTGCCCTTGGTGGCAAACATCTCGTAGATGCCGGTAAAGCCTTAAAGAAGGCTTCCAATTGCTTTCAAAACATCGGAGACAGCTATTACGCCTATCCTACCATTCTACGAGAAGCCGCGTGTTCCTTGACCGATGCTGGAAATGCTTGGAACCAAGATCACTGGGAGGCGGTGACCTATGCCATGGACGACTGTGCTTCTTCCTTTGTCATGTTGTCTCAGCTTCAACGATCTGTCGAAATGCAAAAGGCCTACAAGGGTGCCGCTGGAGAACTCAAGGTCATTGCCGGATTGACCGAACCTATGGAAGCGACTGAAAATTTGATACAATTGAGCAATTATTTCAAGTTGGTGGCCAAAGTGGAAACTATGGAGGAACGACATCGTCAGCATGTTGACACGGTGTCCTTTGGGAAATACTTGAAGCAAGCATCCCAATCCGTTCAAACCTTGGGTCGGGAGCAGAGGTGAAGTAACACAAACTAACACCGGCAGCACGACCTAGTCATATATTCCAAATATATATTAGGACTATGTATCATGATCCGTCAGCACAAACATCATCCCTGAAAGCCACCACTAACACAATATTCAATTATCTCTCCTCCATTCCATTTATCAAACAAACGAACACAACATTGATCTTGCGCCTCCACACCCAGCCAGCCAACCACCGCCTCTTGCATCTTATTAGAAGCCCGATGATTGAAAGAATCACTCATACTCATGCCATTATCATTATTCAGTCACCATGGCAACATAAAAACACCAATTTCTTTACCAGTATTTTAATATTTTATTGTTTGCTAGAATCAATCAATATTACTGAAATAGATTTCAGGTTCCCGATGAGCTAGGGGCCTAGGAGTTTCAGAAAATCCCAAGTTCTGTGGAAGTCAGTCTCGCTCTCTGATGCATAATATATATATCACATGCATGAAAGCGGAGGAAAAAGAATGTTCAAGGCAGATTGAATTTTGATCTCATGATGTGGCGCATCTATATGCAATGCAAGGGAGTAATATTAGATTCTTAATTTTCTCGTTCTAATGTAGGATTTTCTGAATTGATTATTTTTATTCATTCGTATATTACAGTACCGGTACACACGCATATGTAAGTTAGCGGTACGGTTTATCCCTAAAGACACCATCATCCACATCATCTTGATCCCGATAAGCCCGAAGATTCTTGGTCTTGTCGTCTTGTTCCATCATCCTGCGACGTCTCTCTAGAGAGTGTTGCCACAATGCTAGAATGATTCCAAAGACGGCCGAAATGCCAATGGCAACAGCGACCATGGTCACGGGAGTAATACCATGATCCTCAAGAGACCGTTCATAAGCCTTGGCAGATAGTGTAGGACAGGCTTGATAGGGATCACTAAAGGAAGTCAAGGTAGTACATTGGCCACAACATCTGAATGAAAGAAAAGTAGAAATTGTATTGGTTAATGCTCCCATTGTTGATATGAAAATGAAAATATGCTAGCACCGAGTGATCAATTGAATGCACTTACTCTGGACGGCATTTGCAGCAATTGTGGTTCACACCTTCACTGAAGCACATGAAGGACTCGTGATCGCACTCTTCTCCGGTCCATTCCGGATAATAGAAATGAGGTCGATTCTCACAGGAAAGACTTCTCTCGTCAGGAGCTGTTTCCGAACGGACATCAGCAGCAGCAGCAGCAGGAGAGTTTATACCGCTATGATGTCTTGGTTCGTTGCTGTCGCTTTCCGCACGATCCATGGTGACGGCAGCAACAGAAGCAGAAGTTCGAGGGGTATCGTACTCCTCCGCTCTGTGCTCTTTTTCTCTGCTGTTTCCGATTCGATCTCTGTTGGTACTACTAGCTGTGTGTACTGCCGTTCTTTCTGAATGATGAACCATGGTGATTGTGATTCCTTTCGATGAGAATATATATATACGGTAGATATTATAAGTCAACCCCAATAGTATAAGAAGAGAACTGATGAGAGCGACGTCTGTGTCCGGGATTTTATAATGATTCTGCTCGTCGTCGGTTCGGTCATTTTGGGTATCTAGCACTTGGTACATATTCTACGACAGAAGATTTTTCTGTTTGAAAAGTGGATATTTTCGGACTCAATGGACCGTAACGGCACTATAGCAGTACGTGTACCTCTGATTGTGATGCATGACGATCGATAAAAAACGTCCAGCACCAGAAGATGATGTTGCTACTACCACAGTATTGTTCCAACCCATTCTGATCGAAAGAGGCGAACGTTTGAGAGAGACAATATTATCAGAGTTATCTTCATATGGACGGTACAAACATCAGAATTTTTCTATCTGATGACTACGTAATATATTCATTCATATATCTTTGGTTCGTCGTCCTTTTCACTGGGCACGGCATTCCAACAGAGTCTCGCTCATTCTGCAGCAAGCTTCAGAGCGAATTTCATCCTCAAGGCATAATCATGGACATCTGAAGGTGACGACATACAGCAGTCTGTACGATTGGAAAGAAGAGTAAGGCAAAAGCAGACGGGAGATCACATCACGCCTCTCAATGACGAGCAAGCCCAAGTATTGGATGAATTTATTTTGAGTGGAATTCAAAAAGGGATAAGAGGTGCAGTGGCGAGAAAACCAACCTTCAACGCCAGCTATCACGACCTTGCTGAAAGTCATCACTACGTAGGAGCGAAGAAGACGATTGGATAGCTGGGTCCCCCCACAGAAAGGAGGGCAAGTAACCCGAGCAGACGAGAACATGAACCGAACGGTTGGTTTTACCATACGAAAAACGAATTCAGTTGTCGAAAAGAAAGAGGGCTGCAATTTTGACCGAACTTGTTGCCAACGAATAATTGATTGATTCATTCCACAACTTTTATATTTTCTTAGTACAATACGTTTACAATAGTTCACCACATTTTCTAGGTGGATATTTGCTGACTGACGCTATTGTTACAAAATACAAATATACCGGTAGCAGTGATGATTAATCATGAACTCTTGTTGCGGGATATGCCTTCGTGGTTTACAAAACTCCCTTCATCTCCATATTCGTCATCCCGTGTGAATCGGAGGTTCTTGTCCCTATCACTCGTCGTCGTAGCAATCTCCTCCATTCGCTTTTGGTGACTTCTCAGGCAACAATAGATACACAAGACAAAGGCCAACACAGCCAGGATAATTCCGATGACTATTGCTTGTGTTGCTTGCTCATACGTCAGTTCACTGCGTAGCGTATTCAGTCTACTACGTAGTGTATTGCTCTGCTCCTGTGCTCTTCCATCCAGCACTGGACATGCTTGATATGGATCATTGTAGGATGCCGTTACATTGCACTGTCCACAACATCTATACAAAATTGAAGGTGTGTTAATATTCCATTTCTCTGACAATTCTAGGATATATTGACGAACGCATCACATCTTAGTTTCAACTTACTGAGGTCTGCATTTACAGCAATGGCTATTGATCCCTTCTGTAAAACAAAAGAAGGAATCGTGGTCGCATTCCTGTCCAGTCCATTCTGGATAGAAAGAGTGGGCTCGATTCTCGCAGAAAAGGCTCCTACTGTCGTCCGTCGTGTCATTGATGACACCCCTTCTTGATGGATGAAACGCCACCCTGCTTCTGTATGACAGATCATCTTGGACAGAACTTGGATACTGTCGAATTGCCTCCTTGGAGCCCTTGTCATGCTCGTGATGTTGCATTCTTGAAGGGTATGTCTCTAGCGATAAAGCCATTGCGATGAGATGTGATGCAAGTACTATATACTGTAGGAATATCTGAAAGATTTTTATGATGCGCGCAGATACGAGATCCAGTGACTGCGACAGCGAAAAATATATTGGTGAGCTTTTTTACATTTTTGTTCCACTGACGATAAAAAATGACCCATGATGCCTGCATATACCGCTACGTTTGCTTCGACTCCATCGAATCTTTAACTGTTGGCAGGCAGACGGGGGCGCGACCGTCTGGAAATCATTATCAATAGTATATAAAATAATATATCAAAACCATCTTGCACTACAAAATTCGCAACAAGATTGACAATAATAAACAGTGCATACTGTTTCAGATTATTCGTCCAAAAGTCGTCTCTCCTCAATAAGTCTCTCTTGTTAGTCCAGTATTCCGGTGTTATCACTAAAGAATGGACCAACACTTTGATCATATCTTGAATACAGTTGCTTGAAACATAACATTTTGAGAGAAGTCTTCGAAAGATCCATCATCATCATCATGACGAAGAAATCTTGCACAATAATGCGATTCTTCGGCACCGTTGTTGTCTCGATTCTCCTCAACTTGTCAGCAACTTCAGCGCAAAGCTCTACGCCAATGACAGGATCGCCATCAGCAGCTAGCAACATCATCAGCAAACAACCCACATCAGTTCCTTCATCAGTTCCGACAAGAATGACTGCCGCCGCCACAATCCTTCCAACCGCTGAAGCACCGTCGACAAACGGAGCCTCACCCCCAACTCCAGTTCCGCGACAAGGAACTTACTCCAAACCATACAAGGGCAAAAAACGGGGTCCTTCTAATAGTAATCAAATGTCCAACAGCAGTAAAATTCAGGTTTTCCTGTTGAGCGCTGCCATTTTTCTGGCCCTCTTTTTGCTGAACCGGGGGTACAATCACAGCAACGCACAACAAGAACGCAACCAACAAATCCAACAAGAGCAAGAGGAACAAATGCAAGATCGTCGTAAGCAACTGCTGATGGAAAAGTTTCACTTTACAACCATTGACGAGCAGCAACAACAACAACAACAACAACAACAA